TAACGTACGTTGTCGTTAAAGATAGACATTAAAGCCGCGTTTCCACTAGGCAACATTTGGTGCGCAACACGAGACGCTCAGCATGTGCGGCAACGTTGCACAACTACGCGCGACTTTGTTAGCTGGCGCGCAACTTGACGCGGGGCTTGTTGTTTGTTTAAAGAGTATCGCTAGTTGAGCATCAATTGTTGTAGAGTGGAGACGTTACTCGCAACAATATCTGTAGTGTTGTCTAACGAACGAGTGCTCAAATTAATCGAATTGTATGAAAACTATAAATGATGGGATACAAAAGACTCACAGAGACTACAAAAATTAGTTTCAATTCATTTTAAACTCTGAATCAGTCCTCTGCTAATTTCTGGTACAATATTACTAATCGATTGTCTTGATATTTTGAAGGTGTAGGACGGTGAAGTATAGGAATTTCCAGTTGCCAAATATCGAAGTGTTACAGCCAATTTGAGCGCAGCACTAGTTGCATTTCGAAATTTTTCCAATTTTGTTCGATATTATGGGTACGATTTTTTGTAACCATCAGCCACACGGAGGTCACTAAATACATTTTTTTATTTTTAAGGTATTTAGTGTTTATTTTTCTTTTTAATGAATTTTTAGAAAAAAAATATAAAAACTGCCGCTGAAATCAACACAAGTACCTCAAGCGATATGTTGGCGACGACTTAGGTAAAGTGGACAGACAACGTTGTTCAAGCTCCGCGCTGACTATCAACATGCTAGGCAACTTGTTGTTCAACATGTCGTGCGCCAAATGTTGCCTAGTGGATACGCGGCTTTAAGGTCACGGGCACATTTTTATACATCATTTAAAGAAGAATAATTCTTTAATACATGTTTTTGGGTATATCGAACTCACAGAGATGAATGATTTTTCCCGTTTGTTGCACATTTCACGCTGTTTCTCCTATGAGTCACAGCGCGATGTTTTATAGCTATACTCTCTAATAAATGTTCTAAACTAAACAAAATGTCATCAATTCGTGATGGCGAGAACAAATTCTTAATTACGACGGCCGAGTATTTAAAACATGGACTTATTTCACGTATTCTATGTATTGCCTTGTTCTAAAGGCGTGATGGATGCATCGCAACACGCTAGGAGCATTGGCTTACGAGAGAGTAATCCAATTACAATGCGTTAGTGTGAAGTTTTAAATAAATCTTTTTATTTCAATATGTGTAGGGTGCCACAATGTATGCCAAGAGCCCTTGATTATTGTATTTAAACAGGATTTTCATTTTTAACCCAACTAGTTGAAGGTCGAAATTACTGCGACAAAACACTTTAACGGTTTAAAACGCGATATATTAGTTAAACTTATTTGAAACTTGATTTTTAACTTACTTAGTCTCCCCGTGACCACGGCTGCTGCAAAGCATCCGAAACGTCGGGCCGAAGTTAAAAATCATTTTCAAATAAGTTTAACTAATATATCGCGTTTTAAACCATTAAAGTATTTTATTTAAATGTGTACTACTCGCGTAAACTATAGACAGTATTTAACTAAGAACATATTAAGAGTGTCATATATTTTCAAAACATTATTTATGTTCAAGATATTAACATCTAAAACCTATGGTTCGTAGGTTGGATTTCCGCTGTATCCAGCAAGTTTGTAAAATACTTTTCTATGCAGGTTAAACAACGATAAATAAAGACATAAGTAGTGGTCCCTACCACGTACCTTCGTAACGTAATCCCTATTACGTTACGAAGTACCGCCCATAGACGAAAAAGCTGTGAAATGTAGTCGCGTTTTAGGTGCAGTCTTCGGATTTTCGCATATTATAATTAACAATGACAATTAACAATGTAAGTGAAAGACTTTAAAATATTTGTACCTAAAAATTTATGGTGCTCCATAAAATTAGTTTTTAGATTTTCAATTTCGAAAAATACTTTTTATTATTAATAAGTTGTGTAAGACTTTCACGGCCATCGTTAAGCATATCATTGTTTTTCGGGCTGTTCGGCTGACGTGAGCGAGAAGAGGTACTCGAAGTTTCGCCATCACGTGCGGACGGCATCATCAGGCGATGTTAACTCCTCAATTGCTCGAAGAATTATGTGATGGCACGTGATGGCGAAACGTCGGGAACCTCTTCTCACTCACGTCGGCCAAACAGCCGGAAAAACAAAGATACTTCTTATTATTATTGAGAAATTAGTTTCTGTTTTACAAAACGTGTATAATTTGTTCTTCCTAATTTAATTAATTAATTTTATTTTACAATTATTATTCGTTTTATTTACTTAACTTTGAACACAATAATATCTAGTATTTAATTGTTGTCTCTCAGTATTGAGTGGTTTATCATAATAATTCAATAATTTAATTACTAAGGTTCAACTGTTTATATTCAAAAATATTGGATACCATAGTTTAGTGGTAAGTACTAACAAAAAAACATAGTTTAAAATTTATCATACTATATAGTAAATTTGCATTCGACCACAGATTAACAGTTTTGATGTTATATTTGACGTTTAACAATCAACTTTTACATAATAAACGTCAAACTACCCACAGTTTGACGTTTATTACACAAAACAATTGACGTGAATGCACTTAATAATCACATAGTGTTCTGAATTTTATTTATTTAGTTTTAGTGATAGTAAATTAATTTTGACTTATGAGAATAGTTCTTCGGAGTAAAAATGTAAGTAACTAAATCATGCAACACATAAGATTCGCAACTCAATCAGGTCGTTTTAAGCGCAAGAATAATTAAAGTGTTATGTGAAAAGTAGTTATAGGGACTTCTTTACATATTTACAAGAACAAAGAGAAATGTTTTATGGATTAGACACTAATTTGTATCACCTGGAAGAGACTAGTCACCCACGACGCAGGCTCGCCCCAGTGTGGGGACTAGGGACTTTCGATTCTGCGCCATGTATTTCATATACATGGCGCAGACATTAAGATTTTTTGATTTTGATATACTATATTGATCAAGATTACATTTTGCAATTGAGTCAAAAGTTTAATCATAACAACAGCAACTAATAAAATTATTAATTTATATCTAGGTACTGTATTCAATAGCATACTGTTAATAAGTGTTCCCCTTATTGTGTCTCATATTATGAAAGGGAAACATGATAAAAAGTTTCAATTCAGCAAGTCATAGAAGATACTGTCTATAATTTACGCGAGTAGTACACATTTAAATAAAACACTTTAACGGTTTAAAACGCGATATATTAGTTAAAATCACTCACTTACTCGATCCACTTTGTATTTAAATACAGCATTTTATAATGAATTCCCTATAAGTAAATGATAAAAGAACGCGCTGAAAATGTCTTCATTCGAAAAGCTGAAAGTTATTTATGTAATTGATAGCCGTTGACGTCAATCTCATGCGAATTCATCGATACGAAGCCTTGCGTTTACAACAAAACTATAACAATTTCGTTGGTAATGTTATGTAGGTCGGTGCGGCGTCCCGCGTCACTGTTGCTAAAAGGGCATGCATTTAATTAATTAATACCCTTTGAGTTCTAGATCTCGCGGGACCGGCATATCACATGTTTTTTAGGGTCGAGGTCTAAATTAGCGTGATTAGCTTTCTGACACACACTTATATACTGTCTGTAGTTTACGCGAGTAAGTAAAATACTTTTACAGTTTAAAACTTATTTGAAAAGTCTCAAGTCACCCCATGACCAAGGCTCCGGCAAAGCATACGTCGTTGTCGTAACGTCGAGCCGTAGTTAATAATAATTTAAAATAAGTTGAACTAATATATATCGCGTCTTAAACTGTTAAAGTGTTAATTAAAATATGTACTACTTGGGGAAACTACGGACAGTATTTAAAAATGTCTATGTGTGTTTGTTAAAGCTCTAATTTCAGTTATTACTAGTTAGAATTAAAAACTAATTATGTTACATAGAAAGAGATGTGTTAGATTTCGAGAAAACGCAACGGAAACCTTCAAAGAATATTTTTTCACATTTTCCACTCTTTCTTAGCTTCTTAGTCGCAGGGTGATGTTATATAAAGCCTACCTCGATAAATCTATCCAACACAAAAATATTTTTCTGATACAACGCAGTAGTTCCTGAGATTATCGCGTTCAAACATACAAAAAAACAAACTAACAAATCCTTCAGCTTTATATATTTGTATAGATACAGACACTATTTAATTACTTTTATTCATATAGATAATAACGTTGTACACGAATTCAAAGTTAAGTTCTAGCGAGAATTCCAACTGTTTTAAAAGCTTAGTATCGTGCGGTTTAATTACAAAGGAATTATTCCTTTAGCAATGTCGCCGCTAATGGGGATTGTTAATTTTTTAAATTCAACGCCCACAGTATACTTTAATTGATGATAATGTTATTAAGCGGTTCGAGTTTTGTATGGCCATGCACGACCATTACACCGCACGCCACAGCCGTAAATTATAATTATTAACACGGTATTAAAACATGCTTTTATAAAATGGATATCTTATTAAATTGTCACAAAGAGATGATCAAAAAAGATAGCGGATATCCCAAGCCGAAATAGGCCGACAGCGCATCTTGTTTAGATGTTATATCACTGGGGTATTTCATTTACCATCAAGTAAACCTCTTGCTTGTCTATCCTTCTCTATCATAAAAAGGTAACATTGTTTTTTGAAATGCATCGAACATGCTCGATCCATAAACAAAATAACGTGTTTCATTGCAACGAACGTTTAAATATTTCACTAGCGTTATGCTTGTAATATCTTAAGATTGTTGCTAAGTGAGTGTATTATGACAGATATTTGAACGAACTTGCTTTTGAGAAAAAATAATTTATTCAGCTTTGTAAGTTTCGTTCATGATAAATGTACTGATACAACCAGATTTGCGATTTGAACGGGTTAAACGATTCAGATCATTGTATTATTTGATTCGGTTCTTTGTGATCGAATGTGAAGTATATTTAATTAATGCCCTTTATTAAATGTGATGTCGTAACGTTCCAGGTTGGCCGCAGCGCAAGAGGCGGCGGGCGCGCAGGCTCGCGCGGCGCCAGCTGATACCATGGGCGGCGCGCACCAGCCCGCTACACCGGGGCCCAGCTCGCTCTTTATATTCTCCGACGAAAATCCTATACGGAGGTAATCATTTTCTGCGTCTATATCCCTTTATAAATGCCACTCCCACATCATCTACTTTTGGACCTTATGTAGTACGGTTGAAGGTTCAATGTCGTATGCTTTTAATGATAAGAAAATTATCTGTGATATTCATAATGATTGAAATATCTGTAATTTTAAAATTATTTAAAGAAACTAGCTGTGCTTCGCGTAAAATGTTTGTTTTGGGCATCGATTCTTTATTTTTGCAAAAAACCTCCTCAGCTTTTAAATAATAAGTGCTATCTACCCAGAAAGTCGTCCGCGTCCTATCGTTCTTGCGAGGTAATCATAAAAGATAGACGTTGGAGACAATTTTTTAGATTGTTTCATGTTCTTTCATACATATTTTTTGGACATCTTGAACCGTTTTCGCAGCGCACGCAATGAAAACGCTCAAATATTTTTTCCCACGTCTCCTTCCATTTCTTTGCTCCTATTGGTCGCAGCTTGCCCTTTAAAAAAGCAAATTCTTCAGCGTAATATTACTATTGTTAAAATTACACTACATACCAATTGAAACAACGAAAGCACTAAACTAGATTGTAACCTCTGTATCAGACTCTAAGTCTTTAATGTATTAACATGGATTTCCAATTAAAACGCTATTTCAAAGTTGAGGCGAAGTTTTCGCTCCGCTGCTAGTATAAATATTAAATAGGTTCTTGCAGCTAAGATTAACATGGCATAACCTGCTGTAGCCCTTAATGCATAATACATTCAGCTTCTGTTTCCCTTGTATTTCGTAAAAATGTACTTTGAAGCTGGGTATGTCTAATAAGCAACGATTCGTGAATTCAATTCGACAAGTATATACAATTTAAAAGTATATACAACGTATAGAGCGTGCTGTGGCTCTAACCAATTGACACGGTAGCTCAATTTTAAATTTATATAATATCATCATGCGCAATACATGTCAAAAATATTAAAGTATTCAATCGATTTTAAATTGAAAAATAAAATTATCTACGACATGGGCGATACTCAAACCGTCATCCACAGCGCGGAAAACTTACTACTGACGACTACGATGAAGGTTGCCTCTGAATTGTTTTTATTCTCAGAATGAAATAAGTATTAAGTTTATTTCGATAAAATAATATTACCTTTATCATGTCAGCCCACCAGGTCTAAGCCCTTAAACCTTCTGATGGGGCCCACGGTTGGACTTGGTGTTTATGTTTTATAAGCCTACTGGCAGCTCAAACTTGTTTGATCCGATTTTGGTCACTATAGACGAATATGGCTCATATAGTACAAACGCTCCAACGTCTGTAATCGACATATCATCGTCATGATATGCTGAACGATGGCCGTGAAAGCCTTACACAATTTATTGTCTGTAATCGAATTGTACTTGATGCAGAAATGAATTCTGGTGTAGCTTAACTTTAATAATAATGTACATTTGGCGTAACTTAACTTCTGAAATTTAATAGTAAAATATACATTTCGTAGACTGTTCTTTATATTATCTCTAGTTTATGCGAGTTGTACACATTTAAATAAAACACTTTACCGGTTTAAAACCATATATCTAATATATAAACTTAAACTTATTAAACTTATTTGCAAATTATTTTAACTACCACGGCCCGGCGTTTCGGATGTTTTGCAACAGCCGTGGTCTTGTGAAGGAAAATTAAATAGTTTTCAAAGACTTAATGTAATACATATTGCATTTTAAACCGTTAAATTCTTTTATTTAAATATGTACTACTCACGTAAACTACAGACAGTATTCAATTTTAACGATCTAAAACGCATATGAGATATCTTGTTTTCAATTTATCTTAACTAGGACCCCCATGTTTCAAATGTAATGGCAATATATTTTACGTTTGAAGTCGTTGCGGTGTCTTATATTTATTACATTTTAGTAACTAAGATTTTCATCTATTTGAAGCAGTAGTTTTTTAAAATATGTTTCGATATTCTACTGGTATAGTTAGTCAATTTATAGCATAGAGGTTTTTGAAGTTTCATAGAGGTGTCAGACTTTTTTTGCAAAATGAGGTTACATAGTAGACCCACTTGGAATTAGTAAGTGAATCGGGTCAAGAGGGATAAAATTAGTAATTTATGCAACCAGGTTAAACTAAGTAGGTGCTAACACAACTAAATATATTCGGAAGCTATTCTGAAAAATCGACTTCAGATATTAGAAAAGGTTGTAAAAGTTGCAAACAAGAAATTTGATAACATAAAAAATATGATGATAATTTATAAAGCATTTAAATAAAACAGTTTAATATAATTCAAAGTAATTTGAAAATTATCGAAACATAAAATATGTTTGACCAATATATACCACGTTTTGAACCGTTAATGTTATTTACATGTGTACTACTCGCTGAACTACAGAAAGTATTTAATATATAAGCAATTAAAATATCAACTAGTTAATCCTAAATGTATATACTCTTTTCTACTACTTCTACTACTTCTATTACTTCTACTACTTCTACTACTTCTATTACTTCTACTACTTCTACTACTTCATCTGTGGACGGTGACGCCGCCCATTTAATATCCAGATTTCCAGACAAAGTCCTACACGTTTTAGAAAAATTATAAATTCGATACTGTCTATAGTTTACGCGAGTAGTACACATTTAAATAAAACACTTCAACGGTTTAAAACGCGATATATTAGTTAAACTTATTTGAAAATGATTTTTAACTTCGGCCCGACGTTTCGGATGCTTTGCAGCAGCCGTGGTCACGGGGAGACCTATAAAATAAAAAATCATTTTCAAATAAGTTTTACTAATATATCGCGTTTTAAACCGTTAAAATGTTTTATTTAAATTATAAATTGTTTAAGAACATATTGGATCAAACCCTCGACCCTTTATTATAAGCCTGATAAAAAGCCCATCGGCTCTGTTATAAATTAAAAAAAAAACAATCTGCCACTCGAACAACGATGCATTCAAATGTTTTAAAAACAAAATGAAAAATATTGTTTAATCACATTGAACTCATGTAGTTCCAGATAATTAGTTCAGTAACGATATTCCGATATCCTGAATACGTCATTAAATGCCTTGAATCGCGCGTAATGCAATAAATGCGCCGGGTCCTGCCCATCTCATTATGAACGATATAATTACGTTCGCCGTTCACCGTTCACAAGGAAATGACGTTCAATTTATTCCTAACGCGCTATCGGGATAGGCATTAGGGCTCAACAAAATCTTGTTAGTTTAAAACGTGTATCAGATTTTATACGGGTTATAGAAAATGATTTTGATACAGGTTACAGCTTAGGATAACAAAGCTTAATTAATACAATAAATATAATTAAATAATAAACAAGGAATATCCATACATATTTCTTTAAATCTATACTAATATATAAAGCTGAAGAGTTTGTTGGTCTGTTTATTCAAACTGAATAAATATATTTTTGCGTTGGTTAGAACATTTATCGGGGAAGGGTTTAGACTAATACAAATGAAGATACAGTGAGAAATGTGAACAAATTCGGGAAAATTATTCATCATTTAGGGTTTCCGAGGTGAAAGCTGAAAACGGTTCAAGATATCCAAAAAATATGTATGAGAGAATGATTCCTCTTTAAATGATCTAAAAAAAATACGCGACGCTATATGTCTATCTTTTAAGATTAACTTGCAAGAACGACGGGTAGGGACGCGACCGACGTCGCGGGTAACAACTTAAGATTATAATGATGAACGCGTTTGCAAATTCAAATCTGGACGCCCAAAATAAATATTCTTAAGGGACGAATCACTGCAACAGCTAATAAATAAATAAAAAACAAGTAACGATAAAAAAAACAAAAGACGCTCGCATGCATAAACATGGCTCTCCATGTAGGTAACGCTTGTAAAATGTATATGTAAACAAATTTGAAGTACAAAAACCGATATAGTGTTTATTATCTAAAATATAAATAAAATATTTGTATGTCAATTCATATTTATGTCATAACTTCGAAAAGTATTTTGTATAATTAAATTATTAGTCATAGAAATTGTATATAGGCCATCACCATTATATATTACATTGTACATGGTGTTTAATCAGATTTTTTGTGGCTTGGAAGGTATTGACTCCTCACTTTGCAATTCCAGATATACAAAGTTCATTATCGAGTGGCCGCCCTTCGAGTACGCGGTGCTGCTCACCATCATCGCCAACTGTGTGGTGCTGGCGCTCGAAGAGCATCTGCCGAACGGCGATAAGACCATCTTAGCACAGAATCTGGTACGCACCATTCCAAACATACATTAGCCCAAACAAATCGATCGCTTTGTTATGTTAAAGAGTCGTGAAAAATAACTGCGTTCTTTTTTTAAACGATGAAAATGTATACCGAATAATAAGCTAATTTAAATTAAAACCTTACACTATATAATTCTACACTGTAATATTTAGATTATTGTAATATTTGATTCATGTGGGTAATATTCCGTCATTCCATACGTGGGGCCAGTACGCTTTTTGGCTTCATATTATACATTTTGTTTATATTTGACTTATTTTCTTCGCTACAACGAAATTTGTTTGTAATCGGGTTTTAAACCAAGGACCTTTGTTGCTTAACACTTATTTGAGTTAAACCTAGGTGGTCGATTGGATGAGTTTCTTAGATAGGGATTCGTTCGTATTATTAAATCTGATTTATTTCATAATTGAGGATTGAACAATTATTTGTTTATTAATGAAATTATATTTGCATTAGAAAAATAGATATATTAAATCAAAATAAAACACTTTTACGGTTTAAAACGCGATATATTATATTTAAACTTATTTGAAAATTATTTTTAACTTCGGCCCGACGCGGATGCTTTGTAGCAGTCATGGTGACGGGGAGACAAGTGTATCACGTTTTGAACCGTTAAAGTGTTTTTTTTTTATGTGTACTCGCGTAAACTACAGGCATCTTTATATTATATAATATGTAATACTCGTTTGCTTTGTTACAGGAAAAGACCGAGGCGTACTTTTTAGCAATATTTTGTGTAGAAGCCTCGTTAAAAATTCTAGCCTTAGGTTTTGTTTTACACAGAGGATCGTATCTTAGAAACGTTTGGAACATAATGGATTTTTTCGTAGTAGTAACTGGGTGAGTACTCTTTGCACTTTTGCCGAGCATCGAATAGCATGCATTACGTGCATTCAAATGTCAATGGAGGCGACTTGGCGGTAGATGAGCTAGGTGACAGATGGGGTGTAACAATTCATGTATGAATAACAAAATAGGTCGATGACGATTTTCGCCGAATACAACGTGGACGTTGACCTCCGGATGCTGCGCTCGTTTCGAGTGCTCCGACCCCTCAAGCTCGTCTCGCGGATACCAAGTAATTCACAGTAATTGGCGAAAAGTTCACATATAAACTAATTACTATTACTACTCTAGTGTTTTTCGCTAGTTTTTTCGATTCCGAACTCTTTGTCGTAGAATACAACGCTAGTTTTGTTCTAGAACTCTTTAGTGACAAATGTAGCGTCGATGCCGATTGCAAGATAAATTGTTACATATAAAACATGTTAGCTGCGTGGTTCTAACGAGTTTCTCGACTACTTCAAATGTCTAAATAAATGTTGCATAATAGAAAGTGTTCTTTATTGTGTTCGTAGGTCCTGATAAACCGCTAACGTAAGATTAGTTAAACACGAGATCCTAAGTGTGATATGTTAATTAGTTTAAACGTTTGTACCGAATAAAGTGTTAGCTAAACGATAATAATGTATCTAGCCATACGATAGAGTAGAGTTGAGTATAGAGGAATGTGCTTGTTTTGTTTTTCGAGTTCACTGAATGTTTTGGTCTTGCGCACTTGAGACGGGGACATACGGTTCTTTGCGCGTAGTGTTTTAAACAAGCATATTCTTTTGTAGTAATACCGTTAAGTTAGCTGCTAGTACAAGCTATAGTATCGAGTGAAATGTGTTTGGCAGTATCATCACGCAGATGCCGGAGGTGGCGCCCGAAGTCGACTTCCGGACCTTGCGTGCCATTAGGGTGCTGAGGCCCCTTAAATTAGTATCGGGCGTTCCTAGTGAGTTTTAGTACATTCTAGTTTAGCACCTCTAGCATCACTGGCACTAGTTGTTTGCGAGTCCACAGTTATTGCAAAATGCATCGTTGATGACGCATACAGTTTTGCAAAACTAACGACGTTCATCACTCTTAGTTTTCCTTTTTTGTAATGCTTTTATATTCTTTACTACTAAGACTACTAGATCTAACGTCGAATTGGCTTTTTATTTGATTTGGTCATCGAAATTCTAGTCTCATCCGATCACAGTTCAAAATTCTCTCAATCATACCTGATCAGTCCTGTTCAGTCATCAATGTTGAACATGTTGTTTCTGTTTGTGCGCGTGTCTTACACGTTTTCTCCTGTCCAGGTCTGCAAGTTGTATTGAAGTCCATCATCAAGGCGATGGCCCCGTTGCTACAGATCGGCCTGTTGGTGCTTTTCGCCATTGTCATATTCGCCATTATTGGCCTTGAGTTTTATTCAGGGGCATTACATAAGACTTGTTATAGTTTAGAAGATATAAGTGAGTATTAATATTTAATTTTTAATTATGGTCCTATTTAGTCCATCATTCACGTCTCTTTCGTAGGAGAGAGTGCGGCTAGAGTAGTGTGAAGGGTCTACCCTTTACACTAGCCTAGTGACGTCTCTGGTAAAACATAATAACCGAGATCATCCTCAAGATCTCAAGATTGAAGTACGAAGTAGGAGATATGGAATTAGAACTGTCTTTATTCTAACATCATCAAATATTGGAATATTAGATGGTGTTTGAATGAATAACGTACTAACATTTTGTCTTTACCAAAATTTGAACTCTAACCCTCGTAATCTACATTCAACACCAGTAAACCTATGCAGTAACATCTGATACAGCGACATAAATGTTCAAGTTGATTTAGAGTTGTAAACAAGTTAGAAGTGTCGCGTTGTATGCAGTGAACATAGGTATTGACCTACTTTGATCAGCTACAATAAACTCAGTTCAACTTCGTTCCAAGCATGAACTTGGCAGTTTATTTTGAAGTGTATGAATTATCCTTATGAGCTGCAACTTTATAATTGTTGTTAATGAACTGTAAAAAGTATGTTTCACTTTGTCGTTACCGGTTATTTTAAGGAACAAAATACAATAGATAAAATAGTTAATTTAATTGACACTTTCAAATGTATTGTAGATGAAATAGTAAATGATGGAGATAACCCAACACCATGCAACGCAGACAATGAAACGCTCGCTCCTTATGGCGCGCATGTTTGCACGTACGATAAGAGCACGTGTTTGGAGAAATGGGAGGGTCCCAATAGGGGCATAACGTCTTTTGATAACATCGGCTTCGCTATGCTCACCGTCTTCCAGTGCATCACTATGGAGGGCTGGACAGCCATCCTCTATTGGGTGATTATTTATTTTAATCTTATACTTAAAAATCCCGGTCTTTATAGTACTATCTGGTAATATTTGGTAATAAGAGTATTCAGAAAATTATTAACAAGTACCGAATCCCTCTTAAAATGAATCTAAAGACAAAAGTAAAATTTTTAAAGCATTGATCGTCGCAGTCATTTGAACTATTGCTTCTTTAACAGACACAAGAACGATGAAATATTCCAACCATATAACATCTAAAGTGTAAACAATGTGTTATTTGGCTGGACGCGGACTTAAACTTAAACGTGTTGTTGTGTAAAATTTGTTGACTTTATTATCTATTAGTGGTTCGTGACCAGGACTGTATGATTGTGACTTAGAAGACCTACGATCTATAAACGTTATACTTAACTTTTTGTTACTAACCGAAGTTATGGTCAGTACCCCTAAATTGTTCTTTTAGTTGTTTCAACGTCTTGCATTTCTACTTTTCTAGTTCTAGTATGAAGTCAATGTTTGTGTTTATAATCAATTTTGTTACAGACGAACGACGCGTTAGGCAGCACGTTCAACTGGATTTACTTTGTGCCTCTCATAGTATTGGGTTCATTCTTCATGCTCAACTTAGTTCTCGGTGTACTTAGCGGGTGAGTGCTTTCGATTGCGCGGTTCAAAGTTCATACTTCAGTTTTATTTTACGTTTCGTTTCGTTTCTGTTCAATTTTAAGTTTTTATTTAGAGAGTTCTCTAATGAAAGAACTCGTGTCGAACGTCGAGCTCAGTACCAAAAGGAAAGAGCGAGGCAAATGTTCAATCAAGACTTCGGGGGGTATATTGGCTGGATAACCGAAGCAGGTGTGACGTTTGATTTGTGTATTGTGTGCTAGTGTTGGGCAGGATAAAGCAAACCAATAAAATACAAGTTCAGATAAAAGTTTAATACAAGACAAGAGATAAACCATTATTCATTTGGAGTAGCTAGATTTTAAACAAACATAATAACTTCTATTTACCATATAACTAATATAGAATTTTGCATTTTTTGGAAATTTATAACATTTTGATGTATATAGCTTGTACACAATCCGAATGTGCTATAACAGTTAAATAGTTATGTTTATAACCGAATAGTTTAAACTATCATTTACTATGTACTCATCATATTTGACATATAACAGGTAATTCTGCATCTATGCTAAAAAACATATGCTAGGTACTAATTTTCTTATTATTGTTGTTTTCTTTAATAATTTTGTGACAAGGTAATCCATTTATGAATTGATTTAAGCTATTGTTAATTAACACTTCACTCATACTAGTTGCCAAGTAGAATGTGTACCAAATCGCTATCTTTCCAGTGAATTTGCTAAAGAAAGAGAGAAAGTAGAAAATAGACAAGAATTTCTTAAAATAAGAAGACAACAAATGTTAGAAAGAGAACTCAATGGTTATGTTGAGTGGATATGTAAAGCAGGTGAGAGTTTGGATACATAATTGTATTATGTGTTACTTCTAGAGTCCTGTGATTAAATGGTACTAATAACATAAGTTTACATTTTACAGAGGAGGTTATATTAGCTGAAGAGAGAACAACAGAAGAAGAAAGAATGCATATAATAGAAGGTGAGATTAACAGTAGATACTGTATTTTGTGCACAGTGCTTTTTATAGGTAATATAACAGATGGAATAAATATACACAAGTTCCTTGGAAACACAGCTATGTCTAACCAATTGTGTATTGAATCCAAAATACAAAGCATCGGTGATCTTTGACAATGACGTTAAACACATTCTGTTATAGCTCGAAGAAGAGCAGCAGCAAAGAAAAAATTAAAAAACATGGGAAAAAGTAAAAGCACAGATACAGAAGAGGAAGAACAAGATGAAGACTGTGGAGATGACGGTCAGTAAAATAACAAATACTCTTTTTAACTGTGTTGTGCTAGACCATCATTTTAGTTCTGTTTAGTTCAATATCTCTGATAAAATCATTCTAATAGCCAATATTAAGGAAGTCATTAGATCTTATTCATTTGTACTACGAACAAATTTCGAACTGCGATTCAATTTAGGCTAACGGTCTTTGCTTTTAGGTATTGTACATAATTCTCGAGTATTCTTAAATCTTGCCAAAACCGTATTGCATGTATCTCTATCGCCAGTATCTTAAATCTTTTACACTCCCTCATATTTCGTACTGTAAATTATGTGTTGGTTGTTTACAGTTCCAAAGAAAAAGCAAGGTATGGGATCAAGCGTGGCGCTGGTAGAATATTCCTTTTCATCTTCTACGTAGTTTACATAGTTTAGACCTAGATGTAGGACGATTAGTTCCCTTCATAATAGTTCAAATACCATTAATTATTAGATGACTAATTTTAACGCCCAAACTGTATAATATATCCCTACCTCTCCTTATAGAAACGCTTAATGAGAACGTTACCGTATAACGTAACGCTTTCGAAAACTGGACTGATACTTGTCTCTTGGGGGTAGTTGAATAAAATTTATACGAGACAAGTTTCAAATTGCGATTGATACTATAACGATATGAATGTGCAAATGTCCAATTACTCGCACTCGATTTATTAGCTTTGGTATCCAATTTGATATCGCGTTACCGAACTTTCAAATGTATAACAAAACTATAATGACTAGATAAGACTAGTTTTAAGTTATAAAGAATGTTAGTAGCGATTAGAGAAGCTTCGAAGCAACGGTTGCTGAATTTTGTATCGCTCTTTCAGGGTTTTTGAAAAGCAAAACGAGATCAGCTGGCAAATGTGCGGATTTCTGGCGAGCGGAAAAGAGGTTTCGCTTTTGGATCCGACACACGGTTAAGACGCAGTGGTTCTATTGGTTCGTCATTGTTTTGGTGCTCTTCAACACCATATGCGTTGCTGTTGAGCACTATAGACAACCTAAGTGGCTTACTTCGTTTTTATGTAAGTTCTTTAATTTAATCTATTTGGTATAATTTGTGATTTCAAAGGTTTACAAATGTTTCATTTCTTACGAATCTTTATTGTTATATTTTGTTATCATAGACAAGATACAAGCACGGAAATCACTTGATGGTAGGTGAAACACTCCAGCGATATAACATCTAAACAATGTCGATCTAAATACTGTCTATGGTTTACGCGAGTAGTACACATTTAAATAAAACACTAACGGTTTAAAACGCGATTTTAACTAATAGATCGCGTTTTAAACCGTTAAAGTGTTTTATTTAAATGTCGATCTATTGATATACAGAAATCCTCAGCCTGAAACCGAAACGTGATTAAACTTGGCGGCTTTTTCATCTGTGGACGGTGGTTTGCAACTCGGACAGAATTTCGACATTCCTACCACCCATCTAATATCTAATATTTTCAGACGAAGTCCAACACGTTTCAAAAAAATATATAAATTGATTAGAAAAATGTTGAACCCAATCGGCGTGCTCGTCAGTATCACTATCTAACATCGAGTGGTGAAACATTTCATATACATTTTTTTTTGTTTCAGATTTTGCCGAATTTGTGTTCTTGGGGCTGTTCATGATGGAGATGTGGATAAAAATGTACGCACTCGGTCCACGCATTTACTTCGAATCATCGTTCAACCGCTTCGACTGTGTTGTCATATCGGGCTCCATTTTCGAAGTGGTCTGGTCCGAAGTAAAGGGAGGCTCGTTCGGCCTCTCAGTCCTTAGGGCTTTAAGATTGTTAAGGATATTTAAGGTAATAAAGTTGAAGGTTGCGACTTTAACAATTATTGTATTTATATATTTTTTTCTAGTACAAAGAATAGTTAATAATAATATTGCAACTAGGTCACCTAATTACATATAATGTTTAATAAAAAAAATTACAAACATCACATCATTTCGTACACAATATTAAGTTTTCTGTCACTTTAGCTGTTTAATCTTCGGGAATATTAACAACAAGCACGAATTATTTATACTTGAACTACCTTTCAACGTTAAGTAATAGTGTCAACCGACCCTGCTATTATAACATTATTATTTCATTGTATTTACTGAATCAATTTGTTTTCAGGTCACAAAATACTGGTCGTCCCTACGAAATCTAGTGATATCTCTTCTAAACTCGATGCGGTCGATCATTTCTCTGTTGTTTCTACTCTTCTTGTTCATTCTCATCTTTGCACTTCTTGGGATGCAATTGTTTGGAGGGCAGTTCAATTTTGAGGAAGGAACACCGCCCACCAATTTTAACACGTTCCCAATTGCTTTGCTTACTGTCTTCCAGGTATGTGAAAACTTATCAAGTGTCTGTGAAGTTTTTACCTCATGTTTTGGTGAGAAAATACTCACTTTCTAGAATCTTATATAATATTATGATGAGTTCATCTGTTTAAAATAGAACCACGTTAACCAAATATTTTCTAATCTCATTTGAAGTAATCAAACTACTTAAAATTAATGTTATTGTGATTATAATGACATTTTGTATTTGCTTTATTTATAGTGACTTTGGCGTAAATAGCCTTAGTGCAATTAAGATAAGACACGATGCCGTTTTATATTAGCTAAAATACTTTTATTAAAATTATTAATACAGTAAGTCTTAGTAAGATTCAAAAGGACCAGAATATCATGAGAATATTTTTCAGATCCTAACAGGAGAGGATTGGAACGAAGTGATGTACCACGGAATCCAATCCCAAGGTGGTATTCAGAGAGGAATGCTGTATTCATTATATTTTGTCATCCTCGTGTTATTTGGGAACTACACGCTGCTAAATGTGTTCCTTGCTATCGCTGTTGACAACTTGGCTAATGCTCAGGTGCGGATCTTGTGCGAATTTGATTGACAGATACTCTTCTAGTTGATTATCATGAATTTCTGCCTCTGTATCCATTCAGAAGTTCAAAAAAGTACGAATATTTATCATACATAGCCAAAAACACCAAGTAATTTTACAACGATATCCACCTTTCATCTTTATAAAACAAAATATCACTCTGGAATAAAACAGTCTTTAACAGCTTACAAAACGAAATATGTAAGTCGTAATATTTATATATGTAGTTACAACTGCTGCAAAGCATACTAATATGATACGTATATACAAAATAACAATCGAATTTTGACACGGGCAGGACGTTTTCAACTATATATTTCCGGTCCAAGTGTTTTATTAAAGATGCTATACACGCGTTGCTGTTAATTTACTAAAATACATAAAAATGGATATTGGTGATGATCAGCTCGAAAGAGCCTCCAACTCAGCACTAAAATGTTGTGTGTCGTTGATGCTCCCTTGTACATTCGATGCAGCTTGTCGTGTATATGTCGCATTTAATTGCAGGAATTAACCGCAGCAGAAGAGGAACAAATCGAGGAGGACAAAGAGAAGCAATCGCAAGTGAGTTGGTTTTTGTGTATAAAGAGTTAAGGCCAGGCTTATTTGCTTTGATAGTTGTTGTATGACCGCGGTTGATAAAAAAATTTCAAATTTACATACAACAACAAACTTTTTCGGCTAATTAGGAATTGGAGAAAGAGATGGACGCATTACACGCGATCGATGGAACTCCAAGTGGAGACAAAGTTTCGGCGTCAGCCAGGAAGGTAACGGAAGATGGTGCTAAGCAGCTTTGCGTGCTCATTGGTTTCGGCGACTTAAAATATTGTTGATTTCTTCATTATTCCAAATTCATCTGTTCAAGAATTTATTAATTTTTTTTCTGAACTTGTACGACTACAGTTATTCTCTTGGTTTTATGCCCTTATTTTCAGTATCTACGATATGTCTTATGAAAAAGCAAAAATAAGTATTGTCTGTATTTACGCCAATGATTAAATAAAACATTTTTTACGGGTTTAAAACGTGAAATACATTAGTTACTTGTTTTATACTAGACCATGACCGTGACTCAATTCTGTAAGGACCCAGCCACTTTCTCGAGATACCAGTTATGACGAAACAGATGGCATTAGAATTGCGCCTTTGATTTTGACATTACGCCTTCCACCTTCAGTCCCCTCTTGATTACGGCTGCTGCAAAGCAGCTAATATTTCGCCTATTAAACAGTTAAGACAGAAACTATCGATAATGGTCATTCATTCATATGGTGACTTTTTTGACTTGGAATAATAAACTAAAATTAACATTTTAATTAAAACAATGTATTGCTGTTACACGAAGATCAACATAGGATAATTAAATTACTTATTAATACAAAAAAATATCATGCAAAGCACCAGACATTCCCATTTCCAAATGAATATTGCGACCTTCCCACGCTTAGGTTAGCTACATACAATTAACTTCAACAATATTTTAAGTTTTGACGTTCATTTTTGGATCGATGTTGCTTCTGTGAGCGGACTGTTTTAGGATGTTATTTTTAAAATATAGATCTAGAATCCTTATTTCATTCAATTCAATTCATCAGATGATTTATTTTTTTAAACCATTATTAGATATGCATGTTATGGAAAAAAATATCCACGTTGACAGCAAAACTAGCTCAAACTGTTTTGTAAGATATGTGTAACGTAATAAAAACAAAACTTTTATACAAATCGACCCTTTAGGTACTTACAGTATTCAGCCGAAGAGGTTTTGAGGGGATTTTAATATACAATAGCTATATATATTTAATATAAAAATTCAAATTTCAAAATGCTTTTTAGAAGGAAGAGGCCAAAAAGGAGGATGAGGAAGTACCAGATGGACCAAAACCAATGCTGCCATATTCGTCCATGTTTATTTTGTCACCTACAAATCCGTAAGTTGAATAAAAATATTATATACTTTGCTTAGTTAAACGATTACAATTTTATTATTTCTGTTTTTTTGAAGATCAATGGGAAGTATACAAAAGAGTTCTAAATTTAAAATTACATAAGTGTTTTTTTTTTCAGAATAAGACGAGGCGCACACTGGATTGTAAACTTAAGATATTTTGATTTTTTTATCATGTTAGTTATATCGATGAGTTCTGTGGCTTTAGCGGCGGAAGATCCCGTAGATGAGAATAGTCACAGGTAAATAGAATAATTTTACCATATCATGTGAATAATAATTTATTTATTTATTTATTATGGTACATCAACAGATCACTATTTGATCGTATCACACACGTTTTTCTATTTGATTACATAATCAAATAGAAAAACGAAATAACTCAGAACGATAAAATAAATAACTTTACAATTTGACATCTCGTCGACATTATTTGCGTTAGTTTAAACTTTAAGCGCACACCAATAACTATTCTTAGACTCAAATATCCAATCACAAGTCTCCAAATATAACTAATAGTACCTCAAGGAGGAAATGGGGAAATGGATGAAATAGTCAGCTGATGGTGTGGACTGATCACCCGGCCTTCTACAAGTGTCCCCGATAGAAAATAATAATAGTACCTTACCACCAACAGGAACAAAGTGCTAAACTACTTCGACTACGCTTTTACGGGTGTGTTCACCGTGGAGATGCTGCTAAAGATCGTCGATCTTGGCATCCTGTTCCATCCGGGCGCGTACCTGCGCGACTTATGGAACATTATGGACGCAGCCGTCGTCATTTGTGCTCTTGTCAGCTTCGGTTTCGAAATCGGGTGGGTTTTTTTCATATAATATAGTATAGGTTTAACACTGTTCTTTTATTAGTGTCAAATATTTTGATTTGACAGACGAGTAAGGTCGAAACAGGTCAAAAGACCACTACTGTGTTAGATCTTGTGTTACAAGCTCACAAAATTTAAGCTAAAATGAATTTCTGTTATTCTTTAGTCTTAAGTTGCAATAAAAATGGATGGAATTCTATATATCAATAATTGAATAATTCTTGTAACGATTTCTTACGAAGACATTGTTCATATTTTGAAGTACAGAGTCTTTAAAAACTTACAGTGTAGTAAGAATTTATAACACATTTTCCTTATCATCAAATACAAATTTGATTTGTGGGTAGTTAAATACTGTCTATAGTTTACGCGAGTAGTACACATTTAAATAAAACACTTTAACGGGGTGACCACGGCTGCTGCAAAGCATCCGAAACGTCGGGCCGAAGTTAAAAATCATTTTCAAATAAGTTTAACTAATATATCGCGTTTTAAACCGTTAAGTGTTTTATTTAATTGTGGGTAGTTTATAAAATTTAATTTTAAAGCAAAAAAAAAAATAACAACAGCTGGTATACTTTTGTCTTTATTTAATTATTTTCAAGATAGTTTTGCTATGCATCATACGCCTGGAAGATAGACCTTTTTAATGACGATATTGTTTTGTTCCAGAGGCAAAAAGGGGGCGGGGCAGAACTTGTCCACGATAAAATCTTTGCGTGTGCTGAGGGTGCTCAGGCCTTTAAAAACGATTAAACGTGTTCCAAAGCTAAAGGCAGTGTTTGACTGTGTCGTGAACTCTTTGAAGAACGTCATAAACATTCTAATAGTGTACATATTGTTTCAATTCATATTCGCGGTAATTGCAGTTCAACTTTTTAATGGTAAATTTTTTTACTGCAACGATATCAGTAAGAATACTTTCGAAGACTGCCAGTAAGTACCATTTTACTTGTATTAATCATTAAGGTTTTTCAAACTAACTTTTCTTCTTTTATTTCTGTGTCCTGCCTTTTAGTGATTAATTTTATTTAAAGACAAATCTTATTAACAATATTTACACCTTAGCTCGACCGGAACTTTTGTTTCTCCTAGATTCAACTAATAAAATACATGTTGTGTGCTTGTTGTTTTTATATCGTAATTTGCCTTTTTATTGCATAATATAAGGCAAACTACGGTATGAAAAGTGTTTGAATTAAAATTTTCTGTCTTCTTCTTCGAACCTTAATAAATGACCTACCCGATTTTACTGCAAGTCCTGTAGACAAAGAAAGTACAACTGAAAACACTTTTGTTTCAATTATATTTAAAAAATAAAAAGATATGACATTTTAAAACTTTTAATCGATTTTAGACACTGTGTGTTCTTTACGCGAGATGTAAACTTTTAAATAAAACACCTTAACGGTTTAAAACGCGATATATATTAGTTAAACTCATTTGGAAATTTATTTTGACTACACAAAGCATCTGAAACGTCAGGTCGCATTTGAAACAATTTCAAAATAAGTTATCTAATATATACCGCGTTTTAAACCGACCGAAAAATACGACACGGACAGGACTTGAATTTTGTTTTCAATCTAAAATCGATTCCTAATTTGAAATATAACACGATTACCTTAAAACGCTTTTTACTAATTTCAGAGGGTCGTATTTCGTATACGAATCGAACAGCCTACTGCCGCGCGTGAGCAAGCGACAGTGGACAACACAATCCTTCCATTACGATAACGTCGCATCTGCCATGCTCACGCTCTTTGCAGTGCAGACTGGAGAGGGCTGGCCACAGTACGTATATTTCCGTCAATAAAGACACCAGCCTTCACGAGACAAAACCCAACGACATGCTTGTTGGTGTAACGGTAGCAATGTGTGGCTAATAAACAACGGAGTTCCGAGTCCAACATTTCTCTCATCAAATCTATCTGAAACGTGGTGGTGGGAATATTTAAATTCCGTCCGGGAAGGAAACACCGCCTACAGACGAAAAAGCCGTGTTCAATCACGATTCGGTTTCTGCGGATTTCCGAATGTCCAAAGCCGAAATAGGTCGATAGCGCATCTTAATAGACGCTATAGGCTGAGGTATTTCACCTATCATCAAGTGAACCATGGGGATGGCAACAAGCTTGCGCTCGTCAGTACTCCTCTATCAAAAGAAACTAAGGAAAGAAAGGAAACATGCTATAAGTCAAAATTGTTTAGTAATTTATGCTTTATTGAAATGTCCTTAGAGTTTTTAAAGAGACGCTTCCGTACGTACGTCTGTTAAGATCCAATTAGTTATTGTATTCCAATATAGACACGAAGTTAAGAATGTTATAGAACGTTATTGGATAAGTATTCAAAAGCATTTTTTGTTTACAGAGTGTTACAAAACTCGATGGCCGCCACCTACGAAGATCGGGGACCTATACAGAACTTTCGAATAGAAATGTCCATATTTTATATAGTTTACTTTGTAGTGTTTCCGTTCTTCTTCGTTAACATATTCGTAGCTTTGATTATTATTACGTTTCAAGAACAGGGTGAAGCTGAGTTGCAAGATGGCGAAATCGATAAGAATCAGGTATGAATTAAACCATGTTAATCATAACCTATTAATTAAACTTAATATTTTTAAATTAAAATTAAACATAATATTAAGTAAAAGTCGATATAATGCCACGACTTAATAAAACATCACATTGAAATACTTTACGCGTTAAACAATCGGTGACATAAATACTAATAGCTCTCTATTTCTGTTTATTATCTATCTAGCGACCCATCCCAGCTTCGCTCGGGTGCAGTGCTGATACTAAATACAGTACAGAAAAACTTTTAATATAAAAACCTTCCTTTTAAATCATTCTATCTATTTAAAAAGACCGCATCAAGAATCTTTGCGTAGTTTTAAAGATTTAAACGTACTTAGGGACAGAAAGAAAGCAACTTTGTTTGATACTATGTAGTGATGCCATTTATCACACATTCATCCAGGAATATATATGGTCATAATTTGAAATCAATTTTAACTACAGTGAAAAATAACAGACCGATTAAATCTTGGGAGAATTACACATGTGTTTTCTGTTTCCTTGCAGAAATCGTGTATAGACTTCACAATAGAAGCGCGACCTTTAGAAAGGTATATGCCAAGTAAAAGGGGAAGCCTTAAGTACAAAGTATGGAGAATAGTTGTCTCCACACCCTTCGAGTACTTCATCATGGCACTGATCGTGCTCAATACATTACTGCTTATGATGAAGGTATGTATATCTGTGAGATTCCCTAAAAAATCCTTAACATATCTACAGTTTCGAAATAAGTTAATTTCCACAACAGCAATTTTGTCATCATCATAGGCTAGGAGAGTAACGGCTACCCAGTGTGCCAAAATATATTTACTAAAATCAACATGTGTTTTGCTAGATTCTTTATTGACAAGTAAATATTCCAGCTAAAACCTTTTTGATGGTCGTATAAATATTCAACAATTCAAAAAGACTCAAAACAGATTACTCTAACAAACGGCACCAGAAGTGAATTAGATAATCACGGGTACGATGAGTCCACCACTTAGATTAGATCTAACCTGGCTCACAATAAAAGCACAAAATTGACAAACATCGTCCTTATACTTAGCTTGATAAGATTCTAAGTGATGCTAAATTCACGAATGCTTAGAGAACTTCTAGAAATAAGAATAGGCAATCGGTATTAGTACTGCCAATTAGTACAGACACACACAACACACCACAATTGCTAGTATATTTTCGGCGTCAATGTACACAGCAGCGGAATGCGCCGTTTTCCAAATTCTAACAGCATAATCGTCAAGTGTATCGCCATATACTTTCATTGTATCCTCTATATTGTGTTTTACGTTCGATGTTTCTTTCCTCCTCGCTTGCTAACTTTTAATATATTTATATGTTCGTATAAATGTGTTTGCACGATAACCTGTCCATCCTGCACAACTGCTGCACCGGCCCGGTTAATTTTATCCGGCTCAGGGTGCTTGTGAATGCACAACTTCTTAAATCAGTTGTGGCATGAGCCGTACGTGTTGTTCGTGTTGCATGATTTTAAGGAAATCTAATAAATGTTACCGAGACTGCATGAATGCAAAGCAGCCCTACGCTGCCGAAATTTGGTGGGCTTCCCTGGACCGAATTGGACTTCAAAATTCGTAAATTGGTTAGAGTATTAAGAAATTCTTTATTTGATTTTTTGTTTCCTCCTCATGTCCTTTTACATCCGTATTATATTACGATATTATTTATGTACTGCACACGTATTTATTTAATTTATGATCCATTTACATATCTAATTTATGAAGTAGTCTACAGAATTCTTAGAATCACCCGGGACGATCAGATCCCGATTTCCAATTTCAAAGTTGAATAACGAATTAATTATTTTCCTTGTCACGGGTTTATCCAACATCCTCATCACAAAATGGCAGTTCTATAATCAAAATGATCTCTACTCGGATATCCTCAAGTATTCGAATATGGGGTTTACTGGAATGTTTTCCGTGGAAACCGTGTTGAAAATCATCGCTTATGGTGTCAAAGTAAGTACACACCTTACACTCGTTGAGCAAACATTGAGTTAGAACATGAACATTTACAAATGTACTCTTTCTGTTACTAACATTACTTTGTATTACATGACTGTATGGGATAACTTCAAACCAAGTAAATGTGTTCCTATCCAATTAACCATTAGTTTGACGATTGTTGGAGCTAAGTTTGTTGATTTCGCGTCGGTTCTGCATGTTATCCTTCATATTGCATGACATGTCTTTACACCAACGCTGCGCTTAACACCCTTCGTCTTGAGTGTTTTGATGTGCTAAACCACGCTAAGGTAAGCGTCTTCTACCAAAAGGTAAGTAAAAAGTTTCTTTAACTCGTACTGTGTGTCTACCAGCATGCCCAGTGCCTTGCATGTTGCACGAGGACTGTCCACAATAAAACAAACAGAGCGTCATAAAAAAAAAACAAATTACACACAACACTTATACGAAAAGCGGAAAGTTTTACTTAGAGCTTAGTAATTTTGTAAAGAGTTAGCGAGTTTTGGCTAATGTCTAGGATCGAATTCTATTGTATAGTCTAGTAAATGTTAAATCTCATTGGTCTTGGTTTCTATGTTAGTTTCACGAGGCTCCGCCAGTTCTCATGGACGTGTTAACAGTCATGAACATTGTCTTTACGTTCTTCTTCCTTCTCGAGACCGTTCTGAAGTTAATCGCGTTCGGATGTACGGTAAGAATATCACATATTTTTAGCACATCAGTCTTACATTTATAAATGTGAAACTAAAGGTATTTTGATGTTGTTAGAGAAAATGAAACTTACCTTTTCATAAATATGTTTCATTATTACAAATACAAATCAGTTTACTGTTAAGCAAACGTGCGATCGTGTTCGCAAAAAAAATTAACAGAGAAAATAGTTTTCAAAACTTCATACAATAAAATTTGAAATTATAATACCGTATACTGTGCTATTTTTCCTAAATTAAGTTTCTTTTATCCTTTTTTTAGGCTAACATCAAGATATCTTATTAACACATTTTTAATAATTCTCAAATATTTAAAGTAGATTATCAAATATTCAGTATCGACTTGAATATTTTTTTTTTCTAGAATTTATTTTTAACTTATTGAAATGCAGCTTGTGTTATATTTATTTTTTATTTAGGTATTGTAATGTAAAGAATTTTAGGCTTATTTTTAAAAGCAAATTGATTACAAGTAAGTTTGATATTTACAATCCTAAAGTATCCTTTCCTATCCTTTAATTAATCCTACTACGTAAAGGGCACAGACGACGTTAAGAATAATTATATTTTTTGCAGAAAGTGTACGTTTGTAATGTATTTTGACCTTTTAAATTCCATGAAATAAAAGAAAATACCATTTATAAATTGAATTTTTGGTAACACACTTTGAGCCTACATATACATATAAGCCTTTAAAATTTTTCAGAATTTTTTCAAGGACCCTTGGAATACATTTGATTTTATAACGGTCATTGGGAGCATTATTGACGCGCTCATAATGGAATTTGGTGTAAGTATTAATATTATACATATATGACCTATTTTTATCTAACACAAAACTACCCTACTTTATTTATTTAATAAAATTTACTTCCCAAAATGTACAGACACCTATAGCTTACGTGGGTATAACAACTAAACAATAAATAAAGTTAGTAGTCTTAAAAAAACTTGAGGACGTTTATGTATAAATTTTTTTTTGGAGGTTATTATTTTACGGACTATATATTATATATATCGTGAAAAGGCATAATTTGATTTAATTTGAAGATTCGTATCCTGATTACAGAGTGACCTTGCTGAAAACTGTGCTGACATATCCTGTCAGCAGGTAAAACTATATCTTTGGTTTTTAGGAGTTAGTTCGAGAGTTGACATTCGTGTGGTTTTTAGACTCAGTGTCTCGTAGAGCTAGACGAAAAGCGATAGACTTCAGTAGTATTTGGTGTTGTATTAGGCTAATATAGTTTCCATATATTTAGGTAATCATTTTAGATAATTCAGGTACATAGCTAATATGACCAAAATATTTGGGTAATCAGTCGAATAGTTTAGGTAAAGTCGGTATTTTAGACCCCATGAGAAACGTTGGTTAACCCTTGTTTAATATTTACAGATTTTTATTTTTAAGAACTAGGATATCCAATGGTATTTTAAGTAAGAGATATCCTTCCGTATATATTTAATAATATTTTGTAGTGTTGTTAGAAGTTGACAGACTTAAATATATTACCAAATTTAGAGTACCTAATTAATTTATTAACTCCAGTAATACGTAGATTAGTTATAATAAAAAAGTTAAACCTATTGACTTGAATGAATATAAAAACCGAAAGTGATTAAATTACAAATGGCGTAGAATAAAACGTTGGTTAGAATTTCAAATTAGAATATCTTTGTGTGTGTTCATATTTAGAACTTTAGCCAGTTTGGACGCTATATGTATTCTGTATTTAAATGAGATCTTTTACGATACTTTGGAAATTCAAAATAAGAATGCTTATAGGAAAACACGTTCAACGTCGGTTTCCTTCGCCTGTTTCGAGCCGCGCGACTGATCAAGCTGCTCCGACAAGGCTACACCATCCGAATACTTCTATGGACGTTCGTGCAGAGTTTCAAAGCCTTACCCTATGTGTGCCTTCTCATCGCGATGTTATTTTTCATCTACGCCATCATTGGAATGCAGGTAAGAAATTATCTATATAATTATTTATATCGTACAGGTAGACCTGTATGAACGAAGCAAAATTTAAATACAAACAGAACATTTATTTTATAAGAAAAAAAAATTATGTATTGCAATTTTCTTTATTTACAATTTGACAACGGCCCGAAGTTTTGATTTTTGTTCAGGTATCGTGCTTAAACCCTTAGAAATGTTTTACCTAGAAATGGTTTACTTTAATATTTGATGATTTCTTCTCAATAACATTTATTCACGTATATTAATATAAAATTCATCCTTTACAGGTGTTCGGAAATATAGAATTAGCAGCAGAGTCTGATATGAATAGGCATAATAATTTTCGGAGCTTCATTCAAGCGCTTATGTTACTATTTCGGTATGTATTGTTTATGTTTCAAAGAAAAAATACCAAGGGCTTAACTTATGACGGAATTTTAATTAATCTCTTAAACAAGTAATTGCATTGTTAATATGTTGAAATTTGTTATGTTTTATATGTTAAAACATTGTTTAAAGATTTAGAATATTTATGTTATGTAAACAAGAGAAAGTTACTGGTATTTTTAAATTTAAAAATCCTTTCTCTTATAGATGTAGGTATCTTGGTAGTATAAATTGCATTGTATTTTTTTAGATGTGCAACGGGTGAGTCGTGGCCAAATATAATGTTGGCATGTCTCAAACCCGCGAAATGTGATAAAGAAGCCGGTAAGCCACCATCTGAGATGTGTGGTAGTACTCTAGCGTACGCGTACTTTGTATCTTTCATATTCTTCTGTTCGTTTCTGGTAAGTGTTATATGACAATTGGTCTATCATTATTGCATGGATAAATAATTTACCCTTGTAAATGTTTAGATGTTGAATCTTTTCGTCGCTGTTATCATGGATAATTTCGATTACCTGACAAGAGACTCATCGATCCTCGGTGCGCATCATCTAGACGAATTTGTTAGGATATGGGCCGAATATGATCCAAACGCAACGTAAGTCTTAAATTAAATTCTTCTTGCCAGTTTTATATGTGGAAAAAATCTTCTTTCAATTGGTGGATCCAAAATTCCTCATGAGGAGTTTAAATAAACATATGCAATTATTCCAGGGGGAAGATCCATTACACAGAAATGTATGATATGTTAAAAAATATGGACCCGCCGTTGGGGTTTGGAAATAAATGTCCCAATAGATTAGCATATAAAAAATTAATAAGAATGAATATGCCGTTAGATGAAGAAGGGAAAGTGAATTTTACGACAACGCTGTTCGCGTTAATCCGAGAGAATCTTAGTATCAAGATGAGATCAGGTAAGTAAAGTTTGATATCATATTATTATTAGCTATACATAAAGGCATTTATGACATGACGAATCCATTAGCTGAAGAAATGGACCAAGCAGACGAAGAATTAAGGGAAACCATTACTCGTATATGGCCACTGCAAGCAAAAAAGATGATTGATCTATTAGTGCCTCGAAGTGATGTACTCAACGCTGGGAAACTAACCGTGGGAAAGATCTACGCGGGACTCCTCATCCTTGAAAGTTGGAGATCGACTAGGTTTGGCCAGACTGAACCCCAGGGCGTTCCGGTAAGGAATATTCTCTAATTTGCGTCTGGAATTAAAATGAAATTTATCTAAGAACTTTTACCTCACTCAGGTACATAGGTCAACGATGAAGCCAGAGTTTAAACTAATAAAAATAAATGATCTCGTTTAGATATTATTTTACTTTGAGCCAAATGTAAAGATGAAAATAGGTAATACACTGTTAAAGATGTAGTGATTGTTAATGACCCTAATCTCCTTTATATTTAGATAATGACTGACACGTATAGATAGCAGTCTAGCGTTGTGTTGTCCTCTGTGGGTGTATTGTTGTTATTATTGATGTTCCATTGACACTACCATTTGATGTATATTATGTACCTCGGGCACTGATTGGCTTTGTGTTAGCTATTATTCCTTTAAAGGAACAACAATACAGAGTCACTCTAGTTGAAATCGACTCCTTCGAGTCGACTACATTGGTGGTTTACTTTTCAGGCATTCAGCGAGAATAGCCCTACGGCCAATCAGCCGGTAGTATTAAATATTTTACGGAACGAAACTTTAACTACCTTTTCTTGCACTAATTTAGATTTTTTGTTTCTCATAAATCTCTTTCGCATCGTGTTTGAATAATATTTTTTTTAGTATTTAAAGAATCCATGGACACGATCGATAGTTTCACTTCCCGTAAATATCATTAGTTGTACAAATACCCTCAGAGTTTTCTAACATTATATCGCACTTCACTTGGTAGCTTGGACAAACCTGTGCTAGATGCACAATTTTGTCCAGAGTAATCAATATGTTTAGCCTGTCCAGGTTTACTACCAAAAGTGTACCTAGTAACCTGTCCTATAGTTGCAAAATAAATAGCCTCTAGAGATTTGTGTCCGTGTTAACAGTGTTTGAAATTTGGTAGAGTTTAGCGTTGTGTCCTTAGTAGAGTTTGTTTTAAATTTTTGTGACGTCACCTCTGCTATACAGTTTTTGACATTTTCTTTGGAATGAACTTTAGTACCCACTCAAAACTGGTTTTCACAAAACGTTGCATGATTTTAATTTCAAAGTACTATTTGCATTTTTCTACTTACACACTCTCTTGACACTGTTACAAGTTTATTTTTAGAGATTACATTTCGGCTCAATTGTTTGTTTATACCATTCTAGAAGCCTGATGTGATGACGATTCGATACTCAGCTTTTATGTCGCTGCATTTATTTCTTCGATTTGCATTTTGGTCACAATAAAATATTGTGCATGCATTATAAAAAAAATTAAAGACTAACATAAAACATGATGTATAAAATAAATGTGTATATATATGTTTCTAAACGACACCTTTCTAAAACTCTACTGTCTTCAAAACTGCCTCTGGCTTCAATTTGTCGCACAAAATTTTCAGCATCAATGGGTATCCTACAGTCGCTTTGGTCTACTGCTCTGCATTTTCCACTACTCAACATTGATTTCAGCATACAGGACCTTAACGGACACTCAACAGCATCCAACACAAGTCAAATACTAACATAAAATTCTAGTGTTTCCTCAGATAGCAGCATACATCCATAACGCCATAAACATAACAACCAGACGAGCATTTTATTAGAGCGCAGATACTTAGTGTTAACGAAAATGAGAATTGTTAGAAAGATAATGTAATGGCGCTTTATACCGTGTGTGAACCATTTGCGCAAACTCATGTAGTTTAGTACAGTTTTATATCAATATGAGCCGATGAATTCGGATCATGAGCATGCGCAAGTGGGCGAAGATGAAGTCAAATGCCTGGTGCAGAAGGCGTCCTTCTTTAACTGCTTGCTGGATGTGGCGGCGACGGGCCTGGGCCATGGCTCGCGGACAGGTTCATTGAGCGAAGGACAGAATGGTACGGTACCAACCACGGAAGCTAATGAAGAGGACCCTCACACCATAGCGGATCTAGCGAGACGAAGTACAAGGAAACCGCATAAGTAAGAATAACCATTTATACTATTCAGAATAGATTTCTCTTCTGCTCTGTTTTTTTTATGAAAATGATTGAATGCCCGCAAATTTTTGACGAATTTTTAAACAAATTTGTAAACAGAAAGAAACTTATCTCGTCTTTCTTTTGTTTCAGAAACAACAAAAAGGTGAATGAACCTTCTGTAACGGATGAGCAAATACTAATATCGTTAACATTGTTGTTTAAGCTGTGTATGAAAATCGAATATAGCAATATATCCCCTACCCGTAAACAGTATATTAATTGTGGGCGTTGGATTAGTTTTGGTGTGCCATAGACAGACTTATTGATGCACTTGACATAGATAGTTGATGTTGTAACCATGTTAGATACGTTTCGACGGTGAGATTTGTCATAAATAAAACGTGTTTATTATTTGTGAGATAACTTGCTCTTAGGTAAAACATAAAAAGCCTTAGGCTGATTAATTGTATTCAGTTATCGTTAAGTAATATAGTTGTGTTGTTATTAATTTTGATTTGAATTTTTACAGATGGTTATTGATGTTTAGGTAATATTTTATGAGAGGATGTTTTTGTAGGAGACAAATGTCTTTATAATATTTTTGATTATTTGTTTTCATAGTGAATGATTATTATGAATATTAACTGTGATAATGCTCTAAAATGTTGTTGCTAGTCACGACACATCCAACAATAATACTAACAGACAAACATTCACTTCAAACGCAAAACGACAAAAACAACAAATTTAACACGTGTGTTTTGCATGAGTTTCTAGTTACATAGTATTGCATGGTATTCATATTTTTAGCCTCGCACACTATATTTTACTAGGCACTGTTTTGGGTTCGCAAAGTTTCTTAACTTCGGTAAGTACGCGAATCTTTTTACAAATCGCACGCGCACGGTTGCATGAATATGAAATAATATAGTTTTGTTTTAACGTTGCCTCGACAACATTTTTGTAAATATGGGACAGTTTGTAGAAAAAATAAATAAAATCAACGCGAACTAAAACTACAGTCTCTAGTAAGATTCTAAAGCGCTTGAGCTAATTATAATTTTGTATCCTTTAGGTCTTAGAATTACAAGATGTGGGGTCTCATCACGCGTCTATGGAATCTTTGGATGACGGAAGATTACAAGCAGCTCACACCTACCAAAATGGGCACCACGGAAGATCATCTAGTTTAAGGTAACGCTGATTTAATAACTTAAGCAAACCGGGGACCGCTACATTATTATTTATAATATTTTATTTTATCTTTATGCTAGATTTCATTTCGATTTTATTTTGTTTTATAGTGCCATCGAAGATGTTATTGCTCTGAAGTTAATCGTTGTAAAAGGGGGTATGTTACCTGTGCAGAAAACTCGACTAACTTTTCGGAATTTTATTTTTGAAACTAACATAGCATGGTTTCTTTTTTGATGTGCATGACTAAGGAAATATTTGTTGTATATAATGGTATATGTGTCAAAGTAATTCAATCGTTTTGAACATTTAGACGTACACCGAGCCCCAGACGAAGACACTACGGAGGGTATAATCACGAAATTGGCTTCTCAGACACTGTCAACAATGTCGTAGAGATAGTCAAACACGAGCACCAACGACACGGACGAACACATCGGGCGCCGCATCACTACCATGGTAGGTCCCTTATTCAGTAATCATAAGCTAAATGCTAAGTAAATAGATTTGTAACACATTCCAGTATAATGCCTCGAAACGAGCCATTCTCTCAATACAAATTTGAGCTTACTAAAATAAAGAAAATAATTTTGAAAGTTCCGCAGATAGAAGTGGCTTATCGCTAGAACGTAATCCTTTTCCGTTCTATTCCCGAATTATTTAGGAAATCGAACGATTCAAATTGATCCTAGTTACGTCGGACATATCTATATATTTTCACATTAGTATTCACACATAATAAATATTTTGATCATTATCATGAAATTATTATACTTATTTCATTTAGATTCAGTTTTATGACCCGACAGTTTTGCAAACATTTTTCTTCTCATGAAGTTACACTGAAAGTTTTGTGAGAAGATTAAAAACTTAGCTTACAAGTAGTTGTAGACATCCATAATCTGTAGAAGTAGTTATAAGATATACTGAAGGCAAAGCTATTTAATCTTAAGTTTGTACATTTAGTGGAACTTGTATATTAGCTATACTGAGAACTCATAAAACTAGTTTTGTACAATAACTTTGCGTAGCTAATAATTCTTTTAATGGATCTAACATCTTGCTCAGTTATTGATTCATTTAGACCATTCTCAGATATCATCAGGCTATATTTTGTTTAATAGACTAGAATAAGTAATATGTAAACGGCTATAAAGTACTCTAAAGCCATTTAGAGAAGATTTATTGGGTTTGTGTGTTACTTTTGTAATATAGATCTTGTGAAAATGAACTGATTTGCCTGCTGCATGTCCACATACATATGGAGCCTCCTTTGGCTGCACAATTACGCTTTTTAATTAAGCTCTCAAAAACAGACGCATGCCTATTTCAGCAACTGTATCATGCAGCATGCAAACGCTTAATAGTTAATTTTTAGTTTAAACAAACATTAAATGATATAATTTTAACGGTTTAAACTGTGACATTTATTATTAAATTATAGTACTCCGGTGATAAAAATTGCTGCCTTAAAACCTTATGAAACATCAAATCGTAGTTAAATATATATTTCACTTTTTAAACTGTTCAAAGTGTTTGAAACTCCAGATGATATTTAAAAACAACATGTTATTAGTTAGTGCGTATTCAAAAATGTAGACTTTTACGATGTATCTCTTAGCGAATGATCTCAAGGATTTAGATACTCTTTATATAAATATTGTTGAGATAAATACTTATTGGTTCGTAGACACCCCCTTAATGATCCAAAACTTTTAGCGTCACTTTCATGAGCGAAAATAAAATGTGTACTATTAGAAATGGGTCGGTAAACCAACGGACTTTACGGCTTTACCCTAAAGCGTGGTGAAAGGTACATGAAGGTATTCCTGACAGCAGGGAAGGAGTGGAGGCCGGCGTACCCCACGACCAGCCTGAGCCTGCCTTCGCGGTCGCCCAGTCCGCCACACCACACCTACGGTGAGATCCACTCGCCATATACACCGGTCCACATAGCATCAAACAATATACTTACGCCGAGCTTGAGCAATTCAGTACAACATCCGAGCGGGCACTGAATGAAGCATAACGTACAAAACACATTCAATCCCGGCTCCGTACTCCGTACTCATTGCATTTCACACTCAAATGTCATTAAAAACTTTGCAACGAAACACGCGCAAAATATTCATAATAGGAAACTCATTATACCAAATGAACTTGGCACTTTTCACCATGGGTAATATATCGTACCTTGTAAGTCCCAGTTGATAATCAAATTGTAAAGTAAAGGGTCTATACATGAGATTGGCGATTTCGATTTTCACACCAAAGACCCTTTGCTACCTAAATTCAACATATGCACGATTCTAGCTTCGTGCGTGATATTATTTGTGAAATGCAAATGTGTGTCTTTATTCATAAGAAAATTGTTTGCACATCTGTTTATTGTTGATATCGCTATATAATTTATCATTATAATCCTTTGTTCCTTGCTTTTCGATCATCATCGATTCTGACATTGATATATATAGTAGCTCGATACGTGTGTGATGAGTGAGGATTGGAACTACTCGATTATTCAAGAGACAGTCTGGGCACCCATAGGTGGAGACCGAGAGAAGGAGCGGGAGTGGAGGGAATGGCGTGACCGGTCATGGGAACGAGAAGGGGGGAGGCGAGGCCGCGGCCGCCAGCTGCCTCCGACACCTACTAAACCGTCCACCTTACAGGTCAAACAGCAGCCACCCTTGACCAGAATTAGCCACAGCCCATCGCACGTACGTTACTCCATCCGTGGACCTAAAAACGCTTCTCTCTTCTATATTATTTTTAATTCAAAATCTTTTGGATTTTTATGTATCAAATCCAAAAGAAATTTCTTCTGAAACATCTGTTTCTTTTTAGCAAATTGCTATAAATAGCTATATTAGTAAATTGACACCAAATTTTGCAATAGTATATACCTTATTCTGTGGTTATTAAACAGTTATCGTTGAGGCCCACTGTGCGAGAGCCGTTAGAGCCTCTCCATGACGAGTATGAGTACGGCCGAGAAGTTGAAAGACTGATCCATCGAGACTATAGATCTAGGGAGAGGTGAGAGGAATTTTAAATTTGGAAATTTTTGTGGTAGTACATCACGACTTATATATATTTTAAATCGCTCAGATTCCGGTGCTATCTACAATCGCTTTCAAATTAATGAAATCCAGCGTTTCCAGGCGCGGTTGGGGATATGAGGGCGAGCGCGGAGTGCGGACGTACGAAGCGCCGCTGAGCTACGAGGCGGCTCTGGCGATGGGGCGCGGAGGGGGCGCGCGCGCTCTACCGTCGCCGGGCAGCGCCGGGCCGCGCCTCCCCAACGGCTATAAGCCCCGAACGCGCCACTCCGACTCCGACGAGGACGATTGGTGCTAGCGGCGCCGTCGCGCGCGCTCCCAGCGGGACGTGCGCGCGCCGCTCGCCTCGGCAGCGCCGCACGCGCACACCTTCTGACGCGTCGCGCTAGGACATTCCCTTTTCGGACTCGACCGTGTGTATAATGTATAGATAGACGACTCTCGCCGCTCGGCGCCCGCGAGCCGCGACTATCCAAATTCTAGTATTTACAAACTTTTGGAAAATTTAATTTTTAATTCGCTAAAATTTTACTCTTTGATTTATATTATGGTTAAGGTAATCGAAGTATAAAACAGTGCCAGGCGACTCGTTTGTGCTAGGATTTTTACATAAAGAAGTTATTAGTCTGTATTGTAAAAGTAACTTTCTATATTAAATTTGCACTACGAAAAAATTTACATCATAATATACCGCCTGCTGAAACGAGGGGACCGAGGTCTTCCGCCTGTCACGGACGACGGAGCGTGACGCGTGACAGAAGAGGCGGCTCGGGAGGGGAGCGACCACGCCGGGGGCAGTCGACCTCGCTCACGTCATTTCGTGTTCCAGTTAGACGTTGGAAGAATCTAGCAATTCATCGTCAGACAAATTAATACTAGAGTATTGTATAATATTATATTTACATAGCGAAATAATTTTTACTTAGTTAATATTATACTTAATAAATAATTAACATTTTTATTGAATTTGCTGTCCTTCCCCCAAGTGCTTTATATCTACGTTACTTAAATTTAAATACAATTAAATAAATAATATGGAATGTATGTAAACTTTGATGACATATTTCTGCATATAACTAAATTGTTAAATCGTGTGTAGGCAAGTCAATAGGTATCTAGTGTTTTGTTACATTTGGTGATGAAGGTTGTAATTTAGCGAAAGAAATACGCAGATTATTAATATAACCCGTTATTCTACATATTAGAATTCACGTCCATACGTTTTAATATTCCTTCTATATTTAAAAATACTAAAAAGATACTAAAATTTTGTATAGTTTGCGATCGCCGTACAAAAGCCTGAATCATTTAATACGAACGTTAATGCTACATTAATTATGATGAAATGACATATGTATAAATAATAATGCATACTTACTTTGTCAAACCAGAGAATGTCTATAAGCCAATAATACGAATGATCTAATTAAAATTTTAGACGTAATCTATCTATGACTATTACATAACATGACAAATAAAGTGAAGATTAAAAGACATTTTAAACCAATGAGTTGATTATGTTTGAAAATTTGGTTATAAGCTTGTAATATTGGCAATATTTAGTGTATCAAAACCAAATGTGACAAGAATGCCTCGTCATTTGACTGGAGAAGCTTTGTATTGTTCTATTGGAAGAACCAGTAATAATTATTGCACATCCCTTGTCAATCTATTTCACAACCGTTTATCGGGATTCAAATTCAGAATCAAATAATTTTCTGTTCCAACTAAAGAACCGTGATGTGTATTAGAGATAACACTATTGCCAATAGCTATTTGTCTCTTTCTTATGGCGTGCAATATTTATTCCTGGCAAATGTAACAGTATATTCAGAGGTGTGACCCGAGATTTTTCACCTTGACTAATGAAAAACCTTGTATTACATTCGCCATTTCACAAATGTATATGAAATTCGCTCGGTTATAACAAATTTTTAATCCCCTTAGAATTTTTAAAAGCCGTTTAAAAGCTCTCCGTTATAATAATTCTGACGATTAAAAGCGAGAGAATATATGCTAATCGCTATTAGAGAATAAGCAAACAGGCGAATAATTATTTTGAATTGGTTTCAGCTCCTTGCAGCCACAGAATATCGTCATAAGCATATTTCATTTCCATACCATACAAAAAAGTATTGAAAAGTTCTATTCTGGCGGTGTTTCGTGGCCCGCAGCTCGTAAACCAATTCAATGGCTTGATCTCATTGTTCTTTAATATGTTTACATTTACACGTTACACTCCCTTAGGCTCTCCTTAAGTTACAATTTTTCCAAGTAACACAGTAGTTTCGAAGGGCGAGTTAGGAAAATAGGAAACGCTCGTTTGGAACCATGGCAAACATTGTTGCGAGGCATGCTGTAGGGTACGTATTACAAAATTGTAAATAAATGATTTTCTGTGATAACATTATATGAAATTTATTATTAGAACTGTGTGAATGCATAGACAAGTTATTTATTTTGCAACGACGCTGTGTTATGAATGACTATTGACTTTCAAGTGGTTGTTACTGCTTATTTCAACTTTTTAACGTTAATTAAAATATTTGTATTGTTATATATCGGATGTTTCATGCATGTCTTGTGACTAAATACGTACTTGTTTCTGATAATTCAAGAATAACTCACCATTTTGTCGATCGCAATGCGATTTTCGTTTCTGATCTTGAGTGAAACTTTGTTTATCGAATTGTAAATCCGTTAAATCTCTCGTATGATAATTATGTTACAAACATTTTGTAGCACTCCAATACGAACTTTGATGCTTTAAACTTTAAATCTGAATTTCTCAACTCCCGTCTGCAAACGTTTAGTATACCGTTGAACCGTTCTAAGAGATTTTATTTGTAGATATTAATTATGTTGACAAGTCAGATCGTTTATTTATGTTGACCGGCGGGCTTATTCTCGAATTTGAGGAAATTCTTCCTAGTTGTGATCGCTTTGACAGTTGAGCGATTAACTACATTAAGCTCGAGATGCCTTTCATTCGATTCGAGAATAATCCCGCGACATGTAGATTGTTGTTTTGATATTGCGTTTGGGGTTTTAGGATATAATAAGCCGATGGACTTTCGATGACTGAGTGGTTAGTCAGAATGCGTCCCGCTTTAGTGTCGGTGGTCTTTGTTTCTACGTCGCGGCATTACTACGTGTTTAGGGCATGTATATATTGTAATATATTACGCGACCGCTGTAGAAGGTTGCATGTGAAAATGTCTAGTGATATGTACTAGTTAATATTAATGTTAGCTAGGTAAACTCGTCCCCAACTGTCCTTGAGTTTAAGTTGGGTGTTTCACTGCCTTAAAATAATGATGAACGTAATAGTTACTTAACTACTACAGATAAGTGAATTCAATACGATATTATTACAATTTTTAATCGTTTTATTGTTGCGCGCGCGCATCTTGGTTATTAGAGTTAAATGGGGAGCGAAGGCAGAAACGGCATAAGGTGTATGTAGTCAACATGTTTACAATAGCTAGTTTGACAATTTTTATTTATACTTCAAGGCTTACATAAAAAAAAAACAAATTTCCTTAATACAATAACTCTGCCCTAATGTCGTTTTTGCTTTCGCACCCTCTCTTTGAGTTGAACTGAATACGATATTACTGTTAATGATTACGATTTTCATCAAAATGGCGATTTGTTCTAACTATTCATTTCGACAACGCTAGATGCTAGATTAAACAAATGTAAGACATGTATAATATAACGGCAAATAATCGTGTTCAAGCTATGCGTATCTTGCTACATGTTTCACTAATAACCAACTGAAACCTTGTATTTCGTTGTGCCACTACGCTTTTATACAAGTACTAATTTAAAAGCGAAGCGAGTGGACGGCATCTCGCCTGCCTTATCTGTATAATTGCGTCGTTACAATCGTGTTTTGTAATAAATTTATAAATTATAATTAATAGCAGAGAAAGTTCATCGGCGACGTGAAAGCACCATAGTATGTTTTGGTATGTTTCAATAACTTTGCAGGATAGTGCATCCTATGATATTGTATTAATAAAGAACCAAATTTAAATTAGAGTTTAAGTAATTTATTATCCTAAAACTAAAAAAAACTATACGCATGTTTTCACTATACTGGTAAAAATGGTTATGTACAATACAAAGGAGCTAATGTTTTATATATGAATTCTTGCTCGCCTGTAAAATTTTGCAGAATGAATCATATTATAAGAATTGTACAATATGAATAAATGCAAGAAGACATTTCCTCGATAATTTGTGTTCACTTTGATTTACGACCCCACTTTCTAATAAAATAACATGAATACAAGGAATTCTCTTATACGTTTTATTTTATCCGATCCGTCTCTATATGGTGCGGTGGGCTCTTCCGACCTTCAAACCACCCTGAACCTGAAGCTAGAAGCATCATGAGCGGAACTCGATATCATCCAGCCAGAATAATCAAAGAAAAAAGTAGGTACTTCAAATTGTATGTGTGCGAATTTTACCTTCCTTCTTTCCTGATAAATTTCGATAGAGAAACTTTATCTGGGCATGTTAATTAAACCTACGGTTTGATTTTAGGGGACATCGTATCTTGTTAAGATGACCTACCATCGAGTGAAACCCGTGCTTATTGGTTCTCCTCTATCATAAAAAGCTATTGGGACATTTCGAATACAAACGGAAGCTGGCACATATACAATAATTTAATAGAATATATTTACACATTCTATAGGACACTTGGGTGGCCGCGATATTTTAAATGTCCAAAATGCAAGAATAAGCTAAATGTCTGAATCGGCTGCATCAGTGTCCAGTGAACTAACGTCAGCGTCTATGTCACTCCCGACTGTCCTAGTGCGTATCCTTTGTCGATTCTCATCGCCGTTATCTGCTGAAAATTAAATTATTTTTATTAATACGGTAAAAGTCGTATAACTACTGTTAAAGCCCACTAATCCACATTAGAGTAGCGTAGTAGGTCGAAGATCTGAAAAGAGTATTATTATAGCATGTCAGAGACCTGGGTCCAGCTTTGAAACATCTATATATTATTATAGTGTATTTTTTCTAACTTGGCCATAGACAACAAATATGGCCGATTTTTAACCATAGAGAACTGACTAAAACCTTTTTATAGAGCGCAGTCGGTGACACAGGAATGAAGGAATATCCATTATATATTGGATCAAACGACCTCAATATTTAAAATCCCTTTTATGCTGACTTAAAAAAATATATGTCTTTATTATTTAACTCGACGTTTGTAACGCTTTTCAGCGGTCGTGCACGAGTTGTTATATCTTACAATGTCGTTTGGCTTCGCTTACATCCCATTTTTGTATGAATATCAAAGGAAAAAGGGAAATTTTAATCTGTACATATATAAATATTTGCCTATTATAGCAAATTAACAATATTTTTATTATATATACATTTTATAAATATTTATCTATGTAAGACACAAGGTGACGATATTTAATTGACAAATATTGATGCCAATTCAATATTATAAGAAAGTATATTATATGTCATGACCTATTTATCACAATATAATAATGTAAATCATACCTGGCTTTGTAAATTCCTTGTAAAATACATTTTATACATCACAAAAATAATGTTTTATACTAAATTTAATTATATATCTACCAAATAATTCGTTATGTGCATCAATGTAAACCTTGTGAGAAAATCACGAATTCATGTAAATTGTGTTTCTTTACCAAAAATGCCAAATAAGAAAAAATACACTATATAAAAGGGTTGAAACAATACAATGACTACATTACGTAAAAGAAACGAGTCATACCATCAGCTGTCATGAAGGAAGTGTCAGGAGATTCAGTGGGCCTGTCCAAGTTAGGAGAATCAACGGTTTCGCGTATGTATTCATAGTGGGCGACCAATGCTGAAGGATCTACTAAAATCGCCTGAAATTTATTTTTATCTACTTATTAGAGTCACTCACTGAAGATTTCGGTCTTTGAAATTAGACCGAATGTGCATGGCATTATTAAAATAATAACAAAAGTGTCTTATCCAGTGTGTCGCTTAGATCGTATATTTTAATTAAATTCCATGCATATTAGTACAAAATTGTTTGTACCTCACTTGGGGTGTCCGTGGACGTTTCGCTTGAGCTAAGCGATGTGCCTCTACCAGAGCTGTCCTGCGAGTTGTCACTGTGCATGCCCCTGCCGTCACCTGCGCCCGCGCCGGCACCTATAGCGCCCTCTTCATCAGCATTCAAATCAAAGACTCGCTCCACAAGAGGTAAGGGGAATGGAATAAGATTATTGTCTTCGTCTTCAGATTCTTCGGCCTTTTGTAAATAAACATTATTTTTTTACTGGTATATTCAGACGACAAAAACATTTACTAGTACTGAAAGACAAATCTTAGTAGCAAAACTATAGCCCACTCAATCCTGAGGTCTAATAGTTTTTGTTACTTCCCTCTTCACTAACTGAATAATCAAAAACTTACAGATTGCTGATGACTGATTATATTGAACAACCAACTGGGAATAAATGAGTCCTCTTCAACATAACAAGATTCATAGGTATCCGAAGATCTGCCGGATATGAGAATTTCCTCGGATTCCTAAAATAAATATATAATTATCAGTCGAGATTTTCCTACCAAAACTATAGGAGGGGTTCAAAAAGGTTTAAGGAAATATTATAGCGGTCCGTAATTGTAATAACTCACTGCTTGTCTGCTAACTTCTTGCATTATACGAGTTTCAGGATCAACCAGGCTAATATATTCCGGTTGATCACCAGCTAGAGAGGCTGCGTTCATTGAAAAACCGCTGAACGCTTGCAAGGCAATAGGGCCGCCAATATTCTAAAAAGGAAGAATAAAATCAGCGACGTTTTAAGTGACATAGGCATAATAATTTTTATTATTACCAGCACAGTATTGAGATCTTTCCTCTTAAATATCCCTTGTAAAGAACTCTTTGTGTCGTCTGGAGTCGTCGAAAAGTCATACAAGTCCTGATCTGCTAAGAAATATTCAGAATGTTTCGACGACGAACAAACAGATTCAAAGGATTTCACATCTGTTTTTACTGTATCCCTTATATTTATGGTTGTACTGCTTAGCGTATTATTTATCGAATTGTAAACGGCCTCTTCTAAATTTAATTTAAAATCTGATGAAACATCATTTTCAATTACAGTTTTAAAACTTGAAGGCGAAGAAGTATTGTAGCTTAGGGTTTCGTTTCCAATGCAGATGGAACTATCGTTATCGTCGAATGGGGCTATTATAGGGCTATTTTTAGGAGTACTACAAATGGTATTTATTTCCTCTTCGAGCATAAGTTTTATGGAATTTTCCAAACTTTGAAATTTTATAAGTTCCGGAGAAAGATTATTGTTAAGCGATATTTCAACAACTTTAACTTTCAAGTCGTCATCTTTATGAGAATCCGATATTAGCACTGTATCAGTAGGACTGCTGAGAACAACATTATTTTCGATGCACGATTCATCATTGTTTATTTTTTTGGACGACAAAGATGTTGTTGATTGTAATAATAGTTTGCTTGAACTTTTAATATTTGGTAGTTTTGGTGGCGACTTCTTGAACTGAGATCTACTTTTGGATAGTTTTAATGGGACTGAATGTAACGGCGAGCTTTCTGCGTTCATATGTGCCCTAAAAATATTTTTAGTTGTTCCAAGGAAGCCTCGTTTTACCTTGTTAGAAGCATCCTCAGGTATATTTTCTTTATTTTCAATTTTCTTCTCATTTTTACTTTTCTTTATTATATTTTTAATCTTCGAGCTAAAATTACTTTTAAATTCGGGAGTAGGTTTGGTATAATGAGCGGACGTAGTACATGTTTTATTAGAATCGTTGACTTTACAAATCGACGACACAGCGCGAACTGTGCTTGGCGACGAATCTGAACTATTCTGAGACTCCGGGCTACAGCTACGCTTTGGGGTACTGTTGTTTCCTAAAGATTCTCGATCCATATCATCAGTGTCAATATCAACAATTCTTTTATTTTCAATTTCATTCCGGAATACCTGATAACTAACAAACTTACTGGAAATACGAGAATTCACTTTTACCCGCTTGACAACATCTCGTTTTATCTCTTCAGTTTTTGATCTCATGAATGGGGCTATAATGTTATTGTCTGCCGGTCTAACCGAATCGATACTTTGTGACAAAAATCTTTTTCCCACCAAAGGACTTCTGTTTCTTTTCAAATATGGTGGCAAGTAATTTTCGATATTTGGTATTCCATTCGGCCGAGATCGTAATAAATACTCTCTATAAGAGATGGGCTTTTTTGGGGCATAGCTGAAAAGGAAAGTTGTTTAATATAATTCTTACCTATATAATAAGTATCCGTTACTTTTTAAATAAATTAAAAGTCAATACCTCTCTCTGATATTTGGAGGAACCTAAAAAAATGTATTTTGTTAGTCAAACAGAACACAATTTATTATAAAATAAACTGTTTAGTGGTTACCTTTCTATCATTTCTATTAAACTTGTTGGGCCTACTTCTAATAGGAACTGCTGATTTTCCGGAAGGCAGAATTTTAGTTATTGGTTCTTTTTTCAAAGTTTGTCGTTGTGTTCTTATTTGTACCGGACGTTTTGAAGCAATATTCAATTCGTTCTTAGCGGAATGATTCTTATCAGAAGTATTAGAACCTCGTTTTACTTTTTTAGATGTGTAATAAGCTTTTTTAGTAGTCGATTTTTTAATGTTCTTTTTTGTTAAGGCGTTGGGAGTCAATTCATTCCATCCACCTTGGAAGACTACATCTTCAGACACTTCTTTATCTTTAAAACTATGAACGTAGATTCCACCACAGCTTAATTTTGATCTAATTCGTGTTGGAGATCTTTGTTTATTATCGTTTTTGCAAAACTGGATTTGAACATTACTTTTATTTATAGGTGAAAGTAAACCTATAGGAGATTTTACCTCATATAAATCTGACAGGGGTTTGGTAGCTTGAACATGAGCCGGAGCTGGTTTAATTAATGTAGTCTCCATAGGTTTGTTATTTGTATCCCCAAAAAAATCAACATTATTCCCAGGTAACATAGGTAATGGTAGGGTCATTGTTGCCGTTTCTGTTTTATATTTTTCTGTTAACATAGTATCAGAATCGTTTATGCGGATACCCGTGAAAACATGATGTGGCAAAGTAGTATCCGGTGAAGTCCCTGTATCAAACATTTTCTTACTGTATAAAGTGGATTTAGAATGTTCTATCTTGATACCCTTTGAAAATAGTTTCGGCAATTTTGAAAAAGATGTAGTCGCTGACAACATGGAGCAATGAGTTATATCGTCCGGGCCACACTGTGCATCTAAACCGGCATGGCGTATACCCTTAGATGTACTTGGCTCATTAATATCTGCAAAAAAATGCATTGACAATCCTAATTGACTTAAACTTTTACAAAATATACCGTCATAGTTTATTACCGTATAAAAATATTGTCTGCGACTGAGCATCCTCGTTATCATTTTCTTTCAAGACATTAAGACTATCCTGTTTGGTTACATTGATAACGGTTTCAAGATCAGCTTCCTGGTCTGAGAAAACAGCGTCAGGATCGGTGCCTATAGAGCGTCGAAGAACGACTTCTTCCTCAGTTTCTTGTGTGATGATACTAATAACATTACTGTTTTCAGTAGCTGCTATATTAATGTAATTCTCATTTACTTTTGTAACTTCTCTAGAATAACTGTCAACTAGCATAGGAGTTACGCTTGTCTCCTCAATTTGCTTTTCTGCTTTCTCACAAAGACTTATTAAACTACTTGGTATCTAGAATAAGTAGGATAGATCAATTACCATTAAAATGCATATGTGTTTTTACTATTAAAATTAATTACCTACGAAATTACATAATCTTATGATAATGCATATTAGATATTTCTTTTACATATAAGAGAAATATCATTTTTTGTATTTTTGATGTTATTACTTTTATCGACTAGTCACAAAGTTTAGCTGCCCCTGTTGGTTGAAAGAAAAGAAAAGAGTGCAAGAATTATTCGCCATAAATGTCTTCCTCTTAGTTATTTTCAGTTTAGGCAGCTTAAAATACTTACGGTGTTTGTATTGTTTGTTGTTAATTAGTAGTGCAACATATTATTATTTTTTAATTAATATGTTGCACCCTAATCAGTATATTCTTTAATTAAAAACAATTCATATATATACTATATACAAATGTTACTTACAGGAGCTATAGCGTTTGACTGAAGCCTCTGGTGGTCCTTACATTTCTTCTTTGACTTAGTGTCACCAAACTTAATGTAGTAATTTTTAAGAAGAAATGTATAATTTAATTTTTTCTTCGATGATTTCTTAGCAATTTTCGTTTCGGGTCTTTTGTTTTTAATTTGTTTATTTTCAAATTTTAAATTATGGGCTGAATCAAAAGTAGACACGGAAGTGCCGTCAATTTTATCGACACTCACGGATGTACAGCTCTCATGATCCGATTTAAATGTGACCACGTTTTGGGCTTCAATATCTTTGTTATATAAAGGTGATTTGTTAACACCGATCCATTCTCGTACTATATCTAATTTCGTTTTTGGTTTCTCGGTGTTACTTTCATTTCCCTCATTAAATTCAATTATGTCAGACATTTCGTCATCTTTGTATGTATCGGTAGCTACAAGATCGCAACACAAGCATTTAACAGAAGACTCTAAATGCTATAAAAATGATGCAATTAAAAAGTTAAAACAACACATGTACCTTGAAAAAATTCATTGTCGTCTTCAGTGTCTAGATCGCCTCTAGAATTATCCCTGACATGAAAGTTTTCTTCAAGTATGAGTTCTATAAATAAGTATAAGTTAGAATATAAATAGCTATCGAAACTACAATTCATATTGTACTTACCAGATGGGTTAACCAAATGTCGGTACTTGAACATGATTTCGTCTCTATAAAGCAATTTTACATACTGTACATTTTGGACACATTACTATTTCGTATACGGTGTTTTTAATACATATATATGATACTAACGCTCTTTCATTTTCTTTTTTCACTTTAGCTAACGCCATCACGTATTGATCATTAGTCTGACCTACAAGACATACAAACCAAATTAATATTTATACTTACATCAATCAGCCAATATAAATCTTACAATATTTAGATCCATCTAATATCATAATCTCGCAATAGTTAGACAATTTAATAATGGATGGCGTTTAGTCTAAACTGTTAGTGCATCTCAGACATGAGAGAAATATCCAGTACTTTACATATTTTCTTAAATTATTGAAGTTTATCAGTAACCGGTAACATAAAATCGAGGATTATCCACAATGGTTTATTTGCAAAACCTTTCCCTAAGCTATAATAATAGCTAATAATGGTCTACTATAGTGAACATATTTACCGTTCTCTATAGCTTTTATGCTATATTCTTGTATGTAATTCTTCCTTCGCCGTTCAATGGCTTTTTCTGTTAGAGTTAGCAAATCGAACAATTTGCACTGCACCCAACTTGCTGGTACTGGCGTTTGGCGGTATTTGCTTGTGTGCAGGGCTAGTTTCATTAGTCTGCAAACCACTCTATCCAATTCGCTAGATATATCTTCGTCAGCTAACAGTAGGGTCCGGAGCTTTCGTACTTTATGGTCTAAGGCACGGCGGAGACATCGACCTGTAGTTTGATTGTGTTTTGTAGTGCTTATAGTATCACTCCAACATGACAACATGAACTTCATAAAACGCCTTATTAATGGTGACTTACCGTAAAAGTTATATCTTATTTTATAATGATTTTAAATTTTCTAGTACCGAATGTAATTCATCGTTATATTAAATCAAATCATCTACAAAAACTATTATATTTAATGTGAATCTGCTAAACATACAAAAATACTTGTGGTAGTTTGTTGTTGTAAAGAAATAACTTCTTAGAACCAGGTTTACCTTCTGTTATATGAGACACCTTAAAGCTTCTAAATTTAGATTTTCGAAAGACAAAGAGAAATATATACGTGTAAGTTAATATACTAAATAAGAATGCGATACACATGAAAAGGCAATAAAACTGGTACTAAGTGTTAACCCTGTACAACTCATGTATTTGGTGGCGACATGTACAGTGAGAAGAATAATTTCAAACCGTAAAAGTCCGGAACGTTTGTGCTACCGTCGGAAAGCGAAGATGAACGTACATCTGATGTATCCCACTGGAAGAATATATATTCTAAATTTCTTTTTTGTTTTAAAAAAATTGTCTCGAAGTCGTGTTTTCTTAAGAAAAATCAACATTATTCACAGCAAATAATTTTGAACAAATCAGAAAGAACATGTGTAAAAAATAGTATTTTATTGAACATAAACTCGAGAGAACACTAATACTTAACAAAACTTAAAATAGACAGAACCAACTATGCTTAAAACTACCTTCAAAACCTAAACAATCCTTATTTATAATCTATACTTATATTTAAAACTACAAAACTAAACATTCGTATTTTTTTAGGAGATAAAAAAAATGTTTTTTTAAACAATATTATGAGCTAAAAAACATTACGAAAAATGAGTATTATTAACCAAGCTAACCTCTAAGTTAAAAATCTATTCCCTATTTCAAGATAGTAAGTGTATAATTTCTACATATTAACTTTTTGAAAACTCTTTTTGTACTGGTTAATGAGATTACTATCTATTATATGAAATCTTATAGCATTTGTCATTAGATGACGATGATGTGATCTCTAGATAAGTCATTTATTGCTATTTTAAACATTTGGCACTATTCAAAGATACAATCTTAATATTTCGAAGATTAAACATGTAGAAATAATATCAAACATAAAATGTACGCAAAACGATGATTATGGTGATGTAGGGAGATGAAGAACTATCTTTTGTCTCTCATTCACATTGTTCTTGACATATACATGACAAATATCGAGATGAAATTATATATGTACAAAATCGTTTTTATTTACATCAGACACTGTTTCGTTGTCCGCCCAATCGTCATCATGGGTGCCAATCGATGTAGTATCGACGATCAGACGAGAATGCACCACCAAGTCCCCAACAATTTGGTACCCGTTCCATTCTAGGAGTTCCCTGCAAGAGGAGAAAAATACTAAAAATTGAAATGGTAGAATGATGATAGCATACAATCATATAAGCATTTGGGTATTATTCACAGACAATAAAGTTAAGAGTTAATTAAACGTTGTATGCCAAACCCCTTGTGTTTCGTTTAGAATTTAGATGATTAATCGCAGTCGTGGTCACGGGGGGCGGTTCCTTGTTCAAATAAATAAAAAATAAGTTTAACTAATATATTTCGTGTTTCAAACTGTCAAAATTGTTCATTTAAAATTTTAATTAAGTGTGTAGAGTAGTTATTAATAAATTTTTCACTTGCAGATTCATTAAATATTACTTACTTGACTTTATCAACATCGTCGGTGATGTGCACTACCGCCTTCATCAGGTGATCTATCGGAATCTCCAACCTATTAATTTCCGCGGGAAACTCGTCATCCCACTGCTTATCCACCAGAGAATTTATTTCTTCGCATATCAGATCTAGGATACGACATTCGTCCGACTTGGTCTGAAAAGTTTGGCTCCGTTACTCAAACACGAGAAGCTTTTTTAATAAAACAGTTTAACGGTTTAAAACGCGATATATATTACTTCCTACTAATTTGAAAATTATGTTAAGCTACGGACGTTCCGGATGCTTTGCAGCAGCCGTGGTTACGGGGAGATTGTCGTCGTACGTCGGACTGCAGCTAAAAATAATTTTCAAATGAGTTTAATTAATATATATATCGCGTTTTAAACCGTTAAGTGTTTTATTTAAATGTTTACTGTTCACGAGAAGCTTGTTTTAAGGACTTTTAAAATAAATAGACGTTTTTGCCTAGATTTTTTAAATAAATATATCGTTTATTGATATAGGTATTTTAAAGAACCGGTAGTTTCGGATGCTTTGCAGCAGCAACAGTCACATGAGGTGGATCGTACTTAAATAGATCAAATATGAGTTTAACTAATATATTTCGCGTTTTAAACAATTGAAGGTGCTTCATTTAGACTTAAACTCCTCTTTAATGTACTCTTTGAATAACAATTTTAAACTAACCTCAAATGGATAGTTATAATCCCTTACGACCTTGTAGTATTCGTTCCAATATGGCGCATTCTCCCCCCAGTTAAAGTTGTGCAAAATATGGTCACCGCCGCACTGCTTGCAGCTCTTGTCAAAGTTAAGCATCTTCGTCAAATGACGAATCTCATCTACCACTTCACGGGTGTGCACCAATGAATCTATTTTGTTTTTCGCCATCATGTTTTGAGTAGTTTTAGAGAACTTCTTCACTTGTAACGTGGTGCAGTTCAGCCTGAAAAGAGAAACGATACATACTCTTATCGTGTTTTTAATGCTTACATATGATGAAACATTTTAAACATTAAGCAAAAATCTCATTATTTCAAACGATGACATATTATTTAAAATCTATTTAGATTAATAATGAATTACATTCGTGCTGTCGCTCTAACCGATTGAGCAACCGTGCCAGCAGTGGTTAGACCATCACGGACTGTTGTGGATGCTAGTTCAAGTAAGTTGATTAGTTTAGTAGGTTATAGTTATTATGTAACTTAAAACACTAAGGGTTTCAAATGTTTACATATTTTCAAAGCGGAAGTACATAATTATGTTGCCTATTTTGTCTCTATTCTTAATTGCAATGTAATACCTGACTGAAGTTCCTTTGTAGTTTCCCTAGAGCTTTCGTTGCCCGACTTGACCAAAACAAATGTTTAATAATTACCAAAAACAGTTGTCTCATATGCAAGGGTGTTCGCCAATTAAAAACTTAAATTAACCTGTTATTAACATCTTCAAACTCATATATTCTATACAACGTTTTCCTCCTTGGAAGTAAAACCTTAGGAGTTTCATTCTCAAACAAGAATCCCTTGGCCACCTCTGTGTCCAAATTACACTGGAACGCTTTGTCAGTGTACTCTATGGCATGGTATGAGTACATGGGAGATGTCAGGACGATGGTAACACAGGATTGTTTGTTCGAGGTTAATTCTGGATAAAGGTCGATGCTAGGAAAGGGGATTAAATGTATATAAGAAATTAGTAATAAGATGGTGTGTTGGTTTGTATGGCTTATAAGGGCTTAGATATCCAAACCAATGTTTCTCAACATCAAGAGACATTGTCTGGAAAATATTATGATAAATAGATGGTGTTAATATGAAATACTGTCCAGGTAACAAATCACGTTAAAAAAACCTAAAAAGGCCTTAAGTAAGTAAGTATTGGTGAGAAATAATGCGATAAAAAAACGAAAACACACTAATAAATGTATTTACATAAGATCAAAATTCTTCCAATGAATCAAGGAGAGGAAAACTAAACTTACTCATTGGTTATGCATAGCATATTATTATCGGGTATGCACTCATAACTGGATGTCATGTCATCTAAGCTTAGGCTTGGCACATCTGAAATTTCAGTAAAACTGTTAAAACCACTAAAAAATTAGCTTATAACTTTTAGACAGTAAAGCCACTTTTCTTCTTCTTCCAAAATCAATTGACGATAGATCATAGTTTAAGAAGCAATATACTAAAAGATACTGAGTACCTTTACTGGCAACCAGGGCCAAGCTATTTGGGTCCAAGTCCTGTTGTTTTATATAGTTCTTAGAAACAAATATCGCCATTTGACTACAGCAACCTAGATGCGCTGTATCAGGAGGTCCGGGTCCAATACCCTTACATGAGACAGAGTATTGTGGGTATCGCAACACAATATTGGTGCACCTGTAACAATTTATAAAACATGGTTAACCTCAGAACATAACTATACTAAACTAACATGCCAATAATTAAAATCAAATAAAACAAGCTCTTGAAAACTTTATTATTTTTTACATGTTATTGCACATGAAGGCACTATACAATTTTTAAAAATCGAAAATAAATTGATAAAATTGATAGAGCAACAGCACGGAACGCTGACGATGACGGTTCAAGTCCTGCCCGAGTCGAAAATTTTTTCAATTTATTTTCGATATTTAAAAAAAACAAGCTCTTCCAAAAATTTTAACAGTTGCAAAAATGATATAGAAAATTACTTCACACTACCAAAACATAAAATAAACACTGAAATATTATACCAATCATGATATTGTTCTCTGCTCCACTCAAAGAAATGGTCTAAGCGTCTCAGGCCATTTTTCTCCATAGATTTAAAGAGAACATTAAAGTCACCATTTGGTGTTGTTAAGACAACAACCCACGGCTTTATAAAACCAAAGACCGTTTGAACAAATCTATCCAAGTCATGCGGTAGCATGTGTTCAATCATTTCTATGGCTATGACAGCATCACAGCCTATCAGTCTATAGTCAGGGTCTGCTGCATTACCTTGGAATAGCTGAAATTATAAAATATACTAATATTATATTATATATGACTATAAATGCTGTAGCATAAAAAATTTAAAAGTTCGTTTTATTGGAGACAAGGCAAGCAGTAGACTAATCTGACAATCATTAAATGATTCTTTAAAATTTATATTGAGTTTGTGTTTGAAGCTCTTTCAATTTTTTTTAAATATATGTTTACAACGTGGGAACTACCTACATGTACAGTCATAAATGAACTCATACTTACAGTCACTTTTAAAGGGTTCTCTCTCTTTGGCATGTAGTCTTCAGAACTAAGGAGATCAGATGAACTCTGAATTGGTATTGTCTCAATATCTACACCCATAATATGCTGGATTCCCGGTACTTCTTTCAGATATTTTATAAAACTCATGTCATGGTATCCAAAGTCAGCAACCTGAATAGAGTTTGTAATGTATAAATAACATTGGTAATACTTAAAGAATCATCTAAACTACAAAATAATGTTGTTTGCAAATTTCTTACTGGAATAGAAATAACATTCAAACAGGAATAATCAACAATCTTAGTACACTGATTGGCATCACTACATTAGCTAACAAGGTATATAGGTACGTAAATTTATTCGGAGTTTTTACTCACTCTATATTTCAATATTATGTATTTAAATAGTACAAACCTTTTCCAATTTTCCGTACCAAACATCGTCCATGAGACAATCGGTCACGGCCGCATACCTCTGAACGTACACAGGCGGGAAGAATACAACTCCTTTCTCCTCGTGATACTCCGCGTATACTTGATCCTCAGAACCTTCGTCATCAGAATCATTTTGTTTTGTAAAAGTAAAGCTGAAGTTTTTGTAGTACGGTCGTAGGAAAGCATCCAATGCCCGCACTAGTGTTTCGCGAAAGAATATGAGTGTTTGAAGGGCGATGATCATTTTCCTGGGTGAAACTGAGAAATTTGGAAGGTGACTCAGTTTATATCGCGATGTGAAGGATCACCGACAACTTTCATGATGTTCACATGTTTGTTTTGTTTACCCGGCGGATTTGGTTGTTTTTTTTTTCATTCTACTTCAAGTGTCATATGTCAATATCATAATGACGTTTAGTTAAACAATGTTGGATTACGTGTTGATTGTATTTAGTCTAATGTAGGATGATAAATCTAACACTTTATAAAACGAAACAGTATTACGTAGATTTAGAATAACGATGAAAAGTGTTACCGAGATAATAATTTTAAAACATACAAACGCTAGTAGTTAAATTTGAATTGCCAAGACAAAAATATTTAAAAATTTTAATTACTTTAAAAAAAAGAGAAATCTTTTGAGAATTTGTATTCCTACACAAATGATTTTAATGATAAGCTTTTTATTCCTGTGGTGACTTTGGTAAGTAAGACCACCGATTAATAAACGTAAGATTTTATAATGGTATGTAATTAAATAATAAAGGGAGTATTTTCAAGCCGTAATTTTAGTTACATATTTATATTTTATTATATTGTTGTGATACGTATTGTCGTGTCAATAGTTTTGAAAATTTCCAAGTTCTGAGTCAACTGTACCATAGCTACAGCTGTGCTTCAGAACATAAATCACTTCAGTGATTCAAGAGAAAGTTAAGTATCGCCGTGTCGATACAGAAATAGAAATCTATTGTTTAATAAGTCTGATAATGATATTGTGTCAGCCTTGCTTAGCCAGTTTCAACTATGTTAATGTGGCTTATATGTTAGGAAACCGTTTTAATTTATTCCGTTATATTGTATAGATGCATCTTCACACGTAGATAAACTTGAGCCACTAAGTAGTGTCTTGGAAGAGTATAAATATATTCGTGAACATAGTATTATTCTTATATTATGGAAGAAAAGTAATTAAGATAAACTTGAGCCACTAAGTAGTATCTTGGAAGAGTATAAATATTTAAATAAAACACTTTAACGGTTTAAAACGCGATATATTAGTTAAACTTATTTGAAAATGATTTTTAACTTCGGCCCGACGTTTCGGATGCTTTGCAGCAGCCGTGGTCACGGGGAGAGTATAAATATATTCGTGAACATAGTATTATTCTTATATTATGGAAGAAAAGTAATTAATGCATTATTAAAGTAAATAATTTTATTTTAACGTTTCGGATGCTTCGCAGCAACCGTGATCACGGGTGAAAAGCTGAAGATGGAGGATGTTCCTAATGTCAAAAACTACTACACTACTGTTCTCTATCCTATCGTAGCTGGGATTGGCGAAACTGGTTGGGTCCAAACAGAACTGACTAACGGTCCTATCGTTACTCGATATGCCGTGGTTTTTTTAAACGTCACGTTACTAATAATTTTAGCGTTTAAAACCGTCAAAAGTGATTTATTTAAATGTGTACTACTCACGTAAACTATAGTCAGTGCTTTACACAACGCAAGTCAAAATTCTGTAAATATTTTAACCTCAGTATGAAACATTGGTATGTACAACGCGCTAATTGCCTAACATACTTTTTCAGGTCAGAAGCTTTCAGGACTCGAAAGAATTACATTTATGATAAAGTGCGAACAATAGGTGAGAGGTCTTGCAATTATAGCATAGATCTCAACACCGTATTTATGAGATAACAGCCGAGTGATAATGTTATGTATAATATTCTCTTTATCTTCGAGTTCCGGTTGCAAGCGTTGTGCAAATGTCAATTTTGAAATCACCAATTGGCTTCGAACAGTCAGAACGGTGTCAATATTAGGGGATTAGGTGCAATAAAAAAATATTCATCTAAATTCCCACAAAAGGTCTTATATCTTCAAATCTGGAGTATTCCTAAAGTGTTTGAAATCTCTAATATTCTTCACATGTTATTACACATAACGGCTCTATATAAATTAAAAATCGATTATTAATCGGAAAAATTTATGATTCGGGCAGGACTCGAACCCGCATCCACAGCGTTCCGTTCCAGAGCCACAGCACGGAAGCACGTTCGAGTCCTGCCCGAGTCGCAATTTTTTTTTAATTTTTAATTCCTAGAGTGTCTTATGTCATAAGTACAAAGTCTGACCAAATATCTAGAACAAAAAATAATAATTAAAATAGTTTCTTAAACAAGTATTATTTTATAGTGCATTTATCATAGTTTCTCTAGATAAAACCTGGTGACAGACGGGCACATGCAAAGACACAGTGTTAAAGAAATAGATCCCAATTTTACCCTTTGAAAAAAAACTAGCAAATAAATGTATGTAAACTTACAGGAACAGCCTCAGTAAAGTTGTAATTCTATTAAGAAAGAGAGACAATAAACATAATTTGTTATTTAAATGCACTTATTCTAGTAGAAGTGATTGTTTTTGTTTAAAGTTTTTAACATATAACACACTAGCTGTGTCAGCGACTTCATCCGCGTAGAAAAGTTATTTTGGGCATACAAATTTGTTTTTGCAAACCTCCTCTTCATCTTTATAAATTTAGTTGCCACGACATCGGACGCGTTCCGTCGCTCGCGACCCGTCGTTCTGGTCCCATCGTTCTTGAAAGTTAATCTTAAAACCTAGACATATAGTATCAGGGACATTTCTTTAGATTATTTAAAGGGGAAACTTTTATACATAATTTGTGGGTATCTTATACGCAGCATACGCAACCGAAACCCACAGATATGAAAATTTTCCTCCGTTCTGTTCACATTTCTATTAGTCGCAATATTTTATACCCTATAGCCTTCCTCGATAAATGTTCTAACCAACATACAAATAATTCTTCAATTTGCACCCGTAGTTCCTGAGGTTAGTGCGTTCAAGCAAACAAGAAAACTAATCTTCAGCTTTATACATTAGTTACATTTTTTACGTTTAGGGGAAATGAAGTAAGTCCTACTAACAATCCTACTAGTAGGAACTAATAACTACGTGTACCTAGTTTTACGAGTTCAGTATGATAGTCATAAGTAGGCAAAATATTCGCTTTCATGGTAAAAATCTAACCTGATTTAAACTAGAATATTCTTCTGATTTATTACGTTCAATGTGGACTCACTCAACATAATATTATGTATTGATAATTAGAAATCAGAAGTCATAAAGGGTCTTATGTCAAAACGGGTTTAATTTTATACTTATTTAATAAATTATATCAAAGCAAACAAAAATTGGTAGCCTGAAACGTCTAATTTCAATCAACTAATAATATATATAAATTAAAAAATATAACGATATTAAAACGTGGCTTTTCAATAATATATTAAAACTTTTCCGCAATAACAAATGAAATTTTCATAAAATTAACAAATTTTACCGGTTTCAAACACGAACTATAATAAAATTAAGACACTTATATATATAGTATCAGTGATTTGAACTGGTTGAAAAATATTTATTCCGTGAGGCTTACTCGTATGACATCACAGTAGAATAAAGTAATTGATTGAAAATTTAAAAATTAACTATAACTTACGGCCAAAATATTGAAATTAAAACCCAAATTTACCCACTATTTAAACAAATATGTAGGTACTGAACAGGTTGAACAGCTTGTTTGTAAACGCGCTGATCTCATTGCATGATCGGAACTACATCATTTATCGAGAGAGACTTAATTTTTAATATAAAACATCACACTGCGACCATTAGTAAATATAGAGTAGGAAATGTGGAGTGTAAGGGTCTTGATTGCGTGTATTGCGAAAATGGTACACTTACCTAAAATATGTAGGACTTAATGATTCCTCTTTAAGTAAGATAAATAATTGTCCGCAACAGTATATGATTATCTTTCAAGATTAACATACAAGAGCGACGGGACGCGGAGGACGTCATGGGTAACAGCAATAATTAATAAAGACAAATTTTGATGCCCAAAGAGCTACTCTACGCGGACGAAGTCGCGAGCTATTAAAAAGAAATAAAACCATAAGTATAATCACGAATGTACCTTCTATGGTTTATTCATTTCCATCTGTAATTGCTGTATTTTTGTTATTTTTAAGTAAACGATTGTATTGGGAATAAATGTTTTTCTTTAATCAGTGTTTCCAGCCAGATCGACTCGACCAACAACACGCAGACTCGTAAAAAGGTTAAATATATAAATCGATTTATTATGCACATCATATCGCCCGCTGTCTGAGTTCTTTGGAATTTACAGTTATATATTTGTATGTGTATGTAGTTTAAGTTCATATAATTGTTTCATAGTAACGTTATAATGGCCTGCATACAGAAATAACATTGGTAATTTACCGTTTTGTATCGTTAGTGCATCGCATTATTTGTAGAGAGTTCAGAGGTTACATTCCGATGATACAAAAAGTTAATGCATTGACATTGACATAAACGAAGTTTTTTTTTTAATAATAGTGGAGGACAGATAAGCCTGGAGTTCACTTGATGGAAGGTGAATTCCTCTAGCCATATAACGTCTACATAAGATGCGAACATTCGCAAATCACATAATAAACTTCACGGTTTTTCATCTGTGGACGGTGGTTCGTGATCCGGACGAAATTTCGATATTCCCAGCATCCATTTAATATCCAGATTATCTTACGGAGTTCAACATGTTTCAGAAAACTTATAAATTGGTCCCGGTGGGAAATCAAATCCTCGACCTGTTGATTATAAGCCTTACGTTGCTACCATTAGACCAACGAGCTCGTGATTATGTAAATAAAAGCGTTGTCTAGTAGTATTGAAAAAACGTGGGTTCGAATTGTGGAGTTACAATACTTAGCTCGGGCATAGCATACGTTTCGGAAGATTTGAGGATTGCCAAATATAAGTGAACCTTGCTAGTCTGTCCTCTTCATAAAATGGATCCTTATTTTATTTACCTACCTAACTTTGATCAATGACAAGAATTTAATGAGTATACATTTCTGTCTTTAATTCTTCTTCGTAACATTATTAAAGTATTATTTTTTATTAAGTACACAGATAACCGATGTTCTTCTTAAGTATAGATGATTTTTTGCCTATAATATGTTGGTCAACGTCAGCAAATATAATATTTATTGAAAATCAATATATTTTTTTAACGCTGCTAGACCAATAAAAATAAATAATTTGCCAGCTACTGGTACGGAAATGTACCTGCTACAATCAATTCGGCACCAATCCATATGTTAGTCTATTAACTAAAATTTTTTATCTGCGACAGATAAAAAATGTTTGAATTTCTTTCTTTTTCTGACATTTCATTTCAATAAAACAAACTATAAAATGCACATCGAGCCGATAGCTTAATTTAACATTATAATCTACATACAATATTAGTTTAGCTCATTTGTAACGCATCTTATTTAGATGTCATACGGCTAGCCTATTTCACCTACATCCAGTGAACGCCTTGCTTATCTGCCTTCCTCTATCATAATTTAAAAAATATGATATGTCACTGTCAGTTTCTATAAAAATTACATGTGTTTTTTAAATGTTACTAACATAACCTAACATAATTAGAATAGATTTATTAATTATGGCCAAAATTCGAACGTACAATTAAACTTAAACTCAAATCTATACAAATTGGGACCGCCTCAGAACCCAGGTCCTGGGTTCAAATCTCTGGGAAACAAAATATTGTTTCGGTCGGGCAGGGCAGAGAAGTCTGATCAACTACTTGCCTGTTAAAGAACGGATCAGTAAAACCGACACGGAAGTTTGTTTGCCTAATACATAAAACGGGATTTACTTACATATACAATTTGGACCCCTAATTATGTGTATATAGACATCATGCGTCTCATTTCGTTCCCGTCTATTCGACTGTCAATTCGTTCCAATTTCTCTATATTGTCGCTCCATCCTTTTGTCTACATGTCTCCTTTTTTCGTGTACCAAGTCCTTCTCTCAAGAACTATTTCCTTTTTACTCAAATAAGAATAGTAATTAAACAAATTTTAATATGACTGTAAAGAGAGTACCGGTTTATGAGCAAAGGCATACGTAGGCCGGGTGAAGAAAAGGCGCGCGCGTTTCTTGATTCCGTCAGTTGCACCAGGGTCGCCTGTGGGGTCGGACATCAATCTAGTCATAATTTAAATTTTTAAATCCACACTCGAAAGGTCACCATGAAAGTGTTCATCGTCTTGGCGGCAGTCACTGCTCTTGCAAGTAAGAATCATTTATATTAATTTTACATTTGTATCTATGTCTTTGATAATAAGATTTGACACAAGAATTATATTCTTAACACTAAATTTAACATGGATTAATTGTGATTATTGATGTATTGATTTATTGATTGATACTTAGTTACAATACATTTTAACTAGATATTCTATCATTATTACTGTGTACACAAAAGTTATGTATATAATAAATTATTATCAAAACCATTTCTATCCAAATCCTGTATTGTGTAGTAAATAAGAAGTCTCAATTTGTATTAAAATAAGAGTTTTCGGTTCAGTCTAATAAACGTTTTTAAATTTCAAAACCATAGTATTGAAATATATGAAAGTTCAGTTCATATAATTTAGGCAATATACACACGAAATGGCAGGTAACAGGCAGTTAGGTAGCTGCTTATGTAATGGAAGTGAAATCTTATAAAGTGGATCGGAGCCTCAAATATTATTTATTCACTTTGCACAACGGAGATAAAAACTTTATATTCACAATACGAAGCTAATTTTGATTCTGAGTTCGTATAAATGTGAAATACATAAAATATACTTTATAACTTTTGTATCGCCTCTGTCGATCGAAGCGTGAGAGAGTTCGAACCCCGGTGTAATATACTAATAAATTACCAAAGTAATAGTTTGCATATAAAACATTACTTGCATGTTAAAAATGTCGATGAGTGGAACAGACACGGACAAATATCTGTTTCGTACCCCAAACGAGGAAAACCTAGGTTTTATTTTTACAGTAATAATCCAAGTTTCACGATCTTTAAAGTAAACTTAATTCTCGATTAATTTCTTCCGGCACTATTGATGTACCAAAAATTACTGAGAGAATAACAAAATAGTCGCTATATGTAACGTGGAAGTTAGCAGTAAGTCAGTAAGTAGGATTTCGTAAGTCGTACTTAACAAGTAGCTGAGAAAAAAGTAAAAATTAGCAAAGTGAAAGGGTAATTAAGAGTACAAAATCTCGAGCTGAAAATAGTAAAAAAGCTAAGCTAGAGACCGGCTCTACCCTCGAGTGATTTACAGATATTCGACATTGACATTCACTTGCCACGATCGCGAAATCTTTCCACAAATTGCGTAGATCGTGTTGACATAATTATATTATTATATTTTACGCAAAACATTCCTTCTGTCTTTTGCAACGCAGAAAGCGTATTAACGATAAACCTGCGGTAAATGCTAAAACCAACTATTAGCATTTAATTAAAACACTTTAAACGGTTTTAATCTCGAAATATGTTAGTAAATTTGATTTAACTATGCCCCAACCCTGTGTGCCCCCGTGACCACGACTGCTAGTAACTGAAATATCAGATTGCAGTTAAAATTAAATTAAAAATAAGATAACTAATACAATTCGCGTTTTAAACGGTTAGAAGTAATTTCAATGTGTAATAGTCGCGTAAATTACATACTTATTAACATATCTTTACTTAATTACGCGATTTAAAATTATATACCCCTAAAGCTAATCGTGGAATATAATGTACCTACTAAGTACAGACAAGAGCAGAGCACAAGTCCACGTCTGAGTTACTGATCGATTGCAGATTTTGAACCCAGGGCCTCTCGCGCTTAACTCAATTCTAGGCAATGTATGCAAGTATGACTAAAGCAGGCGTTCCATAAGGCTGTTAACACGAAACTTACTTACCTTTGTAAACATCCGTAGGTAAGCCTTTACTTGACATCAACTTTTTCTACACTCTAGACGTTGCAAGCTTATGTTTAAACATAAATTCTAATTTACCCTTGAAACCATGTAATCTTAATAGTCGCACATCTGCTAATGGAAACATAACACCAATAGAATTTTTAACTATATCTCATGATTTCAAAAATGAGATTGATCGTAGGCGTCCTCTAAATGTTTCTTCGAAGTATAATAGTCGCATGTATCGGGCAACACAATTAAAAATATATTTTCTAATCTTCGTGGTCATAAAGAAAGGTCTCTTGTTGTTGTTTTTTTATAATATTAGGCGATTTAAAGATGTATAAGATCTGTGGGTCATCCTACGACCCCCGATGCACCGAAGCGATGCACCGATGTTGTAATCGTCACCTCACTTTCACTAGTTGCGTCAGACGCCTGCGTCGCCCGCCACTGCGCGGGCGTCGAGTGGCATCTTGTAGATCCCACGTGCTAGATCTTTGGAATTCTCCACCGAATTAACATACAATATGTGAAGTATTTAATAACGAATGTTAATTAGATGAACTTATTGCTCGACTGCTTGTTTTAGAAACTAATTCGTCGCGGGTTCCATTGCCACGTAGTTTATTTTTATCGTATTGTCTGCGATATTTTAAATATTAAAACAAATCTTCTTTAAAGTAGATTTTATACATAGTTGAACTCTCTACTAAGTTTTTTCATATTCGTTGTTATTTTTGTTATTCTACAGTGTAGTGTTCTGAGATAAAATTTGTTTTTAACCTTAAAATATCTAATTAAAACGGAATATGTATTAAACTTTACAATTCAAATTCGTAAATTGTCAAGGTCGCGATGCCAAAATAATAAATTCTTGCATTGATTTATCTAAATTCAAAGTAATAAAAGTTATCATTAACATAAAAGATTGTATAGCGCTGTAGATTTTTCTTTGCTGAATAAAATATCTATTTGGCATAATCAAGTGATAATTAGGTATGTAAATGAATGTCGGAGTGGTCATATAGCCGGTCCACTGTTACCTAATGACCTTTAAGATGTTTTATTGGAGAGGTTAAACACGTAACCCACTTTGTCTACGAGGAAGTGGCGTATACTAACTATTATTACATCCATCGTCTTGGAAACACTATTCAAATTAAGAATATTTGATTAGAAGTTCCAAAATAGGAATGTTTTTAATTTCTGTACGTATCAGTGGCCAGTATTTTTCGGTTTTTCATCTGAAACTACCACAGATAATAAATTTTAATCGCTTCATGGTTCTACAATAGGATAATAAGAATATACAAATTCTATATTGTCAACGTGACATCTCTACTCTATTGCTTTCCGTTGATCTGTGGATAACCAATCTTCAAAAATTTAGTAGAGGTTTACCTTTCATTAATTAAACTTCATGCTTTGAAGATTTTTCATAAACTACTTTGTTGAGTATATTACCAAAACATCTAAAGTATTTGAGTGATGTTAATGGCATGTACAATTTGCGTGATTCTATTTGCATGCAATTGACTTGCGACACGAATGCAATAACACCACGAAGACAGTTTTGTAAGAACGAATGCAACACGTTTTGTACTACCCTTTATTAAACTTTTCTGTAGTTGACGCGAGCGACATATGCTATAAACCTCTTAACAGCCGTGATCTTGGACAAGCGTGACCGTGTCTTCTTTTAAAGCAAACGTAATGTCATCTCGTAAACAGATAAACATTAAGTAGTTTAATTTTAACCGTCAAATTTTGATTTAAACTAATTAACTTTTACTACTATTTCAATTTTGTATATCAAAAACAAAAGCGAAGCATGTTGCCCATGATCAGGGGTGCTATAGACTATATAAAACGTCGAGTTTATTTTTGCTCGAGTTTTAAACAGTTCAAAGGTGTTTTGAATTCAAAATCCTATCTTGTAAAGAGAATGATAAATTGAGTAGATTCCTTGTTTGGATTGAGCAAGTATCGCTTATTTATAACATTTGTAAATGCATTTTAATAAAATTTATCGCAAAAAAACCTGCGTAAGATCATATAACTAAACCAATATTGTGTCGTGTACTAGAGTTATATAACATTGCGTTCTTATGTAACGCTGACCCGTTCTCAAAAGTATCAAATATGTACGAGCGCTCTACTTCTCCACTTGATTGATCCGCTTTCACACGACAACGAAACCAATTCTGTGGAGGATGTAATTAATGGCTCCAAACATTGCTTTAGGGATACAAATATACAAGTGCGTACAACGATTATACAAATTAATAGTATCTATATAAATTTATAAAACGTAATTCCTTTCTGTATAAACTTTTTTACTACATTTTAGACATAAACAAATAAACATTTCAACATCGATTTTATCAGTCCCTTCTATATGAATTATAACCAAACTATGTCATATTTATTATTAAATAAATGTATATTCGAACATTACATGAAGAGCCATATATTGTTAAGTATATGACAAATCAATATTATAATAAAAAGCGTTTTGTACCAGTTCATAGTCTAAATTAATTTTTTTTAAATATCTTGTACGGTTATTATAATATCGATACTATGAATAACTAATTCTTCGTCTGGAAATCTCGTGAGTGGTGGGAATATAGAAATTCCGCCGGGGTCACGAACCACCGTCCACAGATTTATTTATAAACAATTAAAACATCAATAGCCAGTTACATTAATTGGATAGAAGTAAATACTGTCTATAGTTTACGCGAGTAGTACACATTTAAATAAAACACTTTAACGGTTTAAAACGCGATATATTAGTTTAGTTAAAAATCATTTTCAAAAAAGTTTAACTAATATATCGCGTTTTAAACCGTTAAAGTGTTTTATTTAAATGGATAGAAGTACACAATAGAAAAAGCCGTGAATCGCGTTCCGGGTTCAGTCTGTGGATTTCCGAATACCCAAAGCCAAATAAGGTCGATAGCGCATGTTGTTTAGATGCTATATGCTGGAGTATCACCTACCATCGAGTGAACCCCAAGCTTAGCTGTACTCTTCTATCTTCAAAAAAAGTAATATAACCCTTTCACTCTTCAGGTGCCCAATTCAAATGCCCCAACAAGGACGGCCAGTACGAAGACGACAGACAATGTGACAAGTTCTACGAGTGTCGGGACGGTGTTGCCACCACCAAGCTCTGCCCAGATGGTTTAGTGTTCGACCCCACCATTAGAAAGATCAACAAGTGTGACCAACCTTTCAACGTTGACTGTGGGGACAGAACCGAATTACGTAAGTTTTCAGGAAAATATATTGGAGGTTTACTTAATTATTACGTTACGATCTAGCCCAAAATAGACACATTAATATTGTACTAAACAATAGTAAATTAAGTAAAGTTTAAATTAGGACTAACTCCTTACAATAACTTGCATAAAAACAAGATACTATTATCTGTATATTACAATATACTACACTTATATACTTTTACTTATATACTAATATATAAAGCTGAAGAGTTTGTTTGTTTGAACGTGCTATCCTCAGAAACTACTGGTTCAAATTGAAAAAATCTTTTTGTGTTGGGTACGCCATTTATTGAGGAAGGCTATAGGCTATAAGAGGCAGCTTTGCGACTAATAGAAGCGAAGAAAGAGTATTAAATTTGGAAAACATCGGGAAAAATTGTTAACCTTAGAGGGTTCTCGTTGCGTGCCTTGCAAAAGGTTCATGATGCCCAAAAAATATGTAAGAATGATTCCTCCTTTAAAGATCCGAAAAAAAATCCACGACGATATATGTCTATCTTTTAACATTAACTTGCAAGAACGATTTGACGCGGTCGACGTTGTAACTTAACTTTATAGAGTTGAATTCTACGCAGACGAACACGTTCCTGACACAGCTAGTGTATACTATTCAAACAAATACAATTCTTTATCGAGTAACATCGATCAAAGGAACCTATGTAACAGTAATTATGATAGGAACAGTAACTCACAGCTCAAAGGCATATCAATGATATGTGCACAATGAATGCGTCAAGGTCGCCTAACTGTGCCAGACATGAAAGTATCCTGTCTACCTCTGACCGCCTAGGTCACACTCCTGAATTTATTCGCCTTTCAAAATACAAACTTATAATAAATGGTTGAGAGATAGTAGATTTCAAAAGATTGAACGGTACTTTATAACAATTTTTATGCAAGAATACATAAAACAAGTAATTTAGATCATTAACATTGCTCAGTGATAATTTAATTCATAAAGTAGCATTGTCCAGAGCGCCAGAGGTCCTGGGTTCGAATCCGGTTGGACGAGGCAAAATAAGTCTGATCTATATGATCGCCCTAAAAAAACGTCGGTAAAAGAAGTACAGAAATCAGTTTTAACTACGCTCGCTTAAGAAAAATGGGAATAGTACGATTGTAATTAATTAAAGTATTCCTTAAATAAGACACTCTTAGGACACAATTAGATATATATTAGCTATTCAAATAAAACACTAACGGTTTAAAACGCAATATATTAGTAAAGCTTATTTGAAAATGATTTTAAACTTCGGCCCGACGCTTCGGATGTTTTGCAGCAGCCGTGGTCACGGGGAGACTAATATTGCGTTTTAAACCGTTAAAGTGTTTTATTTAAATGTGTACTAGTCGCGTAAACTATAAACAGTATATATTAGCTAATTTATTTTCGATTGATGCAGCAGTCGAAATATCTGGCTGTTGTTAAAATAACTTCACTAATATACTTCGGGTTTTAAACCGTTAAAAGTGTTTTATTGGAATGTATACTTTAAACGTTACTTAATTAAACTGTGTGCATCTCACATTTTTGATTGGATCCATTCAGGGGTAGCAATGTACGAATGAACGGGTCGTTAGTTTTTTTAATGAGACAGGAGGACGAAGTTCACTTGATGGGAGGTGGAATCTCCCAGACATGTAACATCTACACAAGATGCTCTGTCGTCTTAGTTTTGCTTTGGATATTTGGACCCAAGGCCAAACTGCTGAGTCCAACCTCAAAATCTAATGAGTAAAACTTTTTCTCTTCCTCTGTCAAAAAAGTATTACTCATTTATATATGTGGACATTACCTAATGTTATTTTCGCAGACACACGCGAAAGGAATTAATGACAGTTAAAATCAAGGTGAACTCAAACGGAAATTATACTGACTTCTCATTAGTGAGGCTAAGAGAAATCCTACTTCCTCGTGTTAAGAAGACAAATGTTTCCTAGAAATCAGTAACGACTCCAAGGTTCCGATACATTATCCCCATTTCTATGACGCAATTATTTATAATCGATTTCAAAAGACACTTTCGGTTCGCCTTGATACCTTTTTGTAACACGTAACACGGTTGCTTTAAAAAAGGCAAAATTATATTTATCAGACCGTATATAACTTTTACCTTAGATAGAAAAGTTATTGGTCTATTGCAAAAGAGTACGGCGACTATTGTTTCCAGTCTTATATTACGTTGTAAAAGTGTATAGTTTTATATGTGTATTTGACACATTAATGAGAATCTATTCAAAAATACAGTTACCATTTTTAAAGCATTTAGAATCCCAGTTTATTTTACTAATCGTCTTCATGTCGTCGGTTCGAATCCCATGAAAAAGTTATAATCAAACTAGACAAAAACTCAATGAAACTTATTGCGGATAAAAAGTTTTCACTTCTTTCATTAGTTTAAGTTAAACTGTTTTAAATATATATTCAAGTTTCAGTATATTTTCAGGAATATATCTCATGAATTAATGTTTGTATCTTCAATATTTTTTTGCAACCCATCCATTGTTAGAATTAGGTATGTAAAGGTTTAGCTTAGCACTTGATAGAACATTAAATACCTCCGGTATAAAACATCTCAATGAGATCCGCTGACGATCTATTACGGCTTTGGATTGGAAAAAGTTTTTCTTAATTACGGTTTCTGTTACAGAACCCCCAAAACCTAACAACCAGTGTCCACGTAGGAACGGATTCTTCGCTCACCCTGACTCTTCAGTTTGCAACGCCTTCTACAACTGTATTGAAGGTGAAGCCGTAGAAGTTAAGTGTACAGCTGGACTACACTTCGACGAGTACTCTGGTACTTGTGTCTGGCCAGATGCGGCTGGCAGACAGGGATGCGCTGCTCAAGACAGTAAGTAGAAACGCTATTCTAAATTTGAAATTAGATGACTTTCGGTTCTCTACCAATGACAACTGTCATCTTGACATATTTAAATCAAGTAATTTTAGAGACATAAGAAAATTAATGTTATTTATAATAGAGCATTCAAAAATGCTTACAGAAAACTTACCCTTTTATTATAGTGTTTACTTACAATGCGTTTAATATCTGCATTGATAAGTTCTTAAGTACCTACTGATAGTTTTTTCTATTTTTGACTTAAAAGCGATGAATTATTTTGGTTAGTGTTTTTGGTTCACGTCATAAATTTAAGGTCAACAAAAGCCACCAGACCTCTTACCAACCGGTCAGTGGCACAGATTACAAAGAGCAAGTTTCAGTCGTGTATAATGATATAGTGAGAGGTGATCGATATGCCCTTCCACGGATTCAAGTTATGCCGTTCGCTACCATTTTTGGAATTCCTCCACTTTGTATTTTGCTATAGATAATGCATAATTCATCCTCTTTTGCATACAGCCATCCTGATTTCATTTGAAACCAGAACACATTTTAAAATTTACATATTACTGTGGTCTTCAATGCTAAACAGTTTGAACGAAAATACATGCTTTATTACATTTAAGACTCTAGTATCATTTAGATTTCCGCTCGTGTTATCGTGGGTTTCTTTTACTACAACATTTTTTCAATTTATTTAATTGGTGTATTCTGTTTTTTTTTTACATTTTGAGACGTAAACAACTTTTTTTTTAAAGTAGTATTTTTTACAATTGGTAGAGAGAGAGAGATTGGTGGTGTTCAATTGAGAAATTTTGTCTTCATTATTAACTGAATTTGTTCTTTTGTTATACCCAGAAAAGACCAAGGACGGTTTCGAATGCCCCAAGGAACAACAAGTAGACGCCCAAGGCCAGATTGTGGCTCACCCCAAGTTCCCCCACCCCAACGACTGTCAACGTTTCTACGTGTGCCTGAACGGTATCGAACCCCGTGACCTCGGTTGCCAAGTTGGGGAGGTCTACAATGAGGAGTCGCAGAGGTGTGACGCTCCTGAGAATGTCCGCGGGTGGTCAGTATAACTTTAATGTATTTTCAAATTAAGAATGTAGGTCTATATCTCACTTTCTTTATTCAATTTGGTTCTTTTTTTTTTAATAAATTATTATTACTATAGTAATAGATAGATTTTGATTTGACTTGATCTCAAATCTATCTTTCCTCAACTTTTTATATTAAATGTAATATAGTTTTTTGTTAATATAAGAATTGTAAATATCTAATGATTAATTTAGATTTGAAATATCTGAATATTAATTGAATATTTCTCCTTTATAGCGAGGACTGGTACAAAGACGCCGAAGAAGCTGCGCCAGCACCTAAAGCCAGATCTTAAACTCAGTGATATAATATAAGTTACACCTAAGACTTGATAAGTTAAATACATTATAAGATAAACCAGTGATTATTGGCTTTTATTTCATTTCTTTTAAAATAAATACATATAATAGACAGACTTTTATAGTTGTCGAAAAATCATACAATCATCAATTTATATTTGATATATTCTTCTTATAATCTAATCTTGAGCGGACCATTTATCGAGGAAAGCTGTAATTAATAACGGACTAATAATAGAGATTTTTTTTAATATTTAAAAGTTTCCATTACGTGGTCTTACGAATTCCATATGTAGTGTTACGAATAAAATCAACTTTTAATCGTAACACTACATATGGCAAAATAACGTTCGCCAGGTCACCTAGTGCTAATATAAGGCTACTTGTCTTTTTGCGCATTAACCGTGACATTGGATTGTATTCATGTTTTCTTTAAGGTATAATGGCGATAAGTTCAGCAAGTCATTGAATTAATTTATTTTTAAATTGTTCTTTATTTAAATGCATTTTTAAATCTTAAAGCAATTTATCCTATTAATATCCCAACAACTAGGCACCTCCTTACTCATTGGAAAGATGGTAATAAAATCTACTGTTTTGCTCGAATACGGGTCTCGTCTATCACCACAAATCAAGTGATAATACAACTGCATAATTTGCTTTTCGAGGTTCAGGGTGGTAATATCTTCTACACCTAAATTAAAAAATTATTTACATTTACTCGACCTGGGATTCGAAACCTGGACCTCGTGAAATGCAGTCAAATGTCACCACTAGCCTCACAAGGCACGTATTTTATATATTCAGTAATTTAAAAAATACATCGTTGTATGACTGCGCAATGTCGAAATTTCTGTTCCAAGAAGGTTTAATACAAAGATTCCCTTCTGCTAAATACTTTATCCTGTTATTCAGTTGTAAAATGAATGGTTAAATTTAAAGCCTAAATGAGTCGACAGCTCATTTTACTAAGAAATTATATGACTAGGGTATTTCAACTATACATTATAATATTGTTATACACTACACAAAGATTGTAAAACTTTGAATTATAACTAGTTATACAATAAAAAATTCAATATGTTTTGTTAATGTGGAATAAGTTTTTCTTTGTCTGTAAAAGAATTAAACGCGCTCGCCTTAAATTTATTTGCTAAAACCTTCAAAGCATTGAGTGAATTTTTAACAGTTTAAATCACTTTTGTAAATTTTTCTTTTTAAAACCACGACTAATATTAAAGCATTTGAAACCTCATGTAATTAATGCGCATTTGACGGTTCTATATATGAAATACATCATTTCAGTTATTTTTTAACTACCATGGGAAGTTTTAAGTAACTTAAAATCGAATTGTACACTGTTAAAAAGAGTATTGTCTGTAGTTAATTCGAGCAATTATGTAACATAAAAAAAAACATTTAAACTTTTTATACGCGACATATACTTATTGATATATTTTAATTAAGATCTAACATTTTAGATCCTCACAGCAACCCTGGTTTTAGTTAAAAATAATTTTATTAAAAAATAAATGTGTACGTCTTCCGTCAACTACAGACAATTCTGTATGTATTTGATATTAGGAACGACATTGAACGGTTAAATTATGTTTTATGTACGAACTTTAAGCGACATTTTTAAGTCCTATCAATATCGCAGTATCGCATCTGTAATACCGCAGTCATTGTAACATTCGCAGACAATGAATCTCATTGTGTGGAACAATGACTTCTGTATCATGAAATCAAGAATTTTTAGTACTAAGAACCTCTATTTAAGTCAGTTTCTCTCAACAATAAGACCTGGGTTTAAAGCGGTGGTTTAACTTCAGTTATACTTGAACAGTGCTTTTAAATAAACGCTTTATACGAAACGTGAAGGAAGTAGGAAATACTAAGATATAAAGAATAATAATAAACAAATGCAACCTAATAAACCCGTTTCGGATGCATCCGAAACGTCCATGCTGCAAATCGAAGTTAAAAATCATTTTCAAATAAGTTTAACAAATATATCGCGTTATAAACCGTTAAAGTTTATGCTTTTCATGTTAAAATTTATTATTATCATGGGTTATAAAACATTACATTAAAGAAAATATTGGGTATAAATGTAAAATAATCGAATGTTGCAATATTTTTTTTTTATTAAAGAGGAGGATAGACCCGCGTGGGGTCCATTTGATGGAAGACGAAGTACCTCGGGTTTATAACATCTCAACAAATTGCATTGTAAACCTTTTATTTGCTTTGGTTTGAATTTCTATTTGTTATCTAATATGAAAGGTGACTTTTACATTCACTGCGTAGGCTTGTCTAATTAAGACTTTTCGTCACCTAGCTGACCTAGTACGCTAGGTGTTACAGCCTAGACCAGTTCTCGAACTTTCTCAACCTATTTGTAGGTTTTATTACTTAATGGCTCTTATAAAAAAAAATATTTATATTTAAAGATAATAAGCACGATAAATTTACATTAAAAATTGATAACGTGACGGGACATGAACTCACGACCCAACTTAAGCACGCAGAGAATTTCTTAATATATTTGCAATTAATTATATCACTATAAATCTAATGTGTGAATTTTTTCAAGAGTAAATTCACATAAATTCGTAGTTTGTACATGTATTTATTGTACATGTTTTTGTAAGAGCAGATTGTTTTATAGAAAAACGTTGCTTTTCCTTTAAAAGATCATTTCCAATTAAAACAGAGAGTAAGTATCAAGCAGTATTTTAAACAACTTTATTTTTATAGCATGAAAATAAGTTATTCTAACAAGGAGGTTTGATAAAAAAGACAATCGAAAACCGATTTCGAGATTTACATAATACTTACAGATTATATAAAACCATTTTTATTAGAGCTACTATGAAATTTAAAAACCGATCGAGCTACCGTGTGAATCGATTAGAGCAATAGATCTTAGCACTGTAGATGCCGGTTCAAGTCCCGCCAACATGTGAAATATATCAAAGTTTTTAAACGTACTATGAAATTGTTAAGAAAAAAGTCTTTATTAAGTGTTTAAAACCGTTTTAATTATTTTTATGTTAACTAACTCTACTATTAAGATCTTTTGTCACTATTCTTATTAAACACAACTATAATACGAAGATGACTAGTCTATTTTACAATTAATCGTATTAAATTCTATATAATATTATTAAGGACATAAATTACAACGGTTATAGCCGAAAAGTAAAAGGATCCTCGTGTCGTGTTTGTGTAGTCCTTGAACAATAACAAGTTTAACGAAACACGATGTTAAGTTTGATAAATTGGAAGTATATCGGATTTAATGACATCTGTTTGTTGTAAATAATCTTTGTTTTTGAGTGAGCGCGGAATGTCGTCGTGGTTCAGTGGTGATACATTATTTTTAAAAAATACGAAAAATTGAAAATGTTTCTTTAAATACTGTCTGTAGTTTACGCGAGTAGTACACACTTTAACGGTTTAATACGTGATTTATTTCAGTTGAACTTTTTAGAGAATCATTTTTAACTCTCTTTATTCATTTGCTTAAGAATATAAAAAATGAATACATTTACGTTCTTAGACACTAACTTTAGGTTTCATGTGCTGAAATCCCAAGTCTTTTGATCGACTAATAGATTTCAATACGGTATTCTCGTTGCTTTTAAACCTAAGACCTCTCACTGCAAAGGCAATCCGTTGAAACATTAAACAACAGAGGCGTTCGCCCTTTCATAAGCTTCTTATTATTATATATTTTTTTATCATTAAATGTATGTTTTTTTCGTCCATCAATCAAACTGTATTCTTTTCTATCACAAAAAATACGGGAAAGTTTATGGTTCAAAAAACTTTCTATATAATATCATAGCGACAGATAAGATTATATCATACATAATTTATAGCAACACGACAGCAACAGATAAAAAAGCTGTCAATCGTAAACAGATGTACTTTTACTTTATAAAATATTACTCATTATTATAAGCCAGTTATTGACGATTAAATGAATGAATACTTATTTATTATATTGTAGGCAATTAAAATATTTTAATTTGAAGTAAAATTATTTATATTTAATTCAAAAGAGCACTTAAAGGCCTTGGGTAAGGACGCCACTTTCTAGGTAAGATTCTTGGAATATTTTGACGGTCTTTTAATTACCTAAATATATAAATATAATATATATTTAAATTATGTTGTCTATTTTATAAAAGTATTCTGAACAGCTTTGAAAATTATTAAGGAACTCACTCTTTTATAATTAGACTAATATTTCCATCCTAAACTATGTCATATTAGGTCTGTGATTGGTAGGTTCGGTGGGTTCGACTTCTAACGATTTTAATATATTTGATTCAATCATTTTTAAGTTTCTCTACACGGTAAAACATTATTGTCTTGACTGGCTAATTAATGGTAGAGCTATATAAAATCTGATAAATAAAACATTTAACGGTTTACAGCGCGATATCACGGGGAGACGACCACGGCTGCTGCAAAGCATCGAAATGCCGGGCCGTAGTTAAAATAACTTCCAAATAAGTTTAACTAATATATATCGCGTTTTAAACCGTTAAAGTGTTTTATTTAAATGTGTACTACTCGCGTACACTACAGACAGTGTTTATATAAATTCTAAAACCATCACATTGTTTCTATCATGAGAAGTAAATTCGCTATTATAGGGCCGAGGTTTATTTTAAGCCGTTAATATAGTATGGACGAGCTTTGCTTTGATTTAATGAATTTAAAAATTCAAATAAAGAACATTTCAAAAATATACTCACTAACTTTAATACTTAATTTGAAAACCGAAGCTCATTGTTTCAGGTCGATAATTCAATCGCTAATCGACCAAGGAGGTTAAAAGGCTCTTTTGTGAAGTTTACTAGGAAGTAGGTGGGTTCAAGCACCGGAGAGACATTGTGAAACAATGGCGAGCGGGCTTGATGTCCCGGAATGACTCATTGGAAAACGAATCACGCGGCGTTTGTATTGTACTTACTAGGAACTTATTAATATACTTTTATAAGAAAGCTTCTTCGATTGATCGCGTGATAGGAATACGTTTTACCTACTTATTGGAAACGCATACATTTTTAAAATAGAATACTACAGAATCCCATATTAAATGATATTAAAATTGCATTTCTGATTTTAGTATATTGTTAAACAGTTTTTACGTAAATGAAAAAAATCTTAGTTAAACATAAGGTATTTTCCGTTTAATGATTTATATGTGTATTATTTTCGTGCTTTATTATTACTTTCTCGACAGTCAAGTCTTAGGAATTTCGTTCGTTTTTACTTTTAAGACTGGAATATGATATAACATATTTACATCATTCCAAATTACAGATCCGTTTAAAAAATTATTTAAATAAAACACATTAACGCTTTGAAACGCGATATATGATAGATAAATTTATTAAAAATAAATATTCTTTTTAAATCTGAAAATTTTGTTAAACAATAAGAAAAATTTTAAACTCGCAGACTCATGTTTTATTTCACGACTCTTCATACTTAGTATTAAATATTTATTGAAATGACATATTTTACTTGTAAAAACAGGCCAAAAACCCATTATCGTTATGGATAGAAGACGTTATCCAGAACCAAAGAAGGTTATACCCAATGGTAATAAAAGCAATAAATTTATACCCATTGAAAACTCGAGCTATATTTCCATGAGATTGACCATGACGGCAATGATGTCCTGGAATTCGAGGTTGACAGCTCTGAACTGGTAAAATGTACTCAATGCTATTGAGCTATATTCTGGCTTTTTCTTTACATATTAACTACTCCCGTATTACGAGAGATCGTGCGGCGAATAGTGGTGCTACTTTAATGTAAAAATTATCAAATACTGTCGGTAGTTTACGCGAGTAGTACAAATGTTAATAAACGACTATAACGGATTAAAACGCAATATATTAAACGTATAAGTTTAACTAATATATATCGTTAGTGTTTTATTTAAATGTAAAAATTATGAACATTGTCTCAACAATTGCATATATATTTTAAATTTGGTTTTTTGTTAAGGTTATCATTTTTTGATAGTTATGATTTTTTTGATATAAAACTGAGTTTTGAATAAATTTACGTGCACAAATATCCATTGATAAATTGCAATTTTTTAAGAACTTCAATATAGACTAAAAATCGATTTTATATTTTCAAAAAATACGACACGGCCACGACTTGCTCCGGCATCCACAACGTTCCGTGCTCTAACCAATTAAGCTACCGTACAGAAGCATGCTAGAGCAACAGCACGGAACACTGGCCGCTGGTTCAGGTCCTGGCCGTGTCGTTATTTTTTTCAAATTTAAAGTCGATTATAAATTCATATAATGACATCACGTTCAATGTGAAGAATATTAAAGTTTTCAAATTTAACATAATATATAATCATACGATTTGAATTAATCTTATTGTAATAGGCTGAAGTCATAGTTACCAATAAAAAAATAAATTATACTGATTTACAAAGGAGCGCACCCTTTTTTAGCGAACGTGTATTATGTAGCTGCGCATACGCTAGTTACGAGTCACGACTCTCATTACTTGGCAATACAGAGCAACCTTTCAGGGGAGCTGCACGTGCGCTTTCTTTGTTAAGTTAAATTTAGTATAAGTTTCCAAAATGAAATATTTAATCTTACTCAGTGTTACGATTGCCTGCGGTGAGTAATTTTTTAATAAGCTACCTGCTTAAATAATAAGCTATTTTATTCCTAGTCCTTAAAGACGTGTAACAGATAACATTACATTTACTTTCATTCTATCACATATTGTATAGAGAAAGTAAGAAAATAGTTATAATTAAATGCGGAAAAACAAAATATATTGACATATCTAAAACTTTTATGTATAATAAAATGGAATATTTAACAATTTAAAATTAAACAAAAAAGTAAAATTCGGCTGTTTTACTTTATAATTTAAATGATAATTATATTGCGTGCACACAAATGAGAAACTTATATTAAGAAACAGTATTTAAACTAACCAGACTTTAATTTTGTATTCTATAATGTGTAAAAAAGGGACAACTGTTCACAAAGCTATGTGCTTATACCGAAAGCAAGTAGGCTTTCAAGGACAAATTACGAACTCCCTTGGATTGTGGTTACTGTCACTTTACGATTCTTAATCCTTACAAGACTTAATTCAATTTACGAATGATGCAATCACTCTTACGGCAAACACTTACATTCGATTTTTAAATTAACTTTATTTTAATACCTTTAAATAAAACTCCTTAGTTAGGCACTATGTTTATTACGTAACTAGTTAACCCCAATCTTAAATATTATACTTGTAAACGTTTAAATTAGCAAATTGTTAGAGAAAATAAATGTTTTTCACACCTAATCTATTTCTCTAATATTGATAAAAAAAATCGGAAAAATACTGTCTGCAGTACGCGAGTTGTACACATTTAAACAAAAAACTTTAACGATTTAAAACGCGATATATATTAGTTAAACTTATTTTTAACTCCAGCCCGACGTTTTGGATGCTTTGGATGTTTGGGGGGTTTAAATCAGAAGAAATATTGACTGTCTTAAATTTATCTTTTTTATTAAGTTAACATTTCATATAGCCGCTCATTTGTTGTTCAGCTGTATGTACTTATCGGAAATGTTATGTTATGTATGTTTGTCTTTTTATTCATTTTTTTGTTTCACTTGATGGTAGGTGATACACGACAGCCTATAGCATCTAAACCAACGCTGTCCACCTATTTTAGCTTTGGATATTCGAAAATCCACAGGCTGAAACTGAAACGCGATTAAGTCGCGGAGGTTCAACGGTTTTTCATCTGTGGACGGTGGTTCATTACCCGGACAGACTTTCTACATTCCTACCACCTTAATATCCAGATTCTCAGACGACGACATGTTTCAGAAAAATTATGAATTTAAAATTTTGAAACATCTTGGACCCGGTGGGAATCGCACCAACGACCTGTACCTAGCTACCATTAGACCAACGAGCCCTGTCTGTCTTAATAAAGCATAATGTTACAATTAAGAATTCGCAATATTCATAGCTTATGACTATATTTTCATGCACATTAGTTATGCCATAACCCACATCTACATACATAGATCTATAATTAAACCTTCAAATGATAATTATTGTAATATATGCAAGCTTTCTTTTGGCCGTTAATATTTAGATAATGTACAACTCTCACTGGTAATTTAATTTCAGATGGTAAATAGTTCTCTAGTAAAAATGTTATAGACACTGGCGAGAAACTTGTAGCATACCTTTAGATTATATTTTGTATATTGATAATAATTTCATTCATAAACATCTATTAACTAAGTTTATTAATCAGAAAAGTATTTTTAAAGATAGAGGCGGACAGACAAGCATGGGGCACAGTTGATGGTAGGTAATATATGCGCTGTCGGCCTATTTTTGCTTTAGGAAAACAACAGACTAACACCGAAATCTATGGACGGTGGTTCGTTACGCGGACGTAATCTCTATTATCTGCCACCCGTTTATTATCCAGATTTCCAGAGGATGTAATGTTTCAGAAAAATAAATTGAAAAATTAGGAAACACGTTGGACCAGGTGGGGATCGAACCCACGACCCGTTCGTTCATTGCTACTATTAGACCAACGAGCGCCTAAAAATAAAATATATTTAGGATTTGTTCAAAAATATGTTTTTAATATATCAAAGTCTCTCTTTGAAAATGAAGCATTGAAAAAAAAGCTTACTAATAAATAATTAGAAAACCTCTCATGTCAGTGTAGTGTTGTTTACTTATATTTTTTCCTCTGTAATTACTGGTTTTCTCTTGCATAGACGATTTAATAGATTAGCTGCTTTTTAAGTCCTTTAACAACTACAGCCACCAAATTAGAAATAATAAATGTAACAAACAGCAACATAAACTTAGATACAGCAGTCCTGACATTTTTTACAACATTTCGCTCGGCCCGGAATCAACCCCGGTACGGTTTGTACAGTACATTGCAAATTACAAGGCCCTTGTAATTTGCAATGTACTGTACAAACCGTACTACTAGACTAATGAGGTAATTTTGTTTTACCAACAATATCAATCAAATACTGTCTGTAGCTTAAGCGAGTACTACATGTTTAAATAACACTTTAACGATTCAAAACGCGATATATATTCGTTAAATTTATTTGTTCCGCCGAACAGATGGCGCTAACGTAGCAGTTTTTACTTTGACGTCGCAGACATCCTCCATCTTAGTCTCCCCATGACCACGGCTGCTGTAAAAAAAATTTTCAAATAAGTTTAACTAAACTATATCGCGTTTCAAATTGTTAAAGTGTTTTATTTAAATATCAATCAATTCACGTGTCCTCCTTTCACCACAACCATATCCTACCTAACTTCGGTGCTCCAATGATTTCCTAACGCGAATTTTGCAAGGGCAATTTTCGCTATCCACTTTGTCACGGCATATCGGTTTTTCGAAACCTATAACTCAGTAATGGCTAGTGGAGTGTGTAACTACGGACCTAATACAGCAATCGCTGAATTCTTGTTAACCACATTGCATTTTAATTGATGACGTAAGATTGATTAAAATATTTTTCACATGATGCCACTACTACAGAAAACAAATGTCCAAATACTGGATCGAACGTGTTGAGAGAGATATGACTATTTTGTTCAAGCATGTAATCGCAGGAGTCGAACCCACGAACCGTTGTTAAATAAGTTAGGTATTGGTGACAGATATAAAAAATAATTCGTTCATATCATCTGTTATCTGATTCCAATTATATAAATAATTATAATTAACGAATCTTATAACAAAAATTTAAGTTTTTTATTTTTTAATTACAATTAAGTGTGTGTAATTACAAGTAAGTATAAAAACTATATTTATCACACATTTTAATCGATATTAATGTCAAACCATTCGCCGTCTCTGTATTTAAATAGTGCGTGGTCGTTTTGTCTAATGGAAAAGTTCGGTATAATACTGGTTCTATTACCTTTTTTGTGATCAGTTTTTTAAACGAAGAGATGTATAGGACAATAAAATGAAAATGTACATAAGGATTAGACGTCATGCGACTTTAGGTAATGCAATTATAAAAATCTGAGCTGAACTTTCAAGATATATTGAACTCGTACACTACAAAGTGAATTCTTCTTTTTAAATGTCATGTTGATGTAGATTACATTTTTGAAAGCGTGACGTTTTAAACGTTTGAATTTAATTGTACGCCATTTTAGATAACTTAGACTTAGAGAATGCAACGAGCATTCGATCTTTTATTTTTCCATGTTTGTTGTAACCCTAGATTTTAATTATCGTAATGATCTTAGTTGCCTCTCCACGCCTTCTTGTTCCATATAGGGATGGGACAAGAAGGCAAGGAGAGGCTCATTTCCACTGCACTCATTTATTTTATGTAGGCAAACTTCTATGAAAATACTTCAATTATATTTACTTGGGATACGAATCCAGGACATCTGCGTGTAACGCAAAGCCAGCCGAGCAAAGCGTAAAATTATATAATATACTAGCGACCCGTCCCCGGCTTCGCTCGGGTGCAATGCTGATACCAAATACAGTACAAAAAACTGTGAACGTTGTTTATAAAGACCTTCCTTTTGAATTACTTTATATCTTTAAAAAAAACTGCATCAAATCCGTTGCGTAATTTTAATGATTTAAGCGTACATAGGGACAGAGACAACGACTTTGTTTTATTAGATAATCTTTAATTACATTTTAAATATAATTTCCCTCTTTTACTTTCAGTCACCACTCAGGAGTTTGACTGCCCAGAGAAGAATGGCTTCTACCCCGATCCATACCAGTGTGACCTTTATTACAAATGCACTAAAGGTCAGTATCGTGTGTGAAAGGTACTTTATGTCACGTAAAATGTCACTCGCCTTCACGCATTCTAGACAAACTCATTTGAATAATTTCATCGAATAGTGTTGAACTTATAATTATCTATACGTCATATTTTTGGATGATATGAATGTGTACGTTATGTTTAAGCCTTCTACAGTAACAATTGCATATATAGAAAGGCTTGTTTATTAGTCAAACACTGTATCAGACAACTTAGCGACATCGTCCGTGTAGAACAGTTTAGTTTAGGCATTCAAATTGGTTTTCCCAAATTCCTCTTCGTCTTTATAAAAATTTATAAAGATAGAGATACGCTGTTACCCACCCACTTCAGTCGTGTTCTGTCGTTCTTGTAAGTTAATCTAAATAAAGACAAGTAGTGTCGTAGACTTTTTTTGAATAATTTAGAGGAATCATTCTTTTATACATTTTTTTTGGGTATCTCAAACCGTTATCGCAGCGTACGCACGGGAAACCCACATAGATGAATAATTTTCCCCGTTTTTTTTAACATTTCCCGCTGTTTATTCGCTTTTATTAGTCACAGCGTAATGGTGTTAGCGTTTCTCGATAAATGCTCTATCTAACACAATAAAAAATTAACAATTCGAACCAGAGATAACTCTACTTCCTGAGATTAGCGTCTTGAAACAAACTAAAACACAAACTCTTCAGCTTTATATACGACTATAGAGCAAAGATAAAACACAAATAATGGTTCTAGTTAGTTATTAGTATCTCTTCTTGAGGCGTCTGAATAATAAAGTTATGTAACCACTGGACTCACTCAAAACGAGTACTATATATAATTTAACCTTTAATATCTAACAATTTATATTACTTAAGTCACAATAAGCTTGTATCTGTGTCAGATGTAGGCTTCGTTTTACTAAGTGTCACTTCCTAGGTTTACGAGAAAGTACGATGTCATTTATCTAAGGTATAATACACACGATAATGTGTAAAAATTTGTGTGTTAAATACGACTACATATAATTTTGACCGTAGTCTGATCGAAAACATTACTGTTCGTGTTAAAAAAAATGATAGGTACACAAATTCAAAGGATAAACTAATCTTTACTAACATATAAAGCTGAAGACTATGAATGTTGTTTGTTTGAACGTGTTAATTTCAGTTAATAAAATAAAACATCGTCCTGTGACTAATAGGAGCGAAGATACAGCGAGAAATGTGACAAAAATTATTCATCATTATGGCTTTCCGAAGCGTACGCTACAAAAACGGTTCAAGATACCTATTTTACGCAGACGAAGTCACTGACATAGCTAGTGGATGATATACATAACATGACTTATGGCCTTGTTGAAAGAAATAGTGCAACAGTCATTTGTTTCAAATTCTTACCTCTTCTGCAATGCATGCAATGTACTTATTAGTATTCAACTTAGCTTTCATGACTTAGATTCCTTTTACTTTTGAAATAGTTTTGTAACACGTAATTTAAAATTACTTACGGCACTTAACGCATATCGAGCAAGCCACTGTAGCGATCGTGTTGGGAATTCGTGATTTTTATTTCTTCTCTGAACACTTAGCAACCAAGTAATAGCTACTCGTAATAAATGAGAACAATACGTGTTTTTTATATGGAATTTATTTTATGGTGGTATTTACCAAGATATATATATAGCTGTCTTCAGTCCGGGAACTCTCTTTACCAAGGCAAACACGTTGCTAGGCAACGCATTTATTCAAATAAGAGTGAAATTCTAATAATACTATATAAAAAAAAATCTGATTCTCTCTTAGAAAAACAGTGGTATTTCTGTGTCTGTTTGACTGATCGATTTCATTTAGTGATATTTATATTTTCTCTTAGAAGTAAGGGTGAAGAACAGTAATTTTTTACTCATATACCTTCATTCAAACATCTCCGGTTTTCAATAGGTAAATCAGAAGCAAGACTCTGCCCCGATGGTTTAGTGTTCGCTGACGAAAACCCGAACAAGGAACTTTGTGACATACCATCCAATGTAGAATGCGGTGAAAGAAAGGAATTACGTAAGTATACGATAAAAATTACATAATAACCTAATAGTATTTAATTTATTTTTATATAGTTTCAAAGACATTAAAACAAATGAACGAAAAACATTAAAAATAAATTTTATTATACTTACATAAAATGCAAATCAATGCGAAAGTCAGTTTGACTTTTTTATTATTTTGAGTTTTATTACTATTGCATTGTAAAGTATTCGAAACGTCTAGTCGCATTTAAAAAAATTAATTAACTCCAATATTTCAAGTCTTAATTCGTTAAAAGTGTTTTTTTTTAATACCTTTGGCGTAAATTAGTCTATATACCTATTAATTAAATAGTATATAGAATTTTCTTTTAGATAAATTTCAACATAACTTTTGTTTGCAGAGGAGCCAAAGCCAAGCAAAGGATGTCCAAGACAGAACGGGTACTTCAGACATCCCGATCCACAAGTAATAAAGCCTAACCTACTTTTTACTATTTTTGTAATACAATATGATATCAGTGAATTTATTACTATAAAATTGCCTAGACGAATTTGACGTACTCATAGAAAAAATGGTATTTCCAAAATAAAAATCTTTTTTAAAATAAAACACTTTTAACGGTTGGAAACGCGAAATGTTTTAAATAAACTTACGGTGTGGTAGTGGGCTGCCGTAAAGCATTCCGAAATGTCGCAACTTACTTAAAGTAAATTGTAAATAAGGTAAACTAATACATTGGCGTTTTAAACCGTTAAAAATGTTTTATTTAAATGTATACTTGCAGAATATAAATAACTGCCATTTATCATGGTGAGTTAACCAAATCTATGCTGAATTTGTATGTTGTGTTAGATCTTATATATTTAGATTTCTATAATATTTCTAATTTGTGACCGGATTCTATAATACTTTTTAATCTATTGTTCAATTAACTTAAATACAACGTAATCATATTGTAGGCCTGTGATAAATTCTACTTCTGCTCGGACGGAGTCCCCAACGAGCACCCTTGCCCACCTGGACTTTTCTTCGACGAAGAAACATCCAACTGTGATTGGAAAGACTCAGTTCCTCGGCAGTGTGATAAGGTTACTAAAGGTATGATAATTCAGGTGATTTAAAAACTAAACTAAGAGACAACGAAGAGAACAATACCCTAAGGTTGACTCTTTCATTTGTTTTTTAAAACTTTCAAAAGCTCATTTTAGCACAAGAATACAGACTGAATAATTGTTAAACATTAATATTTTCATATGATCTTGCACATGATTGTATAATATTTTTAACTTATACTGAATACTGATAAAAAAGTTGAAAATGTATTTATTCTTACTGGTCGAAAAATATACTTTGTTTAGAATATGAATTATAATTTTAATAAAATAATAATAAATGTGACCTAGTATTTGTATTAACCTTGTTAATTTAAATAGATAAATTTACGACTTATTTAATTTTTGAGGCCAATTTATAAATAACGAAGTAATTATATCACTTCGAAATCGTTCTTATTTTGAATTTATTCCAGGTCTAGTCTATTCTTAATTCAATTTGTCTTTTATTCCAGATGTCCTTGATGATGGTTTCTCATGCCCCGACGGTGAAGTCCAAGGGCCAAATGGTCGCGCCCTCCCTCACCCTACCTTCCCCCACCCGGAAGACTGTCAGAAGTTTTACATCTGCCGCAACGGAGTCCAGCCACAGAAGGGTAGCTGTCCTTCAGGAAAAGTATACAACGAAGACACATTTATGTGTGACGATCCAGCGAAGGTTCCTGGATGGTGGGTTACATTTCTAAATCCATCTTGGATTGATCAGATTAAACAAGATGTTTTTATAGTAAAATATTCATTATTTTCATCTACCTACAAAGCATACATACATTGGAAAGTATTTTCATAAATTGAATTCAAAAATAAATACGAAACGGGTAGGTATGTTACTTGATAGAAACGGCATGCTGTTGGTCGAAGGTTCGAACTCGGTCTGTGTCAATTTAATCTAAAATTTATTTTTTAGATCTAACTACTTAAACTCAAACCTCTTTCTACATTGTATAGTAATAATAAAATTCGTATAAATATTCACTATATATTAATCATATAGCGAATAAATGGTAATATAGGGAATGTTAATTGTCATATATAACTGTATACAGACATATAAATATGTCCCTATATCTTCTGATAACAATACAGTGATAAACTTTTATAGACTTTAAACGTATGCTACTAATTTGTAATTGTTTGTACTAAAGCCAACATTTTTATTTCCAGTGAAAACTACTTCGAAGGCCAGCCGTTAGAGAAGAACAAATTGCCGAAGAAGGCGTAATTATAGCTATTAAAACATCCTATTAATTATAATATTTAGCATTACTATTAAATAAATACAGATAACCTTTATTTTATTTATCCTTCGTAATCCTTTATTTTACGTAAGCATATAATTAAATACTATTTTAATTGCTAACATAATGCAGGAAAACGGGCTGTCTAAAAGGTAGTCTTGTCTATAATAAATATTAAGTTTGTTGAATTTTATGATACGCCGTATTACTGGTGTTGTTAGATGTAGGTAGTTAAAAACCTTTTAACTTTTTCATTAAATAAAATACCTACTTTGCAAATGTTAATAAATACTATCAATTAAATTTTTATAATAACTATTATCAATTATTAAATATCAACGGTGCATTTTTTAATATATATATGATAGTAAATTCTAATATTATGTATGTAATTGTGACTATTAGGAATGTATTAAGTATTTACGATGAAAATCCTTACACAAGCCATTGTCACTCTTTATGGGAAATGTTTAAAACCTCTAAATAACACACTTTAACGATTTAAAACGTGATTTAGTTAATTAATAAGTTTAACTAGTTCCCGTTTTAAACCGTTAAAGTGTATTATTTAAATGTGTACTATTTGCGTAAACTATAGACAGTATTTAATGTTTAAATCCTTTTTTCTTTTTTTGTGCGCGTAAAGTATTAAAATTTCTTTATAAATTATTACAATAGCAAAATATGGTTCGTGAAGTTAATATCGAAATATTTGTAGTCTCTAGTGACAACTATTAACTTAAATACCTGTGAATTGAACCTCGGACTTCGTTTAGCGCATACTAGGCAACCCTTAAACTAAGCTACCGTTGTGGTCAAACACTTAGCCTTAATTATTTCTAAACAGCTGTTTAACAAGTCGCCTTGAAAATCGAAAGCCGTATTTGACTCAGAAATAATCAGAAATATTTTAACAATGTACATTAGAAATTAAAACATTTCCGCTTACCGTTAATGTGTTGAAACATGCAGTAAGGTAAAAAATGAATTAAGAATTGTCTAAGTTCAACAATATTCATAACTTGCTGAGTCACGCGACTTCGTACGCGTAGAATAATTATTTTGGATATAATTTTTGTTTTTGCAAACCCCCCCTTTCCACTATAAATTAGAGCTGTTACCTTAGCCTTCTGCAAAAAATGTTCTAACTATCACAAAAAGAATTATTCAATTCTAACCAGTAGTTCCTGAGATTAACGCGTTCAAACAAACAAACTCTTCAGATTTATATATTGAGTATAGATGTTTTAAAGTTTGGTTGGATTGTGTATTTACGCCTTAAATTTCGTATTTTTTTATTTATTTTATCGGTGTAAAAAGTTATAGTAACACGATTTTTTAATAAGAAGTGTGCTTAACTTCTGACTTTATAGTTTTAAACGAAAAGCATTTTGGTTTATGTGCTTGCTTCCTTTTAGCTTCGTTTTTTTTACAAATTAACATCTGTAGGCTTTATTGCAACGAAAAATGAAGTTATTTTTTAAACTTTATAATTTTTAGCAAGGGTGCAAAGCTAGCCCATATTTTCCCAAATCGCGCTGCTAGAGAAGCTAAACGCCTGATGAAACATTATTTAAAATAACTATATACGCACTTTTTGTCATTACCATCACAGGCGTTGCGAAATAATTATTGAAATATATGCAGTTAATTCGTATAAAGGAATAATATTTTTTAGAATCAAATGTATTCTGCTACATTTTATTGTTAAAATAATTGCATTTATTTAATTTAAAAAGCCAGCTTGTCGACTTTGTCTTTTATGGATCTGGAGGAATTTTCAATATTATACGCTTGTCCTGTAAGGTACGGGATTTTTATGGTTAGGAATACGTTTAAAATGTAGTGTTGATTAAGAACCATATATTTCTACCATAACATCAACGTACTTCGTACATAGTCATTACAAATTTGAAGACGGCAAAACAACGCCAAATTTTACAAAAAATAGTTGCTGTTTTAAAGTAAAACAAAAACCGTATCACAATTTCATAATGAAACGAAAGTTAATGAAAGTTTAAAATAAGAACAATTAGCCCACATTATTTTTTGATCTTATCTCAACGATCAAAAGTGCAGGTCAATATTACGAACCAATTAATGATAATTGTAACAGTTGCGTAAGTTAAAGCCGGATCGATTTGTACAATATAAACTGTGACAGTTCTGCACACTAATAAAATATATATGTGGCCAGTATGAAACATATAAATTTATTTTTAAATTCGATGTAACTCTGTGGTCAATTGGTCACTTCTAACATCAACTTTTTTTACTAACATTGTTTAAATACTGCTTGTAGCTTACGCGAGTAGTACACATTTTAATAAAACGCTTTAACGGTTTAAAACTCGATATATTTTAGGTAAACTTGTTTGAAAGTTATTTTTAATTACGCCCCGATGTTTTTCAGCAGCTGCGGTAACTGGGAGACTCAAGATGATGGAGACTTTGACGTCAAAGTAAAAAAAACTGCTACGCTAGCGCCATTTGTTCTGTCGAAGTTGGTATTTGGGCGAGATTAACCGGGTCCTTGCAGAATTGACTCAAAAAACATTGTTTAGCCGATGCATCGTAAATCTTCAATAATACATTAAATCCAGTTCTATGCTCGTTTTCGTAATAGGTGATTCGGACAAAAAGTGACAGCCTTATTTATAGTCCGAACATTAGACTTATAAAGTTAAGTAACAAAATATTTTACTTACAAGAACAGCACAGTCTACTAGGTGTTTGTAATTTTATAAGTTAATGTAAAAACTGTAGAAGAGTCTTTAAATAATATTAACGAATCAAACATTGTAAGAAATATTATTATTTCCAAAATAAAACTTCTAATAGCAAAAAAGTAATAAATCAAAATAATTCAGTTTATAATTCATTTAACAATTCGTATAAAAGTATTTTTTAATAAGGGATTCATATTAGCTAAAGCGAATGCGAGTTGTACACTTTTAACCGTTTAAAACGCGAAATATACTAATAAAACTTATTAATATACTACTTTTTCTTTCACATCTAAAAAAATAATTTTTAAACCGAAAAAGGAATATAAAAATGTTATTTTACTTCAAGCACGCATTGAATGGACTATAGATTTGGAGTAGGGTGGCAGAAACCGTCGCTAGGTCGGCGCACGCGCAGTGCTGCCGGGCTGAGGTAACGCGCGGACGTCAAACGAAATAACCATGAGGATTTGTGCACACACCGTCTTCTTTGCTTGCATTGCGTTCGGTAAGCATTCCCTTATTTTTAGTTAATGAAAATTAATGGCAATCTATTGCCTTAAGCCACTATAAACGTATACTAATATATATAAATTATAGACATGTCAAAATTAGAACGAATTACAATTTTAGGCAACCAATCGATGCATACGAAAATTAACTTTATTACAACGTTGTTAAATTCTTATTGCTTCGTCTTGATTATAACATAATGACTTATAAACTAGTCCGACAAAACGTACGTTTCAAAAATACTAGTGACCTTTAAAAAATCGATAAATAATCGGTTCCCAACCAAACAGGATGTATTACGTAAAATTGAATTAAGTTGTCAGGAGGGTAATTAATAGTTTTAGCCTTTTTAATTAAGATAATCAAATGTCAAACATTCTCCTGCAAGTGTGTGAATGTTGTCAAATCAAACTGAGCGTTTTGATATGAAATTTTTGTATACATCTAGATATTACTTAATTAATGAGCTTAATTATTTAATATTCATTTATTTTCTGTGGATGAATACATACATTTTAAATTTTTGGTTGTGGTCTGTGGTTTACGCGATTAGTACACATTTAAATAAAACACTTTAACGGTTTAAAACGCGATATATATTAGTTAACCTTATTTGAAAATTATTTTTAACTACGGTCCGACGTTTCAAATGCTTTGCAGCCTGTAACCACGTTATATCGCGTTTTAATTGAATCGAAAATAAATTGAAAAACTCGGGCAGGACTTGAACCGGCATCGTCAGCGTTCCGTGCTGTTGCCCCAACCGAGTTTTAGGTTAGAGCAACAGCACGGAACGCTGACGATGCCGGTTCAAGTCCCACCCGAGTCAAATTATTTTCAATTAAATGTTCAATATTTAATACATACATTTACTAAGTAGTGGGTAAATAAATTTTTGGAATCTTCTTTAATCCTTGTATATTACATCACAGCATGGTTAATTGCGCTTCAATTATTGTAATAACGCGGTAAGAGACACAATGTCGCGTCATCTTACACACGCGGTGTGCTATTATGAATAATTAATGGAAACAAACGTTAATATTCACGTAACTACGTTGATAGTATAGTAGTTAGAGTACCTTTGGTTTGAATCCCGGGTCGAGCAACATGTGGGTAGTATGAAGTTCTATATTTGGAGTTTGGAAGCACTGCTGTTGAACCGAGTTAATGTCACTAATGAAGTGTTGGTAGTCGTGTTTTCAATATAGTACAGACAAGAATAAGTTATGTCCACCTATGTTTGGGTCTAAGGTATTCTGGGTCTAAGCTAAAACCTTGAGATTGCACCTGCACCCATACGTGGGGCATAAATATTTCGAAGTTCGCTCAGTATTTCATAACTTACAGTCTCAGATGTTATTTTAAAATAAATATGCGGCCGTACTTTTTCCCGCTGTCAATTGATTTGAATAAAATAAAGCCAATTTAGTAAGTATGAACTAATTTTAGGTAATTATTTGCTGATGTAGGTATTTTTTTTTAAGAATTGCTTCCATCTACTTCATACCATTACGTTTACGTAAATATTCGAAATCTAATATGTCTTAATCCCAACTCAGTAGCAACTCAATAATAAAAATACACTGAAAGAATAGTTGTTATTAAAGTTTTGAGTAAATGTTGCGTGGTTTGAATAATTCATATTTAAACAAGGTCTGGTGTGATAATAATTTAAAAGCGTTACAAAATGTAAAGCAACTATTCTGGAATTTTAGTGTTGCTAAAGACCTAAAAGATTAGAAAGGAAAAGGACCTGCGATTTTAGCATGGGGTACTGCGCAAGAGTTGTATAAGCCACTTAAGGTCCTTACAAAGCTAATGTATATCGATGTAATCGCTTTGTTCTAATTTTGAAATTATAGTATGGTTTTATTCTTAAATTGTCTAAATATTTGAGTTTTGTAAACTGCTTTTAGAAGCGGTCTAAGCTGTCACGAAACTAAATCGGGTTACCATTTTTTGCTCACGCTGTATTTGTTATATCATAAGTAGTTTAATAATTATAACTGTGGCTAATTTGGCTTGCCCAATGCAATTGGAAAGGACCGGAACGTTTGTTGAAACTCAAGGTTCTCGATACGAGCCGTAGTTATGGCAAATAAAAACATTATATTTACGAAGCGAAACATAGTTTGAAACTTAAATTAAACGTTTTAATGTCAAGCTTTTCAAATCAAATATTTAGTGGAAATAAAACGTATGTTTTAAACATTATGTATGTTGTGAACAATATTATTTTTTACAATTTGTGTTTTTAAAGACTATTTGTGATATTTAAAAAATGACAATAACACGGGCGGGGCTCAAACCCACGATTGCAGGGTCTACTAATTGAGCTGTGGTGTATCATTCCGTCTCGTAAGAATTTCAAAATTATCTTGTCAAGTAGAAATTAATAAAGCATAATATTATGACAGCTTACTACATGTCGTCTTTACGAGACAGAGTGAGTTTTGTTTTAATAGATTAGGTACATAAGTCTTTGAGTTAAATGAAACCGATCAATGAAACAGAAACAATAATCTATTTTCTATATGCCCAAGAGCGGAAACGGGTGTTTCACTCATTTACCCTTTTTTTTATTCCTACAGCTATTATTTGAATAGGCCTGCTGTCATGTTACTTAAGCGAGCGTTGGTCTTAATAATTAACCTTTATAATATGAATGAAATGTTTCAAGTTAACTGCAAGTGAAAGTGAGAATGATTATGTCGCAAACTTAATGTAGCCGTATAATTTTTAACCAGAGGTTACACTGTCAAGTACATTAATGTTCCGGTAAAGTAATTCAAAAGTGTATCAAAATAACCTTATTATGACTGGTTGTATATTATTAGTATATTAGATTACCATTGTTACTATTACTATATACCCTACTTTAACCTTCGACCACTGACTCTTGTTGGTCTTACGGAAAACTAAGGGAGATTCATTCATAGTACGCAAGTGTCACAGTTAAAATAAGAGCGTGCGAGAGATGGTTGTATAAAACTAATGCGAATTCTATAATAACATGTGTATCATAGGAAAACAATGTAAAATGCAGTGCATTTGGGTCAGAGGCTGCCATGTATTTTTTTTAATTAAAATTAATTTTGTACTTTTCTGAAGCCTAAAATCAAAATATGCGTTGTGCAGTACATTTGACATTGACGTTTAGAGTCTTTTAAATAAAACATCTCTGACGGTTAAAATGCGAAACGTATTAGTTAGTCTATTTTCTATTTATCTAAACGACGGCCCTATTTTATCTAAGGTCTTATATACACTATCTAAGTATATGCCGACGTACGATTATGCAAACAGAACTTCGTATAAAGAAACTCGTATTAAACAGGCGTAATATGCAACACGACAGGAATCAAGTATTATAGCTACGATAGAATAAAGCGATACGATTAGACAGGCGCCTTTAATTTAGAACGATAACATCGTCCATACAAAAGAGTTCAACGCGCGAGACTGATTGTTAACACGCATATAACGCAAGGTCTTTGTCTCTTATGGTTGATATCGTTCTAGGCGATATAATTCATTTTTTTTTATATTAATTATTAAGAGTTAATTTTAAGCAGAGACACGTGTCATATTTCAGTTGTAGGTAGGTATTAAAAGACTTACCATAGAATGTTAATACTAAATTTTCCCAAAATACTGTTCTTATATGCAATATACATAATCCAAGTATTTTGAAGAAATCAAAGAAAAAAAATTGTAATAAAAGAAGACGTCAATTATTCAAATCTTCCTTGTTATTTTATAAAGGTTAGACTCTATATCAAAGTAAGTTCAACCATTATAAGATTTTCTATATACTAGCCGTAGGCGTTGTAGATATAATGTTACATAATCCCAACAATAGCCAGATGTCGTGAAGCCCCGAGACATTTGTTACGCGGTTGTGTACTCTAGCGAAAGTTGTACGATGATTTTACACATGTTGTTATCTCAATACGTAACAAGTTGATGAATGAATCGTATTTTTTGCAACATTAAAGGCTTATTATCTATTAGATACGATGATTGAATGTTAATATTTATTAATGTTAACTATTTCTTATGACAGAGGAGGAGAGAAAAGCTTAGGTTTCACTTGATAGTAGGTAGGTACCGCAGCCACATCTCAAGTGAGATTTAAATTAAACTCTTTTAACCGTTTAAGGTTAAGTCTGCCATCGCGACTGCAGCTAAACATCCCAAACTTCGGGTTGCAATAAAATTAAGTTTTCTCAATAAATATTTTTATAAAACAAGCAATGCTAGCATGAAGTCATTTGTTATTTGACAATAACAAATGACTTCATGTTTAAAAAAAATGACTTTATTTGCAGTTAACAAATTTACACATTTTTTAAATTATGTGTATCTAGTTTGACATTAGTTTCTTCACGCGTGATCTAGTGGTGTAGGTTATATTAAAAATTGAAATGAAGTAACGAGACGTTATTGTTCCTGACCACAAGTAGACAATTTCACTTCTACATCTGACTTGAATAGCAAACAAACTTACGTAATGAATTCTGCTTCCGTATACACGGGAGATAAACAATGATCAAAATAGAGAGCTCATCTTTATATTCTTTACCAATCACTTAGTTTATTCCTATTTAGTAAGCTATTGTCTAACTATCAATAGTCCAATACGTGGAAGTAAAAACTAAATAGTATAATTCAGAGTTTCAAAAAAAGTTGCCACATAACTAATGACACAAGTTTTTTACGCGCCAAGGTATTTTTTTTCTTTGTGCCATGTTTAGTTCGATTTTTAAATTAAACCTTTGACAAGTCACCCCTTTCGTCGCCATGTTGGGGAGCAGCAGATTGTTCGATTTTTAAATTGTTTGACAAATGATTTTACAGACTCGACTAGTACAAGTTCGTTTTATCTCAAAGAGGGTTCTTTAAATAATGCTCAAACCGAGCACATTTGAAGTATTTTTTGTTTCACCTAACATCTGCAAAGTGTTAAGAGAACAGAAATATTGTAACATATTAATGTTATAGACTATTTTAATAAGCTCATTTATATTTAATTAAATCAAGTTTAATTTTCAATGTGCGTGTTTGGTATTGAATTAAATGCATCTTTAAATGCAATCTCATCCCGTTTGTGTTATGTAAATGCACGAGTTGAGATTTCTTCTTCCGCTTACGTAAAATCTCGTTTATTTTCAAAGGGTTCCTTAGAGCAACTTAAATACGTAATATGACTATTTAGTTTTTCATTTTCAAATTCTATGAAAAGATTTAATATAATATTAGGTTTGTTTGGTAGCTTAAGGTGCAAAATCTGATTATAATGAAGCCTAACAATGATGCAGTTATAAAATCATACAAGTACGTTTACCATAAGTAAGTCATTTTTATAAACTATTTTGCTCAGTACGTAAAAATCCATATTCCTAACTTAGGGCAGACACAACAAGAAACCAATTATAATATTTCCCCGGGAATTGAACCTTTATAAACTCTCGCGCTTACTAGAGTACGATTTTGAGAACATTATTTTAATATATTTCAAGCAACAGTCTAAAGAATTATATAATTCACATATGTCGTGTTACAAACAGCTTAAACGAATGGTCATTGTATCAATGTAACGTATCAATGATCTAATCAAGACTAAATCTGCGCATGCGGCTGCGTTTGCGTCAAGGCTGACCACTCGTGCGTTCGACTTTCGCTCGCTATATGTGCTACTAAAATGCTGCTAACTCGATTAATGATAAAAACAATATAATAATTTTTAGACTTGTGTACAGATTATAATTTAGTACCGTTAATTAATGATATAAAATCTGAAGTCTGTCTGCTGTCACAGACAATAGATCATATATATTTGTTTTACATTTTTTAAATAAATTTTTAATTGTAAGTAAATTGTAAGTGACCATGGCTTCCGCAAAGCATCCGTGCTCGTCGAAGCATCGGGCCGTAGTCAAAGATGATCTTCAATTAGTTTAACTAATATATATCGCGTTTTAAACCGTTAAAGTATTTTATTTAAATCTTATATACCGTTTTTTAGTTCAGTTCCTCTAGATTCTATTATACTAATGCAATTTGTTACGTTTTAAACTATATAATCAAGCCTTGACGTATTAATTAACAGACATCAACTATTACCTGCGTTCTTGAAGCGGCATTTTATCGCGCTACTCATGCTGAACGACAATCAATACGTTACACAGAGCATTTAGTAAGTGTCGCAAGGTCGCGGAAATTGCTCAAAGACATACAAGGCCCTAGCTGTTAATACTTTTATTTATTATCTTTTCTTAGACTGATCTTGTTTATGAGGTCGCTCTAGCCAGAGTAGCCTAAGTGCAATTTTATGACTGATTCATATATTTCTAAAATCTGAAAATGGTGTACAAGAGCACAGTGACTGAAAATTGTTACCATAATTCTTACATAAATAATTGTTAATTGCTTAATGTATTATTGTATTCCTCCTTATTGAAAATCATGTTGTTTGTTATTAGGCCACTCTGCCTCTAGCAGCCTCATTCATATCTTTAAGGCTTAACTAGTAAACTACACTGATTTTACTCCCCAGAGGCAAACGATTACAGGGATTTGAATTTGGAATCTCCAAAAAAATATGCCGTAAATCTAATCTTACTAATATTATAAACACGAAAAGATTGTGTTTGTTGTATTGTATTGAGTTTAGGTTTAATTTTAAAAACATAATGCGACATGGACTGAAAACCAAATATAAAATAAAACTAACGGACTAACTAGAGTGTATGTTTTTGGGGGTACAAAAAATTTTGACAATCCTTTAAATGTAACAATTAACGCTTTTAAACGTGAAATGTATTTATAAACTTAGTTATTTTTCTACTCGCGTTAACTGAAGGCAATACTTAATCGCGATGTTTCCTAGTCAGAATATCATATTAATATACATGTCTGTATGTGTTTTCCTAGTATACACAGTCGCCACATATAGCTGTCAGCTCCATATATGCGCATATTACTCAATCAATCAGACTATGTTTCACGTAGCGCGTAGCTTGATTGCTTGCTAATGGCTCGACCTCACATTGCGCAACTACACGCTTCAGCTGTTCACGTAAATGTCGTTTATTATCACGAAAGTTATTGTACAGCCCTGATTTGCTTGAAATTTCTTAACAAAAATCAAATATCAGCTTTCATAGTGTTAACAACCAGCTATATGATAACTTTATCTATAATTTTAGTAATTAAATATAAGAACTATAATATATAAATTATGAAAAAAATTGAAAAATAAAACTACCGTTTTAGTTACTATATTTGGCGTATTTATTTGCCAATATGTTAAACGGTAAACAGGGCACAAAAGTCTGATTGTGTGTAATAAATCGGGTGTAAATAAATATTACTATAAGAATCTAATTTTTTTAAATTGATTTATTTCGACACTAGCAGCTAAAGGTGACTAGAGGTGGTACTTTATATAAGTTCATATTAAGATCAATCGAATAATATATAATTATTTTCAGCAAATGCGGGTATTTTGCTCCAACACGCGCCAGCCTGTCCCGAGCATTACGGCGTTCAGGTAACAGCTTACATTTAGATATTAATGCTTTATTCATGTAGTGATCTGCAAATCCAAAAATTATAATCCTTGGCTGGGCAATGTAGTTCGGTATTTGAAAGAAAGAAATCATTATTTATTTGGAAATTAATCATCGATTTTTATATGGTGCCATCATGTGCAATATAAAAGTGTTTAAAGTTAATAAGATACCTTTTCCTATATATAAAAAGATACAAAGTGAAAACCTGTGCAATAGGACATTAGAGATTGAAACGATGTGAATACGTAACTATACTTCTAGGTACAGTTATATCACTACTTCAATACGTTATATTAAATGACTGGTTCATTATATAAGGTTCATTAAGTAATAAACTGAATTTTAAGTTTTCGGTATATGCAACCAGATGTAAGCCATTACACTGCTTAAAACTACTTAATTTTATGTTTGATACCATTGTATTCAAAGTTACTTTACGGCCTATTAGATATACTCGTAGTTTCTTTTATTTTTAAAAAAAAAATAGGAGTACGGCTACTCAGAAAAAACATGAAACAGCCTAAATTAAAATTATTATAAAGAACAGATAAGTGGGAATACTTATGAATATATATATATATACAATTACAAGGTATAGTAGTTCTAAAACCACACAGATACTAGGGACTAAAGCTGTTTCATACGTTGGTAATCTTTTCTGTAAAGCGGACTTCTGTGCTCTGCGCGACCGAAGCATTTTTTTATTACTGGGCTTCAAACCCGCTTAAAACTAAGTAATAAATATGTTATTATACTTTACAGGCGTACGCGCACCCAGAACTCTGTGATCAATTCTTCCTTTGTACAAACGGCACTCTAACTGTGGAAACTTGTGAAAATGGTCTTCTGTTTGACGGGAAAGGCGCTGTACACAACCACTGCAATTACCATTGGGCTGTTGCTTGTGGCGAAAGAAAAGCAGACTGTACGTACTATAATCAATACTTAATTACCTAACAATAACAAAATTGTGTTAAACTTAAGGACAAAGCATAGAATAGCATTCATTAGAATTACGACTCTTGACAATCTTAAAAAACATATAAATAGATCAATAATGACGGGTACAAACTAGTCTACTATGAGATGACTTAAAGCACCATCACATGTGAAAAATATGTCATGATGGCTTACGAAATCGCTTCTAGTACTACAAGGAAACAACAAAATACATGGAAATGTAAATAACACATTTTTAACGGTTTAAAACACGAATTATATTAGTTAATCGTAGTTAAATTAAATTAACTACGATTAACGATCGACGTTTCCGATGTTTTAAAGCAGTCTTGATACCAGGGCAATAGATCCGTTTAAATAATATTAAGTTAACTAAAACATTTCACGTTTTTAACCGTCACAAGCTGGTCACTCGCGAGTCGATTATAAGCATCTTTTGAGTTCCAAGCTTTTCGTCGTGACAAACAAGAAGATATCTATATTAAAACATATTTCTTTTCAGTGACTCCATACTCCACGCCTGGATGTGAATACCAATTCGGAATCTACCCAGACAGCGCCGAGTGCTCCACCAGCTACGTGAAGTGTGCCTTCGGAATCCCCCAGCAAGAACCTTGCACACCTGGTCTGGTCTACGACGAGAGGATCCACGGTTGCAACTGGCCAGACCTTTTACAACCGTTCTGTAACCCTGAAGGTTGGTATCAATTTTGACAAGTCGCGGGTTCGATTCCCATCGGGTCCGAAATTCTTCTAAATCCATTTATAATAATTTGCATACATGTTGAACTTCGTCTAGAAATCGGGATGGTGGAAGGAATGTCGAATTTCCGTCCGGGTCACGAACCACCGTCAACAGATGAAAAACTCGCGAAGTTTAATTGCGTTATATGGTATATAATGTCAAAATAAATCTAAAAATAAGGGTATTTTACCTAACATCAAGCGGACCCCATGCTTCTCTGTCCTTCTCTATCATAAAAATCAATATAATATAACAATAAGCCTTTTTTTTAATTTGACACATGACTTTACTCACGACAGTGTCACGTCAACAAGAGCTATATTATAATCTGTGTAATATAGACGTTGCGTTTGTCAATTTTTTTTTCTTTTAAGAGTATATTGCTATATAGTGAATACTGACCAACAATTATATTTTCAGCTGTCGTAGGTTTCAAGTGCCCCACTAAAGTGCCAGCTAACACCCAATCAGCCAAATTCTGGCCTTACCCTCGTTTCCCTGTACCCGGAGACTGCCACAGGTTAATCACTTGTGTAGAAGGAAACCCTCGTCTTATCACATGCGAAGAAGGCAAAGTCTTTGATGACCAGAACCTGACCTGCGAAGACCCAGAACTAGTACCCCATTGTGGTCACGCGTAATTGAAAACAATCGTGAAACTAAAAGCGAATTAATATTAGTATTTTTAGTTCCTTAAAAGCCTAACAGTTACCACTGCTATATGACTTAAAAAAAGACCACCCTCTTTGCTCAAATTTACGTTAAACCTTTTTGCTGAAAAAAATGGATAGGCATTCCATTTTTAAAAATTCTAATATTCTGAACTCCATTTAAATGAATTCCAAACCATAAAGTACAACATTATATTTCGTTCGTTATCTTTGATTATTTAAATAATTTGGAATTATTTCCACCAAATCTTTATTTATTGGTCAGATTTAATATATTTTCCCAACAGATAATACTTGATATTTTGCGTGATATTAGTTACCATAGATTAAACATATTACGACCCTCCTCTTGTATATATGTTATGAAGATCTATGTAAATAATAATATATGAGAGAAATGTAAATAAATAAAATTTATGTATGAGAAATAAAGAAAATAAAATATAAAATCTTTATAACTTTTTATTTATTCTACTTTTAAAAATTGTTAAAATAAAAATGATAGGGTCTAAAAATAATGCTGTTATTACTTTCGACTACAAAGGTGTATGTAGGTAAAGGGTTAACCGTGTTGCAACATTAAGTTGCGTTAAGGGCGGTTAGTCCTGGGTTCGAATCCTGAGGAAATAATAGATGTTCGGTGCGCAGAAGCCTGGTTAACTACTGGTCTGTAAATAAAACCGAGCAGTGGCTATTACACAGAAATGTTTAAACCCCATGAGCCATGCCTCACGGGTGGAAACTGAATGTTACTACTACTTTCGAAATAAATAAAACACATTTTTCTTAAAAGTTTACTTAGTTCTACACAGCCAATACGAATACATTGTCTATTAGAAAGCACTTGACCTATTCAAGACAACTAATAAGTGAATGAGGAAAACTTATTTTATTGAAGTTAAATACAATTAACCATCTAGCTACGGAACAGTTAAATTTTAGAATTTTATGAAAATAAATAGACATAGGATGACATGCCCGTCTCTGTAGTCCGAGATGTCATAGAGTTTGAATCCCCGGGAAACGTATTTTTTCAGCACTGAAGTATGTTAAACTACTTGCCCATAAAATCGATGACTATGATCGTGCAGCTCGCACAAAAATATGTCTGTGCTGTAGAGAAACCGCATCGACAGACGTGATCGAATTTTAGATAAATTAAAACAACGTACGCTTAGTAGAAAATATTTATTAAAAGTCTACTTAACCTAAAGTTAGTCTAAAATTTATTCTACGGCAACATCAGCTTGCTTGCCTAGCTTGGGTCTTTGTGGCTTGCGGCGGGAGGGGGCGCCTGATGGTTTTGGCTTAGCCACTGGTGGGTTCTCTAGAGCGTCTAATTCAGCGTCTGTTAGGCGATCTTTGTACCAGTCTTTGCTGAAATAATAATGTAATAGTTAACATCAAATCATAAATAAAGTATGTGTATTTTTGTATCTTTATCAACAATTAAATTTACATTTTGTAAATATGAACCCAAGATGCCTTAAATAATATAATAATATTTTAATGAGTTCAATTTTAAAATTATACTTTGTTATTCATGTTCCAATAACACAAAAACCAACTATGCAGCCAACAAAATATGCGAATAAAAGGATTAGGTTTTGAAATGTGCGTTTTTAAACAAAATCAACTTAGAGATCTCAACTTATCGTCATTTGTTTTAGTGATGAATTTGTTAACATTATTTTTATGTTTAAATACTTAACATATAATGCTATTTAGATATCATCCTATTTTTTATTATATATTTCGATTATCACATTTTTTTATCAACATAGATATTTAGACTACTTCTTTTCAAAAGTTTCCTCACGAAGCTATGTACCTAATTAATTTAATTCGTTGTATGCAAAAAAGGGACTAAAACAAAACGGAAGACCAAATTTCCTGGTGCGATGATAAGTAGATATAATATAAACATACCATTCTGGGACTTTCCTAGCCCATTCACACCTCTTCTGAACGTCGTCGAAAGCTTGACCGAGCTTGCACCCGCCGCGACGAGGGACGTTACCATTGATGCAAACGTAGAAGAATTGACAGTCATCAGGGTCGGCATACCGTGGGTGGGTTAGTGCAAAGGTCTCGTTTACTTCTGGACATTGGAATTGGAAGATATCTGCAAAAGAGGAGAAATTATAACAAATACATTTTTTTTTATAATAGGTGGAGTTAAGCTCTTTGATTGTAATAATCAACGTCAGGTTTCTGGGTTCGATCTCCACCAGGTTCTCCTCTAAAACTTGTTGTACTTTTTTTCATCTGTCTATTCCTGATATCTCACTTTGGATATTTGGAAATCCACAAATTGAAACCGAAACGCGAGTAACTTACACAGCTTTTCCGTATGTGAATCGAAATGTTTCCTAACCAGAACGGAATTTCGATATTCCTCCCATTTATTATAAAGAAATCCAATATGATTCAGAAAAATTATACATTTGTTATAGACACGTATTGGAGCCGTTGGAAATGAAACTCACGTTATTTATGACGTCGTAATTTTGCGACATGTAAGAAAAAATTAAAAATGGAATGGACTGAATGAAAATTCTTTGGGACTTTTGAGATTTGATATTAAAAAATATTGACATCTCACCAGCAGCTCCACATCCCTTCTTCTTGGCTTCATCGGCCCATGTGCAAATACCAGTCTTCTCATTGTACACTAAGTCGTCTGGGCAAGTGATCTGGTTGAATTTTCCATCCACGCAATAGTAGAATTTGCCACATTCATGAGGTTCTTCGTGCGCAAAGTATCCGTTTTGTCTGACACAGTGGAGACTAGGAATTGGTGTTTCTAAAAGGGAAAAAGAGATATAAGAAATATGTATTAAACAATTTTTATATAGACTGTCACATGTAGTACAAATAAATAATAAACCTATAACTCTTATAAATAAAGTAGCGGAGTAGCACATTTTTAAAGGTTTAAAACGTGAAATATATCAGGTAACTTATTTGTAATTTATTTTTACCTCGGTACGACATTTCAGACTCTTTGCAATTACCCCGTGCTGCAAAGAATTCGAAACATCTGTAACGTAAACGTTCTTGGTATAAAATAGAAATTGTAAAAAGGTCCAAATGTTGTACTTCAAGTCCTGGAACTTCGTAGCCCAACTAATCGTAGATAACCATTTTATTAGAAGTTTAAGTAATTAAACCATATTAGTATATATGCTGGTAAAAGTTATCTTTTAAAAACTGTCATATTTCAGGCCGTCAAAAGATTAGTGCGTCAAGATGATATTGTGAAAATCAAACAAATTCGATTACAAAAGCCGTTATCAATACACTCGTCGCACAGGCGACGTCAAGGCCAGCGTTCCCTTGAGAATGGAAAGTTGTTCTGAGCAAAGTTAACCTTTAGCACTGAATAATAATTAAATTGATGCGACAACCAGTCGCACTAAAATGGCAACACGTGAAGGAATCCATCACGTGTACGCTGATCTTTAGGTTGCGAATTCATCCGTTGAATAATGGACTACGCTAGAATACGTCATTGTCCACTACCCTCATAAAAATAGTGATCTTATGTAACCCAGATACCTATTTAGATAGGGAATTGTTGATAACCATTTCAATGTTTGCATTTAACATATAACAAGATATCATTTGTCCTGTGGACTTCGCTGAAGAATACGTTAAGCATATTTTGAACTACCCTCCTAAAAGACTGTCTTATGAGACTTCGAATCCCAGCTGTGGGAATTGTGAAAGGTCTGTTGATGAACCCTTCAATGTTTGCATTTAATGTATATCAAAATATCATTTGATTATACCTTCTAAGTATATAAAGGTCTAGTGAAGGCTTTTTATAGTCTTCTAGAACAAGAGGTGGATATACTTCTGTGTCCGTTTTTAATATACAATGAGTGCCCAAGAATGATGTGAACATTTGCTTCTTAAGAATTATACAGTATAGTTTAGTTACCATTCAGATACATAACTGTATAAAATATGTTATATAATAGTACTTACGTAATTTGGGCCTCTGTGAACAGTCAATATTGAAGGGAAGATCACATTTCTCATCGTCTGGGTTGTAATCGTTAAACACCATACCGTCAGGGCATAGTTTTTCTGTTATTTCACCATTGCTGGAATAATAGGAGATATATTTTTTTAATGCATATTCCGAATTTAAAATTTAAAATGCCTAGATAAGCGCGATTGTTTTGTGGTATGAGTATACAACTAAGTGAGGTTATGAGTTCGATGCCGGGTGCACTAAAGATCTTTGTGTATAATTAGATAGATTATATCCTACTAGATCCTACAACATCTGTCATTCTATTACTATGCGTACAAACACCTTATTTCAAAAGTAAATGCCTTAACTAGACAACTAGTTAAGGCATTTACTTTTGAAATAAGGTCTCAGTAGCGATATTTCAATATATGTATATTTAGTACCTAGAGATTTTATACATCTACCTTCATTCGTAATGAGTTCTTATATGAAAATACATAAACCGTTTGAATTCGACCCTTTATACAGATTTTTTATGAAGTTAAAAGTTATACATTACATACCTGCATTGGTAATATTTGTCGCACTGTTCAGCATCCGCGAAGAATCCATCTTCTGGACAAGAGCTGGTGATTTCTGTGTCAGGGTCAGCAGCGGAGACTCGGGCTGGCGGCGCTGGATTAGCTTGCTTCCGCTTTGTGTTCTTCTGTGATGAGGCTAACACTGAAATGATAGATAGCGTGGTTAGACATTGTTACATCTAAAATACACTATTTAAATAACATAATGCACGTTTAAATAAAACAATTAAAACGGTTTAAACGGGAAATATATCATTTAAAATTTATTTAACTACGGCCCGACGTGTGCTTGGCAGTAGCAGTAGTCACGGGAGTCTGTTTTAACTAAGCGTACCTAAATCGTGGATCTATATTATGATTATATAAAACTACAACAATACTAAACAGGATACAATGCGCTGTACGATAAAGATATTTTTATCGACTTACACATTATGCATATAAAATAAAAATAATAGATAGTAAAATATAACTAAGACTGAATACAGATAATATTTCTACTCAGTTTACTGTAATTAAAAATATAATATGCGTTATTAAACTAATTTAGTTGCCTCTAAATAGTCTTAGATAAATATTAGAATGTCAATGTTATAAATAAAACCTCGCGTAATACATACAAGTGCATTTCCCGTCTTGTTAAGTACGAATTATTAAGTAGTTCACTTTCAACCGTTTCCTTTTACTTTAAGGTCGGTGGTGAGGCCGCGGTTCTTCTGGGTGATGACAATTTGTGTATGATTAAAATTAACTACATTTCAAATTTAGTACTAATCAACGCATAGTGACAAATGAACAATCTATACTAATATATATAAAACTAAATTGTTTGTTTGAACTCGCTAATCTCAGGAAACATATATATAAGCCATCGCTGCTTATAGGATCGAAGAAACAGCGAAAAATGTGAAGGAAACGGAGAAAATTATTCATCCTTGGGGGTTTCCATTGCGTACGCTTCGTAAAAGGTTCAAGATACCCAAAAAATATGTGTAAAATAATTCCTCTTTAACTGATATAAAAAAATGTCCGCGACAGTATATGTCTGTCGAAAGTAACTATTCTACGCGGACGAAGTCGCTGACATAACTAGTCGTATATACGTCTACGTATATACGACTTGTTTATACGTATATAATATACGTATAAAAAATGACCTGAACGAATATATGTATGTCTGTCTCTATTTCATTCATCGATTTCATTCATACGGAAGTAGATATTTACGTTTCTCGCCTATATCAATAAACAATATCTTAGGATTTGAACCCAGGACCTTAGGCCCTCCCAAATGCGGTTAAATTTACCACGCAGTAATTCATATGCGGGTCACAAAACCGATGAATCGTTCAGTCATAATAAGATGGTAAAAACCAATACAAAGTGTGGCAATATGCCAGTTTCTCTGTTACCTAACGGCGCGTAACATACGAAAGTTTTTGCCAAACAAAATGGCATTTAACACTCTAATTTCATATTTATCCTTGAGGTATCTGTTGTTACAAAACTCAACGAAATCACCGTACATTATAAATCAATCATTAGGTCCGCTTAATTACAAATTATGTGAATTAGGTTATCGCGGTTCTGCTTTTTAATTTAATACTTCGCGTAACACCTCTAATCAACTCTAGTTATCTTCACTTATCATTTGGTAGATACAATATTATTACTATGTCTCCATAATATAAAAGTTTAATTAAAGGAAGTTTTTGCGGTGACTTTTTTTAAATGCAATGCCTCTTTGTTGTTTAAATTACCTAATACTACATAGCGTACTTCTATAATACATAATTTAAATAGCTCTTTGTAAACAAAACAAAGTGTTAAGGTTGAAATTACATTGCGCGATAGGTGCATGTATCAATAAGCTAAAAAAATTCGACGATGAGGTGTAGGACTCGGTAGCTCAATTGGTAGAGCACGGAACGCTGACGATGCCGGTTCAAGTCCTGCCCGAGTCGAAAATTTTTTCAATTTATTTTCGATTTTAAAATTATTAAAATAACCAAACAAAATATTGCAAATAACTATGACTAGATTACTTTTATAATAATTAAACAAACGGCATTCCTTGTATCTACTTAAATAAACATTCTTACATTTTAAAGGTCATTTTAAAACACCTAAACTTTCGAAAAGCTTAAGGCTTCTATTCTACTTAAACTTAAAGTAAATATTGGAAGTTCAAAACAAAAGTTCCATATTTAAAAACACATACCTATCACGCACGCCAGAACAATAAACTTGCACTTGAACGCCATCTTCTGTTATCTTCTAGAACACGAGCTTTCCTTACTTTCTTGGTAGGAAGTGACGCTCGCACTGCGCTCTACAGCGCACTGGCAATAATAGTTTTTGTTCGTTGTTCTTAGCTGCTTGACACTGGAGCGAAAGGCTGCGAGGGTTCGTCGTCTTTGTCCCACTTGCCGTAATTAGCATTTAGCTGTGCTCTTCACTCGCGAGTTCTACGAAACATTTGGATCCTGTTATGGCATTAAGACGTGTTCGGAAAATATTAGCTTAATGTTTGTCTATTCCTAATAACTCATTAGTAATTGAAATTATGTAATGTTATACTTTTTTCTGATTATTATTTATTACGCAATACGCTATCCTTTTTAATATTCTATGATTATTTAAGAATGGTAACTTTTTACCTGTATGTTGATATTTTATATTGTAGCATTGTCCCTAATAATTGTCTATACTTTACGCGATTAGTACATATTTAAATAAAACAGTTTTAAAATGCGCAATGTATTCGATAACTTATAGATAATAAGTAATTATCGTGACCACTAAGCATCCAAAACGTCGGGTCGTAGTTGAAAATAGTGTGAAAGCCCGTTTCCCCCTCGTGGGGCCTTGGGGCGAATAAATATCTGTGTCCGTTTCACTGATCCGTTCTTTTAACCTGCCCGACCGAAACAACATTATGTTTCCCTGGGATTCGAACCCAAGACCTCTCGCGCTTAACGCAATGCTAGGCAATACGTTTAATCATTTGGCTACAGAGGCGGTCACGAATCGTAGTTGAAATGAATAAAAAAAACGAATATATTTCGTATAACCATAGAAGTATTTTTATTTCAATTCTTTGTAATGTCACTATTTTCTCTGTGAAGGCCTCTTCATGGATTAATGATTAAGCACATTGCCTAGGATAGCAATAAGCGCAAAAGGTCCTGGGTTTAAAACACCGGAAAGCAATGTAGTTCCGAATAGGGCGCAGAAATATGACCTATAAATTCAACCTTTAAATCAATCACAGAAATGTGACAATCTTTGGTTACACATATGAGAAAGGATTACATGTGTTTTATCAAAAAAAGCTTTCTTGCAGTACTTTAGCGACACGAACAAGTAAGCGAAAGGTAAGGTAAGGTGAGGTAAAGTACGTGATGAGTCGTTCGTGGTTTCGAGTGTCATTATAGTCACATACTGTCTGTAGTTTACGCGAGTAGTACACATTTAAATAAAACACTTAACGGTTTTAAACGCAAACAATATTAGGTAAACTTACGGCTGCTACAAAGCTTCCAAAACGTCAAAGTAAAAATAAGTTTAATTAATATATTGCGCGTTTTAAACCATTAAAGTTAAGTTTTATTTAAATTATCTCGTATATGTTAGTAACTTTTTTTAGGTTTAACAAAAAACGCGATATATTTTAGTTAAACTTGTTTGAAAATTATTTTTAACTACGGCCCGACGTTTCGGATGCTTTGCAGCAATCGTGGTCACGGGGAGACGTTTGTGACAACTGATTTTGGGTTGCTGTAACTGAGAAAAGTTTTCGATATTTTCACAAATGGATGACGGATCGTCAGATGTTGCGTGTTAATTGTACAGTGCGTCACAATAACGATAGTCAATAGTGCGAAAAACCCTTTGCAAAATAGCTGTAAAATTTAACTTACTTTATTTTCTATATTTTTTTTTGTTTAAACAATTATTAATAATTGTTTAGTATATCCATACTATTGCCTAAGAAATCCTGTTCAAATCCCAACAATCCAGCACACAAAAGTACAATGTGACTTCTTCACATGGCAAAAACGAAATTTTTCAAAGCGTTGAAATACTATACTATAACTGTTTCTACTTCTAAAAGAAAAATAAACAAATCGTATTATAATTTCACAGGCTAATAAATGAATTGATCAAACTATTGTCACATCTCATTGACAGAGTTAAGGTTTGCAGTCTTGTAGTAGATAAGCTAACGACAAATACGAAAAAATTTATCTATTCTTATTAGATGCCTGTGTTAAAATGTAATCTGTACTAATATTATAAATGCAAAAGTAACTCTGTCTGTCTATCTGTCTGTCCGGCTTTAACTCTGAAACTGATGAACTGATTTAAATGAAACTTGGTACACAGATGTTTTAGAGCCTTAGTAAGAAAGCCTATATTCTTTACTAATTTTAATCTACCAAAAGGGGATGAAAGTTTGTATGGAACGTCGTGTTTTTTGAAGCTAGAACAATTAAACTTTCTTTTTTGGATTTTTGGAAATGGGAGTGGGAGTAGAAGTAGGAGTGAGAGTGGTAGTGGAAGTGGAAGTGAGAGTCAGAGTGGGAGTTAGAGTAAGGGTGATGTAAGGTGAGAGTGTTTCGGCGAAGTAGCACTTACAACATAGATAGGCTGCCTTAAACGTACCCTTACATAAATTAATAAACGTCCTAAATGTTTAAAAATTCTTCCCCAAGTCACTATTCCACGCGGACGAAGTCGCGGGCGCAGCTAGTGTAACAATAACTTTAAGGCACACTCGCTTAAACTAAATTCCTAGTACTGTATTGCACGTTGGATTCGAATATTACTACAATATATTTGGAATATTAAACCGCAAACTATTCTTCAGGTATTGTAATTTAATCGATATATTTTTTTCTTTATGTAATTCCATAAAATCATAAAAAAAATTAGAAAATTTGGCTTATGAAAGTAATATATTATAGTAATAAAGTTTATATTATAATTGTGGCTATAGAACAGTATCCTAAGAGAACATTGTGTAATTTATGCAAATATTGATTTCTTGCGCATGCGCTAGAAAGTAACGACAATGACGAGTACCGTGATTGTTTCACCCATAACACAATCGACTCTCGATTTTATTAAATAATCGTTATCGATTTTTTTGCTCGATAAGTGTCTTAAGATATACAAGACCAAACTGTAAATACTCTATTTATAATAAATAAGAAATTAATACAAACTAATGACAATGGATATATTGTGGTTATTAATATAAGCAATAGTTTATAATTGAATTGAAAAAGTTATGAACTTAAATTCAACAATTTTCTTAAGTTACATTCTCTTTTACATAATAATGTACAACAATAAAAATTGGAATTCTGTTTTCGCCGTGGGGCATGGGGCGAACACATCTCTGTGTCCGTTTCACTGATCGGTTTTATTTACAGGCAAGAACTTGATTAGACTTCTGTGTCCTGCCCAACTTAAACAATTTTTTTGTTTCCCTGGCATTCAAACCCAGGACCGCTCACGCTTAACGCAATCCTAGGCAACAGGTTTAACCATTTAGCTACAGAGGCTGTCAAATAATGTACAACAATAAAAAAATTTGAATCCTGTTTTCCCCCTGGGGCATGGGGTCACAAACACATTTCAGCGTCCGTTTCGTTGGTCGGTTTTTATTTACAGAACTTGATTAGACTTCTGTGCCCTGAACAAACGAAACAATCTCTTGTTTTCGCGGAAATCGTACTCAGATCCTCTTGTGTTTAAAGCAATGCATACAGAGGTGGTCAACCTCTTAAACCTGTATATCAAACAAAACATTGAAAATTATCTACTTATAAGACTTTCCAAATATTAAGTGTGAAAGCCCGTTTCCCCCTCGTCGAGCGTGGGGCGAACACATTTCTGTGTCCATGTCACTGATCCGTTCTTTTAACGGGCAAATAGTTGATCAGACTTATGTGCCCTGCCCGACCGAAACATTTTTTATTTCTCCGGGATTCGAACCCATAAACCCTCGTGCTCAACGCAATGCTTATCAATACGTTTAACTATTTCGCTACAGAGGCAGTAAATTGTTAGCCAAATGTTATAATTATTTAAAATGCCCTTATTAGTAAGAAGGTTGTATATGCGTTTTGTAGTTCATCCATTAAGATGAGAATTTATACACATTACATGTGAGGCGATGCGTAGGCGCAAGTAAAAAAACTACGCTTAGTTAGCACTGTATAATATGCAAATGGTTACGTGAAGTTACTTAAATAGGTGTAAAGGCGTTGGCGTTGTTTCTGTGTAGTTAAATTAACTGGGTTGCATACAAAGGAGCTTTTCATAGTAAATGTAATTTCAAAAAGGCTATAACCGATTTTAAAAAAGGAGTATAACAATTTATACTATACTAGCTGTGCCCGCGACTTCGTTCGCGTGGAATAGTTTTAGGCTGTTTATTAATTTATGTAATTGCGCATTTATCGCAGTAGATTGGCTGCGATAAATGCACAAATGTTGTAAGTGCTACTTTGCAATACTCTCACCCCACATCACTCCTAATCTAACTCCCACTCCCACTGAATGAAATTTTGTTTTTTTTTCAAATACGTTGACACAAAAGAAATCCTGAATTAACTGAATATCCAGAATTTGTAGTAATAGTCTTAAGTTTACGCAAGTAGTATATATTATAGAACACTAAACTATTTACAATGTAATTTAACTACATTTTAAACTGTTAAAAGTGTTTTATTTGTATACACACGATGGACTCGAAAAAGCATGTTGTATTTGCTTTAATATATCTTTATATTATAATTATCTGTTACTTAGCATGTGAGATTCTTGTGATCGAAAAAAATCAAACCCACTTGCAGGATACTAGTATATCACTGCTCCATCAACCGCAACGATGCAAATAAAACATAATGAGTTTCGCACTCACAGCTATTTCGCTCGCATCTCTCTATCGGCATTATCAAATAGATTTCCAATATCAACTGAGATGCCTTCACAGAGTAGATTGATATCTAGTATTACATATCATGTCTTATTTTACTCGAGTGACGTTGCAAAGTTGTTGGAAGGAAGCATTGGATTCAAACGAGTTACAATATGTGTTTGAAGATTGTATCGCATTTAATGTCTGTCTTTAAAGGATACATCGCTTTTATGGATCATAGATAAGAAACTTTAAAATATTTAAAGGACGGTACCAAACGTAAATAAAGCTAAAGAGTTTGTTTGTATGTTTGAACGCACTAATCTCAAAAACTACTGGTTCGAGTTAAAAAAATATTTTTGTGTTGGTTATAGAATTTATTGAGGAAGGCAATTAAACATAAAAGAAAACAGCGAGAAATGTCGAAAAACAGAGAAAATTATTCATCCTTGTGGGTTTCCATTGTGTACGCTGCGAAAACTCTTTAAATGATCTACATAAAAATCCGCGAGTACTTGACTATCTTCGCAAAAACAACGGGACGCGGGCGATGTCGTGGGTAACAGCTTAAAATTATAGAGTTGAACAGGAGATTTGCAAAAAAATTGATACCCTAGCTAGCATGTTATACACACGACTGAAACTTATTAAGGAGAAGTCGGTTTTAAAAATAAGTAAACGAATTTAAATACGATTTATATGATACAATGTTTATTTTTAAAAATATAGCGTTTTATTTGTATTTTGACATACATTAAAGATGTTATTGATCAAAACAATTATAAGAAACGCGATATATTAGTTAAACTTAGTGTTTTATTTAAATGTGTACTACTCGCGTAAACTATAGACAGTATTAGTTTACGCGAAGAATTTAACAATTTAAATAGGACATCAATAATGAAATATTAAGGTGTCCTAGAGTATCAAATAGACTCTGACGGTTTAAAACGTGAAACATTCTTGATACACATTTAACTATGATGTACATTTCTTATATTTACACTCTTACTTATTAACTGTTTTAAACCTTTAGTAGTGGTTTACTTGATGTGTACCTTTAACATGTCATTAGGTATAAAAGCAAAATATCTTATCTAGTTACTAAGATAATCTGCATCTTTTAATGTACAACGAATTGAACGGAATATATATTAAATTAATTAAATCAGTTGTAAGGACCCTTTTCGCTTATAAGCTACACACGCGTATAGTTATATTTTCAAGTGCGACTATAAAAGGACTAGGTTTTAACTGCAACCCTGACATTGGCCTCAGTCTGTTGTAAGGATGTGGAGGTTACTTGGCTTAGTTGCTCTGGTTTCTGCGCAAACTGGTGGTGGTTCTGAAAGTCCTCTCCTAGACAAGGTCACCAATAATAGGCAGAAGAAATTGTTATGTGAGTACCTTTTTGCATATTTCTATTCTGGTTTTTCAGTTAGACATAAAAATACTTTGACGGTATTTATTTTATATGGTTTTATTTTAATTCAACACAATAATAATCCAAAATTTTGTTGTGAAGGTAAAGCGTAATTTAAAACATTAGTGAAAATCCACACAAACGCTTTCATTATTATACAAAAACGTAGTTAAGAAACGTTAATATTTCCCGTTAAAAGTGTTTTATTTAAGTGCCTTAGCAAAAAATATTAACTTGTTTTATATAAAGTATTGTATTAAATTTCTTTACTTGTACGGACATGAGTATAATAAAATACAATAAAGTTTTTCAAGACTTGAAAAGCTCTTACCGATATCTTAACGGTATTACAATCAAATAATACTGGGTATTGTTTGAATTTCAAGAAATGATCCCTGACCACATTTCCTGGGGTATCTGACCGCAGTCATGTTCTTTACAATTTAGTGCTTCGTAATCACTCGTAAGGAGCTGACTTACAATAAACTTCATCAAGAAGATATGAATTATCATCTTAGGGCGGGTTATCTTAACACACATAACGGAGACGGAGTTGTCAAGATCGCGCTGTTCATTTGTAACTTAAATAATAAGTATGTACGTTTAAGTACTTAAGTATTTTTATTTTAGAAGATTCTTAGATGTTTTACTATTTAAGTTGAGTCGTATTGTCTATTAAGAAATTTCATATGTTTATTGTTACTAAGATAAACTATATCTTATATTAATTCGTACAATTAATAACATATTGTGTTAATAAATTAATATAAACTTTCCTAAAATAAGCAAATGAAAACGAACTACATCTATGTGTGCTTTCGTAAGAAATTTTAGATTTTCATTCAAAGGGGAGAATTATTCAACTGTCGTCAAAAATAGGCGTTAATAGCGTTTGTTATTAACGCCTATTTTTAGCCTTTAACTGTTAAAAACGAGGAAATTTACTTCATACGTTTGTTATGCCTATTACCTATCGAGATTTATGGACGAAGTTTAACATGTTTCAAAAAAAATATAAAATTTCTTGAAACATGTTGGACCCGATTAGTTTTGAACCCATGAACCATTGATTTTTAGCCCTACAATGCTACCATTCGACCAGCAAGCCCGTTGAAATGTCAGTTTTTCAATTATTTTATCAATTTATTAAGAACTTTTGTCATAATTTTATAACAATACTGCCATAAATTTGTCTTATATTTAAATTATGACGTGTGACGTGAATTTCGAGAAAAATATGAAGCTTTTTATTCATATTTCTGTAACACATTTAAATTTGTATAATATTATTTGATAATCGACAATAAATACACTTTTAGTTTTCGACGAACAAGGAAATTTAGTGAAGACTTATGCAAACCGATACCTCTATGACTTCGGAAACTCAATTGAGGAAAGACATCCCTTACTTTTTAATTATTTGAATCCGTTCTACAGTGTGTTGCGGGTGAGTATTTCATTAATTTTTTTTTTTAAATAAAATATTGTAATTATATGAAAAAAAGGAATTATATTTATTTCTACCTAAGCAAAAATTTCGAAAGTAATGTAACGAGCTTTTTAAAATCACTTATGCGTCACCTTTCAATAAAAATAAAAGTTAAATCTAGAAAAGTAAAATTTCTGTTCCCCTAAAGGCAATATGATATATTATAAACATATCAAACATTATACATCAGGGGCCTGTTCTTGAAAGGTGCGTAAGAGATACTATGGACACAATAGTCATAAAATTTAGATCTCTCAAAAGGTTGTTTGAACGATTTCTTTAATGACAAGGACGCCTGGCAGTGATACAAATTGCTCCATAGGTTAATAAATTCACAAAAATGCATTAGTTTATAAGACATATTGAAAAAAGCCGGACTGAGTTTCTTGGGTGTTCTTCTCGGTCATGTAGCTTGGGAACACTCCGTAGAATCACGATAGACATTTTTCGCCAAATTTAAAAAAAGTCGACTCGGGCAAGACTTGTATCGGCATCGTCAGCGTTCCGTGCTGTTGCTCTGCCGATGCCGTTTCAAATCCTGCACGAGTCGAAATTTGTTTCAATTTATTTTCGAATATTATATATAATTAATATTAAATTATATATTGCCAACATATGCAATAACATGTGAAAACCGTTTCAATTTTTTTGACAAATCTAATTAATTTATAAAATTTTAAATTTTGCAACTTTAAATCAAAGGTATTTTACAGCCAAACATATTTGGATCAACAATTATATACACTATACCGGTATCCAATGCTGTTCTAACACAACTCTACAAAGACCCATCCTATCATAACCAATTGATCGTGGTACCGACTCAAAAGCCTGACGTCGAACGAAGCCCACTTTGCGCGAATAGAAGAACACAGATTCCGTCCCCCAAAACGTGTAGCAACTTCCTAAATTGCTGGGACGGCTGGGCGTGGGAACAGGAGTGTCCTGCGGGTCTTCTATTCTCCAATAATGGGTACTGCGATTATCCTTATAACGTGGATTGTAACAACAGATATATCAAAGGTGAGAATTTTTAACAAATTATATAATGTGGACGCGCAACACTTAACTACTTAAAACGAACAATATATTATTTCCAAGTTAAAGAATTCTGCTATAAAGAAATATTCGCGTTGGGTGGATAAAATTATTATTTTTTGTTTTAATAATCAAACCTGGTTAATAACGAACAATGTCTACGCATATGCAAAAAGGTAGGTGGAATCTGTCCTAAAGTTTGGTCCGATTTGACGTTTAGAACGCATTGAAATTATTTTTTGTTTAATGGACTGATAATTTATATATATATATATATATATATATATATATATATATATATATTTCCTAAGATTGTTTGAAAGACGTTGGGGGATTCGCTTTATTAGTCTGCCATAAATTAATGTTAAAACACAAATATTACAAGTAAATTCAAAAGTTGAATCGTTACAAGTATAAAACCCGTTCATACTAATATTGTAAAACATATATGCCCTTAGGTGAAATTTCTATACAAATAATAGTGACGTTTCAATAAAATTTGAATCCACTAACCCTATTTGGGGAGCAGACAAGCTGGCCACACGTACAAAGGTCAATGCGATCATAATATGGATGGTAATGCCCATATACGTTTTATAGTCCTTTATTAAAATCAACCAACGCTTATTAGGTAATGCTCGCGAGGGAATGACATCTGCCACAGATGGCATTTTCTTTAAACGACTATCAAGTGGAGACAATCTCAAATGCCTTCTCGAACATCTGTGACGTGCTGGGAAAATACTAGTGCCTATGTTCATCCACATCTTTATAAATTAAAGCTGTTTCCCACGCGTTATCAACGTCCCGTCGTTCTCCCAAGTTATTTTTCTTTTAGAACAATAAAAGAGAAATCAATCTTTGATACATATATTTTGGGTATCTTAAACCATTTTTGAAGCCTACGCAACGGACAAGGATAATTTTTCCCGTTTTTTTTTACATCTCCGATGTTTTTTGCTCCTATAAGTCGTATCGCGATGTTTTATAGCATATAGCCTGCCGTGATCAATTCGAACTAATACTTCCTGAGATTATCGCGTTAAAACAAACAAACTCTTCAGCTTTATTTATTAGTAAAGATTACGCGACAAATCTTGACGCTGACTTTAAAATTTCGTTTCCCACTGGAGACATGGAGCGAACACATTTCTGAGGCTGTCACTTATTGGTTTTGTATCAGGGAAGTAGTTAATCAGACTGAAACGCTACCTAGTTTTCCGGGATTCGAATGCAGGACTTCACATGATAAACACCTTATTAAGCAATATATTTAAACATTGAATTACAGAGGCGGTCATCTTGTTATTATATGTTAATATAAATTACTAAAATGTTGGTACTTTATATAACTATGTAATTTGCAAAGAAGTAATGATACAGGCAAACTTTGAACCCATCGTACCCCGCTATCGTGTCGTATCTCTACGCTTATAGTTAAAAGTTATAATCATGATTTTTAAGTGAGAGAAATTCACTGTTTTATGCGGAAAGGTAAAAAATAAGATCTTATCAATACGCGATGTGAATTTTTTTATTGTTTTTTTTTTAGAAGAAACAAAATCCCCGTGCAACAAGGACTTCGAAGCGTTCAAAAATAACGATAACTGTCAAGAATTTTTTGTGTGCGTACACAGACTGCCTGTAAAGTTTCAGTGTCCAACTGAACTTGCTTATAACGAGGTTGGTACAAAAAAATAGAATAGATTAAAAATTAGTTTATTCAGCCAACACACGACGTTTAGCAAACATAATAGAAGAAGAATTATAATAAAGTATTAATTTACTAAAGAATACATTTAAAATAGAATACACAGTTGCCTCCGAAAAGGAGACCAGTCTAGGTCGGGTTTAAAGTCCCAACACTGATACTCCTTTGCCATTCCATCATTTTCCAGTAATTTATAGGTAAACTTTTGCTTAACAAAGTATATTACTAACAATTTTTGCATTTATAAAATAAATTGATTCTTTAAGCAAACAGCATAATCACATTTATATAAGTAAACTGTAAGAACAATTTCTACGAATTAGAATCCAGTTACCTTCACTTACACCATGGGAGAAAAACATTTTTCTGATTTTATTTAAATGCAAAGTTAATAACACTGTGCATTTCCCAAATGATTTTATAATGTATATCTAGTATTCAAATTCAGGACTTTCCTTCAAGCCTACTAGATCTTTTGATCCATAGCTTCCAGAACCTTCCAGAAATTCCTGTTTTCTCGCGACTCGAGTCGAGCACTTAATGTAACGCGTTTTAAACTTTCTAAGCAGAATGGGTTCCTATTAAATAAATAACATTATTTTTATTTGCACAATACATTAAGCGTATGCAATCATTACAAATATTTATGTGTGGGTTTTGTTGGTTAGTTTTTGTAAATATCGATGATCGATCTTGCATTATTAAAATTTTCCTCAACGAGGTCAACCGCCTTTCGAAAAGCTTTGTGAGTTTTTATTTGCGAAGGGGCTGTATGAATTAAACATATTTCAATAAGAATTCACAGTGTTGAAAAGATCAGCTTTTAAATCTGACTTTTGGGATAATAAAATTCAAAGAAATCACGAATTAAGTATACCTATTTGAATAAAACACCTATTTCCTAGTTAAATACTTTAACGGTTTAAACGCGATATATATTTATTTTAATATTATTTCAACTATATTCCGACGTTTTGAATGCTTTGCAGCAGCCGTGGTCACGCGGAGACCACAGTATTTAAATGTGTACTACTCGTTTAAACTACAGACAGTATTTTTTTTTCTATTTTAAACCGTTAAAAGAGTTTTATTTAAATATGTACTTCGCGTAAACGACAGACAATACTTAAGTTTTCGCATTCAAAATCTTAAGGAATACCTTTTAAAATTGGAACGCTGCAGATTCTTTCAAAAAGTAATGAATTACCAAGAAAAGTTTTGCAAAAATTTTACATGTAATTTTTCAATTTCTGGAAGATTGTGGAAACATTTTCACAAAATCAAGACGCACATACAAAAACGAGATTAATTAATCAATAAGGGTTAAAAAGATGTACTTATAATTTTAATCTTTAATATGTCTTTAATACATACAATTTTACCTTAATAGTTTACAATTTAATAATTATGGATAATTTCAGGAATTAGGCATATGCGACTACCCCGAGAAGGTACACTGCAATACCACACATGAGCTTGAAGCTACAACGCCCCAGCCGGTAGAAGTCACAACTTCTAATGAACCCTCAACAAATGGACCGACTACACCCTCAGACAAGAAGGTCATAATCAACAAGACGGAGTATAACAGCCAGAGTAAGTGTTTTTTTTTTAAAGACAAGCATAGTGTTCATATAACATCTAAACAATTTGCGCATCCTGTTTTGGACATTCGGAAATCTACAAACTCAACCTAAAACGCGAATAAACTTCATTTTTAATCTGTGGTCGGTAGTTCGTGATTTTGGCAGAAGTTTTATATTTCAACACCCATTTATTATCCAGATTTTCAAAGTCCAACATAATTTAAAAATCGAAAATAAATTGAAAAAGTTGGTCGACTCGGGCAGGACTTGAACCGGCATCGTCAGCGTTCCGCGCTGTTGCTCTCGTTGACTCGGTAGCTCAATTGATGGCTCATGTGCACATGTGCAATTTTCAAAAGTCCAACATGTTTCAGAAAAATTATAAATTCATTAGAAACCTTAGTTTCAAGTTCGTCCAAATTTGTTTTTGCATACTTCCTCCTCATCTTTATAAATCAAGCTGTCACCCACAACGTCGGTCGCGTCCCGTCTTTCATGCAAGTTAATCTTCAAATCCCGGACATGTTTTATGAAAATTTAAATCCTAATTTCGCTACCTAAGAATTAGATTCCTGAGAGCGCGTTCAAAAAAAAGACAAACCAACTCTTCAGCTTTATACAGTATAGATAAAGTTAAATAAATGTCTGTCCCAAGCCCCATGTAGGTAACTGTACTTCACATTAAGAATGAATACTTTTTCCAGGTTGGAAATCACTGCAAATAGCAATCTCTAGACAGGACGCGATCAGGCAGCTACAACTAGATCAACTGGCACATATTCATACTAGTTACTAAACAAGTAATATCTCCTTACTAGGTTTTATTTACAAGGAAGTGAATATCACACCTTATACGCGTAACCTCAATCTTTCTCTTGCGCTTTTTGCTTACTAGAATTAATTAGGAAAGTGCATTAGTGTAGAGCGATTTTATTGATTCTAGTAATTCTACATTTTAATTGTTTCTGATTTTATTATACCGTAGAAGTTTAACACTTTTAGACAAAGGGGTGACCAATTAATCTGCGATCACGGCTGCTGGTAAGCATCCGAAGATTGTTAAAATACAAACAATATTAAATTAAAGGGCCTTTACAATATTGCTTTTCGTTGTTTAATATTGACTTTTAAGAGCTTTTGCGTATATATTTTGCGTTATCATCATGTTTATTGTTTACAATTGAATTCTATAAAATCAATTAATTAATATTTATGTTTTCTTTTGTTTTGAATAATGTATCTGTATTTCATATTGATATATATCCTGTGCAATTATATTCAAATCAATAAAACAAAATTATATGGAGTTATACTTTATTTACAAAGAGTAATAAAACATTAATACTAAACTTACTTATTAAATGTATGACTAAATTGTTTGTTCAACGCAGTACCAAACATGGTACGACGCCAAAGTCTTATACGAGCAACTTTTTGACAAGAATTTAAATTTACTGTCAAAAAGCTCTCCCTATGAGAGAAATGGGCGTAATTTTGCGCATTTCTTGAACTCGAGCGCCTCTTCAGACAGAAGAATTCCAAATTCGAATTTCGAAACTATTAAAATAAAAAATTAAGTTTAAAAACAACAAGGTTTTACGTTTTACACGCTGCGAGTATTTTCTGAAGAGGCTTTATATTTTAAATCAAATCAAAAAGATTGAATTTCAGTCTGTCCTTCGAGTTGCCCCTCGACATTCAGAATCCCAGCTTCTTTAGTGCCTTGAGGTCGACATCGCCGTAGTAGTCCTCGCTGTAAATTGAACCACAGATTAAAAAACGCATCATAAAAATCTGGAACTGCTCATTCGAATTTATATTTTTTCAAATTTAAATTGAAAAAGTTTTTATAAGAAATAATATCGAACAATTATTGTAATGTGTAAAAATTCATAAGACGAATAAACGATAAAGTAAGTGATTGATTTCTGAATATCACAGATTTATAAGTAACTTACCCGACCGAGGTCAGCTAATCGCCGATAGGAACCGCCCTTTATATCTAGTTTGTGTTTACAGATTAAGAAACAGATTAAGTTACTGTAAGAGAAGTTATTAAAAGGTTATTAGAAAGTAAATGCAATCGATAGACAGTGCTCGTGAAAGTAGTTAGGAAGGTGCACCAGTGCAACGTCAGAGCGGAAAATCACAAAACATCCGTAATTTTTTATACTTGTTTATTTTATCACTAAAAGTAAAACTTAAGTATTACAGTTTTTACATCGAACAACAACACTCAGTCGTAACGAATTTCAGTACAGTATTTACAATGTCAGCAGCGGAATCGTTGTATGTTCTAATCTCATAAATGCAAAACATAATTATATGTTTATTTTGATCGCAATATATAGATAACAGATTAATAAATAAATTCGAATTGTTTACCTCTGAAAGAGTCGGATATGAATAAAAAGATGATTCTTAACAATTAGCTAGTTGGGCGTTTCGGTTCCAATGTGGACTGACTCGCGATGTGAACCTATTTTAGTTGAGTATTAGAATGTATAGTTAGATGGAGTTTAGTTTTCTTTTTGGGGGCGGGGTTTGAGGTGCTTTGGCTGGTCGGGGCGGGATTGGCCGTCGCTCTTGAGGCCGGCGAGGAGCTCACTCTTGCGGATTGACTTCAGATCCAAATCACCATAGTAGTCTTCGCTGAAATAGGACGCGAACTTACTGCCTGGAGTCACTACTACTAATCTAAATGTTAAGAGGGAAGAATAGCTTGGCGACCCTTGTTTATCAATCGGGAGTTGTTGCTTGCGATTCTCTTTATATAGCAGCTTCGTTCTTTAACAGTCATTTGTTTCTTATGATTTCATGAGATATTAAAATCAACTAAGCTTTGTATTGTTTTTATGATATATTAAAAATCATGACGAGAAATATTCAGGATTCATTTTTTCTTTTCGCAAAACTTTATACCATTATTCCCTCTTACTCTAACTGTACACTGCCACGATACATAAATGGCTATACGTTCTGTGTCTGAGAATTGAAAATTGTGTAACGAAAACTTGCTCAAACATTAGATATCGAGTGAACTGCCTTGAATCGACTGAATAATTAATATAATAAACTATCTTTTCTCAACTTAATACTGTTTTTGCTGGTGTTGAAATGACATTACAGACTGCAAATTTTATTTGTCAAATATATTGAATAAAGTTATTATTGGTACTTCAATTACATTTTTGGTACTGCCAAGCTACAAGGCTTACACAGTAGTAACATGAGTAGAATTCTCCCTAACTACTCGTGAACACGAGCAAACTCCAACATGGCCGAATTCTGACGTCTTTCTTAATGTGCATTTTGTTAGTCACAGAGAAGACATTTGTGTTACAAGAAGAATGTTAAATCCAGTAAGTACGAAGTTCAAGTGACACAGTCTTAGTGGTTTTACTTGAACTGAAGTTAGGTATGAATGGAAGTCTTACCATCCGGGTACATCTTCTGGGTCCTCGCAGTTGCCTGTGCCGTCTGAGTCTCCGATTTTGAAGACTGTGCCGATTGGGCATCCGTATTCACGGGCGACACCCTCTAAGCAGATGTAGTATTTGCGGCAGTCTTCGGGGTGAGCGTGACGGCTGAAAGAACCGGCGTTGGCGACCTCACCGGGGTTGGCGCAGGAGAATCCGTTGGCTACTTCTGCAGACCAAAATAATATTTTATAAAAGCGTAATTTTTAATTAACTAAAGAAATAGAAGAACTTAACGAAATAATTTAAATTTGGAATTATGTCACTTTTGAAAATCCAGAAACCTTTTTAAATTTATAATCATTTCCAAAAACTTCTAAGCCATATATTGTTTCTTAATTTGAATGAATAATGTACCTTCATTCCTGCATTCTGGAACCTGGTCAGCCCACATGCACACACGCGCTTCTCTGTCGTAGGCAAGTCCGGGGCTGCACTGGTAACGGGAGGCCTCTCCGTTCCAACAGTTCCAGAACACGTCACATTTGCTTTCGTCAGGGAAGATACCGTATAGTCTCTGGCAGTGAGGAGTGGAGATTGGTGGCTCTGTTAAAAATAGTTTATAATTAATATAAAATCCTGCAGAGGGAGAACATTTTTGTATTCGTCTATTCATATATATTCCGTTCTATTTCATTTCATAGTCAAGCCTCTATGCCCTATCCGAATAATTTATGGATTTGGATCCGAACCAGGACGCCTCGGACTGTACTTACCGCTACGCAAGTAAATAATACTATGTTGTAATAAAAGATAGTTTTGTCGAAATTAGATTAAAAATTTAAATCATACATATCACATAGTAATAAATGTCGTATGTCATAACCGAACACGTTAACCAGATGACCTTCAGCGGCATCCTGGTTAAGAGAGAGGCACGAGAATCCTTCAACCTTGACCGCAAATTCCATACTATTTACATATTATATCTTTACGAATTATGCGAATTTTCGCAATGAAACTTCCTTATTTCTTAATCCGGTGCAAATGTTCTGATTAATATTCATATATTTGACATTTCGTTTAATAAAAATGACTCGAGGTATTGGCCTCAGAATATAAAATAAAGCATCCAAAATTTTACCACTTTTGAATACCTGCACAGACCTAATGTCAAACCTTTTATGTCTGTTGTTTCTTTATCGATTCCCAAGTATATGTTACGCTTTTTGTCGCATAAATATACAAATTTGGGTTCTAACAAATTTAAGTGTACAATTAGAGTACAAGTGTTCTTAATTCAAAAAGGTTTTATAATTGCACCAAATCTCTATAACAACTTAAATAAGTACGTTTTTTGTATAGCTTCGTTTGCTCGTGGAAAATAATAAGCATTCCTTTTGAAAGTTTATCTTCCAACCCTTCTAATAACTCACCAAGCTGTGTTCTCTCTCCACAGTCAACGTTGTGTAGGTAATCGCAGTTCTCTGTTAAGTATTTTGAGTCTGTGTTGTCGAAAGCGAGTCCATTTCCACAAGTCTTCAGTTCAGCGGCTCCGTTGTCACACTTCCAGTATTTGTCACAAGAGATGTGGTGAGGGTAGAAGCCGAAGTCGTCTGGGCATTTGAATTGCTCCTGCGCAACAGCTGGAAGGAAATTGAGACATAAGTTATTTTGATTTGAGATATTTTAAAACTAATACATTTATTCTCAGCTTATTCCATTTGAAGTTAGGATACATTAAATATTTAGCATTTGTTGAGCTGAGGAGTAAATGTTATGAAAATAAAGGTAACTGTCAAAATTATTCAAATTAAGAACTTGGATGGACTCAAAAGAATTGCCGTTGTTTTCCTAAGAATAGAAGTTAATAGAATTAAGTTAAGGGAAATCTCAAAACATTACGATTTCTCTTACAAAAGTATCAAAAAACCGTTGAGTGTAAAACCCCGACTTATGTGTATAAAGATATGCCTAAAGGACGCCGTATAAAGGCGAATAAGGTTATAATAATTTCAACACATAGGGTTTGTTAAGCGGTAGCTATAGCACGTTAGGCAGCACGCAACAGATTTTGCAAGAACGGGCAGGGCCGCTCTTTCTCCACGGAATGCAATGACAAACTTGCCTTAGGCAATCGCAACAAGTTATTCCAGATTGTTTTATTCATATGGGAACAAACGTTGTACTAAATAAAAACATTTTGGTAGATTGAAATGCGAAATATATTTATTAGTTTATTCTTAATTACGAGCTGACGTCGGATGATGTACAAGACGTGGTCGGATCGAAGTCGGGTCTTAATAATGTGTTTTAATAATTTGGACCTGTCACATAAACTACAAGTAGTTTTTTACAGATATACTAATATATAATAATAAAATTTAGAAAGTATAGATAAGGAAGTGCTTACTGCCGAAATTAATTTAAAATTTAGGAGAACCCTGAACAACTAATCGTACACTCTGATAATCTTCTAAGAATCCTAAAGTTTTGTATGATATTTAAAGTCCGAATGAAATATTTAGAAAGAGAAAGGTACCAACAGATTTCAAAAAAAAAAATACAAATGAAACTTCTGAAAGAGTAAATATAATTGTGTAAACTGTGAAAATGTCAAAAGCTTAGTTAAGTAAGATAGCACCTGATAGCAAAGTATCGTTGCCACATAGCACAAGATAATCACGAAATCCGAGCCGATCGTAAACCTATAATGTCAATAGGTTATTTCGTAAAAATATCGGCCTCCGCTTACGCACACTTCCACATTGGATTATGTCATAAATGTGCCGGTCGCACCGGTTGACATTTTCAAACCAGATGTACAGCATCCTGGTTTTGCAATGTACCTCATCTTCGTATTTGTTAGTGAAACCGCTTTTGACAACCGAACGTGTCGATCTAGGTTTTCTCTCGGCGTCTAGTATTTATTCGCAAGTGACAACTTTCCTGGCCCGATTACAGTAGAAAGTGTTTTAGAGCTTTTACCTGGAGAAATTTTAGTTTTCATTTCACTGTTACTTATTTAAGAGTACAACATTATTGGACTCTGATCCTGACATATAATAAACTATCGAGGTTATATTAATGACAGTATATCGTAAACATTTCTCATTGTACTTTACTATTAAAAAACGAATTATTTTACGAATATTTTTCTTGGACATAATTATTTAACTATTTATATTTAAACTTTTAACGATTTCTGGATTTTAATGATTCAATTTAAAAGTCGTCTATATAAAGGAGACAACTTTTCATATATTAAAATCAAGGTAAACTTCTTGTGGCACGACTATAACAAATGCATCGACGTTAAGACTGTTAAAAGGATCCCTTAAATTATATACATAAAATTCAAGGATATTTAATTATTTTAACACATTTTTGTGCTTAGGTCTTTTAATTTAAAGAAGGTGACAACTAAACCGGGTTCGACTATTTATCGTGCTTTTAAAAGTATGAAATTTTAAAAGTGATCTCAAAGATGTACTGTGTAACATATACATAGCTACATTAAGGTTTAATACCAACAGAAGTTCACCAAAACTATCGGACTCCAGTAGTTATGACATAATATCATGTATTACATAAATATTATTCAATACAAAGGTCAAACATCGTAAATGTAGGCGAAAGCCCAAAGCTGACCTACAGACAGCGCTACTTTCGATTTTATCATGATGCGCCTGCGCATCTAGTTATCCGATTGTCATTATGTCACGATTACGTCACAATAATTGCCGTGTGCAAAAATTATAACAAATGTGGGTAATTTTGCATGTGTTTGTATATCTTTGAATAGATAGTTTAACTCTTATTAGATAACTGTTTGTTATCTTGGGTGAAAGCGGAATTCAGAGCAAAATTACGTAACTAGTAATTCAGTTAAACGAAATTTAGACGAGATGTGAATGTCAAAGTATAATTGAATGCCTGAATTTGAATGATAGGTATGATCATTTATATTTGTAACCAGTTGAGTGTTAAAAGAACTACTTGTTACTCTACAGCAATTCTTTTTAAGCACATTGTCTAGTGACATGAAAAAGAAAAACACTTCTCTTATCTTCAATGTTTTAAAGTACGAAAATAAAACAAATGAAGAATCAGAAGGAGTATTTCGTAATAAGAAAAATCGGTTACATTGTGCTCATAAGCATATGTTGTAACTTTAGATAAATCGTATATAAAAACCGAGACACGAGACAATACAGAGGGCCGCAAGTTATTTATGTCTCGTCGTGAAGGACGAACAATCACTGCACAGTATAATGTCAGTACAGCATCACAGAATGCAATAAGGTATGGTCCTCTATCCGTATAGTTACAGAATAAATATCTAGTTTACATTCCTAAAATTGTGTAATGTTTACATATATTTCTGGATGTTTTCCATTGTCCATTTGTTGCCTACAATTATAACCATCTTCGTTATTAAATGTAATCAGTGAGAACTTATAAATATTTAATATAACAAATTAAGGTGTTAAAAACACGAAAACTAAGAAAAGACAACATAACTTCTAAATCGTTAATTGAAAGCCGCAAACGCATACCATAAATTATTGTGCCATGCTACTAAATATCACGAAGTTAACCCATCAAGTAAGTGTAATTGAACACCGTGTAATCTAAGTGATCGTTTTGTTGAAGTATCATTTCGATTCAACCACAACCTCAAAATCTAAAAAGTCTTCATTATCTGCGTATCGTTTACAATATATAAGAACAAACATTTAACACAAGATAATATCGAAAATAAAAGCCTAAATAAAACTTAGATTTTATACTATGGATTCAATGATATAGACATAGAAAGACATTTGAGGCTTCGATATAAAGTTTCATTTGTTTTTTTTTATTATAGAGGAGGACAGACAAGCACGGGTTCACTTCATAGAAGGTGTAATACCCCGGCCATATAACATCTACACAAAATGCGCTGTCGAACTTTTTTGGCTTTGGATATTCGAATGAAGTTTTATCCAAGGACTCATTTTTCTTACTATACAATTAAGAACCCACAACTTACATACGAACCCACAAAAAAGACTAACTTCTTATAAAAAAATAGGTCAAGACAACATTCTTATTGTAAAAAATATGATTATACGAGCGCAGTATTAAAATTACTTGTACAGATTTTTAGTCGCAAATATTTTGAGGAACCTTCGTCGAAGAATGTTCTACGGATGTTGGCTCTACGTGGTATTGTTAGTCATGGGTCGCGGGTCTTGACTGTAAAAGTAGCTTCCGTTTTATTGTTTTAGGATAATGCTAATTATTTTTAATTTCCGTTATTCAGCCACTTTGGTATTGCGTCTGTGATTAATTAAATTATTACGATTTGCAAATCACTTATTTTTACTGCATTTTGGGATAGAAACATAAAAATTAGAAGATATATATATTTAAATAAATAAAACTTCGTCTCTATATATTCTTCTTTTATATCTTTCAATTCTGTACACCACAATTCATATATTCCAATTTTAAAATAACCATAGCCACCATTTTGTTTAATCCCCTACCGATTTAATAGTAATAAAACAGTATATGCAACAGACTGCTTCACCTTAAATATAATGGAGTAATTCTGCTATAAATAGTAACTAGCTAATGATACCAACGCACTGAAGCAGTTATAATTTTCACTAGATTTTCTTCTCGTGAAATTCGTACGCGCCACGAGTCTAGATAATTGAATGCCTTCACGCGATTTCTTATGAATCAGTGATTCGTTGATTACTATAATATTTCGTTTTACGAGAAAATTCAATACTATTTGATCATATTAGTTAATAATAATGACTAATAATACTACAACTACAAGTAGTAAAACTATCAACTGCCGATAAAATATTTAAAAAAAACCTTTTTAGAAACGTTGCTACTAAGTATTCGTAAAATACAATATGCCTTCGTGAGAATTACATACGTGTTCTAAATTTAAAATCGATCGAGTCATCGTAAGAGACAACTACCTTAATGTTCTATAACGCAAGTTATATTCAATAAAGTAAGACTCTTCTTTTAACAGTCCTTAACATTTTATGGTTAAGTATAAAATGTCAGGCCCATGTTATTCTTAATTTTCACCAGCGAAGAACAAAAAACCTAATTCCAAATTTAAAAAAATAAACGAAGTCCTTTCACAAAAAATAACGCACAAGGCATCTGAAATAAAAATAAATCTACCCTCCAACAAGGGAATAAAGATATCTGCTACTATATCATACTAAGTATTTTTTTCTAGGCCAATTTGCAACTTATGCAACGGTTAAGCGTAAGGTTAGAAAGTTTAATGAGGGCGTGTACCTTAATTGCCTCATTCATCTAGTTGTTACGTATCTGTTCCATAACAAGATACAGATAAAAAATATTTTGATTCAAAAGTAAAACCGAAACGATGTTTTTTAAGAATTAATTTGTGAATCAAATACTGGCTGTCACACAACTAATATTTTTAATACATAACTAACGCCGGTAGTGCATAGAGGAAATCAACTCGATTAATAATATCGATAAATAAATAATTCATCAAAGGCTAACCACTTAAAGAATCGTATATACGGAAATCTGAAAGTTACTTTTGAATACCTTCAATATTTTTTTCCGCATAACTGCTATATACACGGCAATGTAAAATAAAAAAGAAACCTCGAAACTTTTTGTATCTTTTTGTTTATAAAATTAAGATTTTATTTCTTGCTATTACACAAAAATTGCGTTTTTTGTACTACTCAGCATATAATATTCTTTTGCAAAAAAAGTTTCTAACGCTCATTAGAACATGCTAGAATCCGTACGCCGTGCAAATGGCGATATTTCTACCCACATAATAATGTTTGAACTAGCTATGAAGTCTAGTATTAAACTATAAAATGCAATTTCTATGCTGTCCACATAAATTTGCATACCAAGTCTAATATTTCCGGCTACCATTGCATATCGTTTTAGGTCTTTGCACTCACGTAACCATCCACAGAATCGTACAAACCTATTTTTGAAAAATTATTAATATTCTCTTTTCAAATAATTAAGATTTAAATAGAAACGTGGACGCCATATAACTCAATTCCACTAACATTCTATTTTTTAAATTATTTATTCTCTTTTTATTCCATTTTCAAATCACAGAATTTCATCCGTACCGACGGTTCGATTTTCAAAAATTCGATTCTACTTGACAATTACATCAATTTCACTTTCAATCGTTCACTATCGCCACGCCTTAAATATCTGAAATTCTACGTACCCACGCCGAGGGCGGCCGCTAACACTATTAAACACCGTGTATTCATAATTAAAAAAGTCCTTGCACAGAAGTTGTAGACACTATAACGTTTGAGCACAAACTGCGAGCGGGTGAATGGGCGGTTGAGGCTTTTATATCGGGAAGGTGTATGCTGCGCATACGACGATCTGGCGGTGAAAAGTGGCATCGTCGCCACCGGCCGAGTACCACGTTCCCTGTACTATCCTTAGCAATATTTTTAAATGTCTATATTTTACAATCGTTACTTGAAGTTGGTTTAAGGACTTAAAACAATTTACTTGAGAGAACTTGAAATCAAAAAAATATTAAAATATACACAAATATTTCGTAGTGACAAAATACCGCGGTAGACAAACTTTATTAAAATTTCAATAGCTGTAAAGACCGATGCTTTAAAATTAATTGCAAAACGAAAGCGACAATAATTTTTGCATACACCAGCTGGATATATCTAGACAAGATATTATCCAAAAAGGATGTGTAATGAAAGTGTATTTAAATCGAGACCTATATGGAATAAATCATTGACCCTCACGTCACCTTGTTTGGTCAATATCGTTAAAGGAAGAAATATAATGAAGGTTCGACAGGTAGGTTATGTAAAAAAGTAAAACCTCGCTTCTACCTCAGTGTCTTAAGAAGAATTATTTCTTTTTTTTTTTATTGTGTGACTAATGTATGTCCTCTATGTCGATTTTGAAAATAGAACGATTTAAATACGCATTTAAGTAAAACACTTTAACTGTTTGAAAGGTTTTATGCTTTGTCGTCAGAGACGTCGGGCTGTAGTTAAATAAGCTTAACTATTATGTATTACGTTTTAAACCGTTAAAGAGTTTTATTTGAATAGAACGATCTCATAAATCTTTGATAAAAAGATGACATAGCAAGGAGGTAGACAGCATTTAATAAAAATCGATTTTTGCATGTGGCATCTTAAGGGATTCATTTTAAAATAAATTAATATTCAATCGCCAGCTTTATTTGCATAATAATAAGATTAATTTCGATTATAATTCGATGCAGTCACTCGTGAATTCTATCGGAAATTGCAAATGTCAATTCGTCTGAATATGAAATCCTTAAAATTAACATACATTTAGTCAAAGTTCAAGACCTCACATAATTTACTGCTTCATAGTTTATTACATAACGATGCTCATTTAAGCCCGTTAGCCGCTATCGAATTGGTAAAAGTCAGATTTAAAGGTCAACGGATGAGGCCGTCTTCGGATGCAAAAGAAATTAGTTTTTATCATACTTTTGTTTGTTGTTTACTGCCTCGTTGATTTAGTTGACTACTTCATCGTAGGTCATGGGGGTTATAATCCCACATCTTTTTATAAAAATTTCTAAAGTCACACCGGAGCTTGGACTTAGAAGTGGTCATCATTATTTTTTGAGCAAATTAAGCTGTCCCACGAATTTAGTAGCGGTTGTCGTTAAAACCTGCCAACTTGCACTGGAGGTAGTGGACCTATGCCTAGTGTGAACTAGTCATTTTTTTTATATACGATACTAAAAAAGAAAAGTATATGTGCTTAAAAATATAGTAGTAGTGATATTAAATTAAACAAATTTAACGGCTTGTAACACGAATTGTTGCAGTTAATTTAAACTACGACCCGATGTTTTGGATGCTAAATAAATGCAAAATCCGAAATTTAATCTATTACACGTATGTATTGTATATAATTGCATAAGCAATGAATAAAACTTAACCAAAACACAAATCAAATAAACAAACAGTACTTATAAAGATTAAACCAGTACATAGGAAGTTGAATCGTACAAAATAAGATATTCAATATAACAAGATATTTTTGGCTTCAAACATTAATCAGTGTAGCGATTTTGATAGCTTTTTTGTTTTCGAAACAAGATAAAACACAGACGACATAAATGTTGTAGTTTAAATCTACTTAGATTTATTATGATTTTTATAATTATTTCCTGTGTTTTTGTATATACATATTAAATCGTTTGCAAGTTTGATCGTTCAATAATAATTATAACTTTACCTACAATATAATAAAATTATCCATCAACATTTATATAACATAAAAATAACACTAAAATTATATATTATGCAATATTAAAAGATTTTGCGAATTTCACTAGAAATGTCGGAATTAATTAGATTATAAAAAGCAATTAACATTACTAATTATTCCTAGAACTTCTCGTTAAACTTTTTAATTTAGATAATATGTCGACGATGTTGCATAGTCTGTTACAACACTCAGCTATACTCATTAGGTATAAAACATTAGCAAATTAACTTAGACATTTGCATTTCTCATAAATTCTGGTCAATGTTTATAAATAATTGAAAATAACATCACCTTTAGAATAAAACAACAAATTGTATAGATTCGTTTAGTAAGGACGCAAGAGTTTCTCTTAAAATTGTTCGCCTTATGCCTCACAATGGGGAATCATGTCATACATCTAGCAGTGGCTTGTGGTCCTCTGCTTAAATAAAATACAGAATATATAATAGATACAGATAGTTTCTAATTTAAATTGAAATAAGAATCTGTATATTCACAGACACAACCATTATTTTTCATAAATTCAAACCTATTCTAACCTATCACCGATTTTGTAGATACTACATAATTATTAAATCGCGTGCATGTATAAAATTGAGCTTTAGGAATTTCAATTTCGTTTCATGTCAAGTTGTGCATATATCAATAAAAAAACACTTTTAACGGTGAAAAACGCGAAATGTATTAAGCCACGATTACTGCAAAGTTCCGAAACATCAGCCCGTAATTAAAATAAATTGTAAATCTGTTAACTAATAGATTTCGCTTTTTAAACAGTTAAAAGTGTTTTATGTATATGTGTACTGTTCGAGTAAAATATAACAATTGTATGTTTCTATAATTTAATTGTAATGTGGGTTGCATATAGCCCAATTCCTATTAATTCTAATATGTGAAGAGAGGAGAGGTTTTTAACAAGTGACCAGTTAAAACCGTGACCTGAGCCAAATTCTTTTCTTACTTGCAATAATAAATCGCAATTTATTAGAATCTAGAGAAACGTTCAAAAGAAATTACATAACAATTAAATCAATTAACAATAAATATAGACGTTCATGCAGGTAATGTAGTAATTTTGTTGCGATACAATTTTTACGCGTTTGAACACGCGACCGTATTAAGATTTGTTTTCGTGTTCACTCACGGGAAAAAACGAACTAAGATCTGTTATAAGCTAGAACAATTTGACAAGCTATTTGATTCAATGGAAGTGGAGTGCAATCACTGACGTGTCGTGGCTTCACTTCCCACCAGATCTAACAATATTCTAAATTCAATATACTATTTTCTTGAACATTAGTAACTTTATCAAGACCTGGTTATTAAATGTGTAAGAGGAATATAAAATACCGCGGTTCCTTAACCAGCGTTTTGGTTAAGTTGGCATAGTTTTAAACCACACTTGTATCATAAAATTTCGTGATGGTTCTAAAAGTTTTCTAAAAAAAACTTGAAGAACAAAGTGAACGTCGCTAGAGACGGGATTCGAATTCAGCACATCACGACTAATGTTTTACTCACTAAACTGTGAAGTTAAAGTGTACATATGTAAATAAATAACATATGATAAACCAGACAGTATTATTTTTTTTTTAATTTAAGGTTAATTAGAGCTACTAAAAACTAAACAAAAAATTCTATTACAAGTTTTCAAATTACAACATTGCAATAATTCAAACATAAATATAATATTGAATTTTACATTTATTTTTCACTGTCGACACGATTATTTCTAAAGAAACCCCATTACTTAAAACACTATAAAAAAACCCACATATACTCAATAAAATGTTTCATATAGTTTTTGCTATTTATTTTAAAGAGGAAACGGCATAAAATGTGAAAGATATTTGTTATTTCTTAACTACGTTGCAACACTACTATGGGGTTTGTACAGTAGCTGTGGTCAGAGGGGCTGTAACTAATACGTTACACGTTTTAAACCGTCAAAATTAATTTAATTCAAGAAATACATTATATACATTTTTTTCTAAAATATGTATCTTGGACTTTAAAGCTTATTAGCATTACTTTTATTATATTAGTTTCCTAAACTTTTGTCACATGTGTTTTCATATTCTCCTTAGAGAAGTAATAATTAGTCGTGATTTTCGGTAACATAATATAAAATAAAAAAAAATACTACTTCACTATGTAATAAATAAAATAACCAGTTGCGCAAGATTAACGCGCCTTAATCCACAGACTAGCAAAGCTCGCAGCTCGATATCATTATGCAAAAACAGTAATAGTGTAATTCCATACAATCAAAGGTATGATAGTTGAATAAAATTACTTTAGGTATTTGGGGCAGGGTCCGATTGAGCTGCAGAGTCGTCAACCGTCCACGCCCGGCCTGAAGGTCTTCAGGTTTCGCTGCGCAACATAGACTTTCTTTGCGACTATGAACGGAATAGATATGGCTGGTTTGGTACTGCCTCAGTGAGGAGTCTAGCATAATTTTTAGTATTGTCTGTAATTTCCGTGAGTGAATACATCAATTTTATCGTTGTAAGTAAATGACCAGGCAAAAGTTTTTTTGCCCGTTTTAGTAACTAACAAAATAGATATTTAAAGATAAGATAATAATTCTTCTATACGTATTTTTTGGGTATATTCAACCGCTTTCTCAGCGCAGGCCACGGAACCCTCGGAACGGAATACCTATCCCACGTTTTTTTTTTCACATTGCCCTCTTTTTCTTCATTGTCTTATAGCGTAAATCTTTCCTCAATAAACAGTCCCATCACACAAGAAATATTTTTCAAGTCGAACCAATCGTTCCTGAGATTACCGCGTTCAAACAAACAAAGAAACGTTTCGGCTGTATAATATTCGTATAAATATTTGATAAACTCGTTGGTTTTCATCTACAAGGCTGGATATTAATTGGGTCGACAGATGAAAACTCCGTAAAGTTTAATTGCATTTCCGTTTCAGTCAGTGGTTGGCCGAATATCCAAAACAAAAATTGGACGATTGTTTAGATGTTATACGGTTGGGGTATATCACCTTCCTATATCATAAAAAATCTTTAATTCAGCCGTTTCAGGAGTGACTGTAGATGTCCTTCCTATTGCATCGTTACAATTTTTTTAATACATTTTTGCAT